CATATGCCGTCTGTTTTCGGTTGCACTTTCTGTGTAAAAATTTTACTGGTCTGACATTTTAAAACTCTAAAAAACGAATAAAAATGAGTACGAAATTAATTGTTTTGTTTGCAGTTCTTATTTAAATCTTTACTTTTAAAGGATTTGCTTCAGACTTTCCATTTTATTTATATTAGAAATACTTCATATGTGATTCTTTCACTTAAACTGCCAACATATGAATATGATTTCAATATTTCAAAAATTTAAACCTAAAATTTAATAATATATTCAATGTCATAATCCTTATGATTCTAATTCCATGTTTCCTAGGATACGATATGCAAATAAACCAGTTTTAGTTCGGCCAAGTATCTTTTTTTTCTAAGATACTTCTTGTTTCCATTTGAATCTTAAGTTTTTCTTCTGTTTGTTTTTCTCTCCAGTTCTTTTCTTCTTCATTTCTTAATAATTCCTTCTCCTTTAATATCTTCTTAGTTAATGGTTGTTGTTTTTTCTTCCTTTTAATTTTATATCATGCTGTTTCATCTTTTTCTTTGCTTTAATTTCTTGTTTTACATCCGTAGTTGTCAAGATTCTTGCTTTCCCTAACTCCTTTTCACCTTTATAGACGAAGTAGGTGGTTGTGGCACAACCAGTACATTAACAAGATCATTTGAAATAAGTCCTGCTTTTACTAGTGGATGATTGGTAACAGAGCAGTCCTAAGCGGGTGCGTTGTTTTTCTGGTACAGGCTTTGTTCCCTGCGGTCTGGAGACCGCAGGGTATTGGTACGCGTTTTACTCTTGAGGCATGGGGGAGCACGTGACCTGTTTTCGGTACATGGAGGAGCATGTGATCTGTAAACCGTACATGATTAGTTAATTGACCTTTTCGAAAACCTAGCTAAATACCGTTTGCCGGTATGTTACGGATTTACCTCTAGGGAATTAGTCCGAATTACACCCAATTAAGAACAAAAAACTATTACGTGATATTTCTAATTTTCTATAATTATTTTACGGTTTAAGGTGGAAAAACTTGAATGATGTGTTTGAAAATTATCAATGTTTCTATAAAATCTATCTCAAATTTTACAAACAATAAATTTTTTATACTGAAACCTACAAAATTTAAATATTCGTAGTGGCATCTGCCATAATAAATATATTTTCTGCGTAAACTTGTGTGTTAACTTTATTCTTTGTTTGCTCGGAATTATTCATAAAATGGTAGGCCTATTTAATCATTTTATTAAAAAGAAGTAATTGTTTTATGTTCGACCTTCTCCGATCTTCAAAGGTCACCAGTTTCCAAAGACCTTCTTCTATATTGATCGATTATTGTCAACTATATTCCTAATAAAATTAAAACGTTTATTTATCCACCCCCCACAAACAATTTTAAAAATAGTTCAATGAAATATCTAAATATATCATTAAAAATGTTCCCCGCAGGAAACCATTTTACTTGTTTTCGTTTGGTACTTGATGTGTTTGCATTTGTCGGTGGTGTGTATGTAGAATTAATATTGGTGTAAGTAGACTTTAGATTTGGATTGGGGTATGTATAATGTTGACTGAAGAATGGTGATATGTTCATAGGTGGAGCTTTGTACTGAATAAATAGAGTTCGTTAGTTTCATCCTTATGATGCAAGAGAGATAGTTCCTATTATAACAAGGTTTTATCAAGTAATCACGTATGTTCGCATAGCTTGGAATAGAATAATGAGCAAAAAAGTCCTGAAAGAAGGCCAAACAAATTTGCGCCACGTCGTCATGTGAACAAACCATAACGGATAGTTGTGGTCATATTGCGACTTTAGGCATTGAATGATAACAGAGGCACCATGTGCGAACCTTGTTCAGAGCTTAGATTAGTCACGAACAAGCATGGGTAGAACAATCTCTTTGTACGTTTTTTGTTTGCTTTTACGTCGCATCTATACAAATTAGGTCATATGGTGCCTAAACAGGGACCTTTTTGTTAGCTTGCTCGATAACTACCACACAGTTTCAATGTCACTAATAAAAATTAAAGATTCTACAGGACATTAATTTTGACATACTGGTTCCGCTAAAAAATGTTCCCTTGTACAAATGATATCATAATAAAGAACAAAACAAACAAATTAAAGGCAACTGTTTATTTAATGCACAAAACATGTAATGTGTTCATACAAGAAGAAAAAACTATAACCACATGTATGTTCAGTCCAGTAGCACTTTCACATATATCTATAAAAAAAGATCAATAACGAAAACAGCTCAAAATTAGCCATCTATATAAAAAATTCGAAACAAGAGAGTCAGAATGGCCTTTTATTGCTCGCACAAATACACAAGCAATAACTGCCCCAGTTTCGAAAGTAAGAAAAATATTAATAAGACCAAAAATATCATTAGAATCAGTTATTTTTTCTCAAACTTGGCAAAATAATGTTGGATGAAAAGTACAGGATAATTACTTTGGACAGGTCTTGACTTACATGTCTCCGAGAAATATTTCTTTTTCGAAATGAAATTGCAGACAAAATGATGAACAACAGAAATTTAACAATCCTTGAATTTTCATCATAAATGAGGACCATAATGGCTCTACTTCGCTCACCTGAATTAATAAACTTACAGTACAGTGAAGAAAATCTAGTCTATACAAAATTTAAATCAAATTGTCAGAGCATTAAAATTTTCAACAGGTTTTTATTACGAATAATTGGTCTAAGGATACAGGATTTAGGTACATCTTCATAATGAATAAACATTTTCACACAATCTTTGTGTAAAATATAATTTCAAAATCGAAATACAAATTTTGACATGAAAATGTTTTATTTTGTTACTTAATTAAACAAACCTATAAACAGTTTAAAAAGGGGGAATCCAAAAGGATAGTTCGTAAATAGGCTTATCAATTCAGGCATCATCACATTTTTAAGATGTTGAGTAACTTTCGGATGGACGTTGAGTGTCCACAATTTGCACTTTTCAAGTACTTCACAACACCAATGCGAATTAAATAAGAATCATTTATTAGCTGGAAAGTATAAGGTTATGAATATTGCATTCAATTTTTACATTTAATTCGAGAAATTTGCTATGTAAAACGTAACATTTCGTACATCATAAGATTATTTTATAAAAAGATTCCTTTCATATTTAACTGAAGGATGGATTTTGTCACATAAAAACAATAAGTTTAACACAGCGAGTGAAAAATCTATTTATTGAGAAGATATTTCTTTTATTTTAAGTGACTACAGAATTTACTGAACAATAACAAACTTTTCTGTAAAAAAATAAATCATTTGCGAAGTCCTTTTTTTTTCTTTAACTGTACTACAACAACAAACTTTTCTGTAAAAAATAAATCAAAGTCTTTTTCCTTTTTATTACCGAAGTAACCTAAGTTAAACACAAACATGCCTTGAATAAATATTAAGCCTAACAATGTGTAAAGCAGATATGAGGGCCATGCTTACCAGTATACAGAATAAATAAATAAATGATTAACATCTCAATCTTTACAACAAGTACACGATGATGAAATAAAAATCCTACTCTATATATCTGCGTCTAAAGAACAAAATAAAAGTAATTCAAGAAGAAAAAAAAATCACAACACAAACACATCTGATGTCACCCCCTCACAGACTGATTTCGATCATTTCTTTTACAGAAGTCAGTTTATATGTGACAAATTAATTTAGCAAATACACAGAAACTCCCTGATACATCTGTTCTGTTAACACAATATCGTAATTCCAGCGTAAGAATTTAGATTTCAAAAATAAGAAGAAAAAAATAAGCTGTGAAAATTCATAAATATGGAGGAGAATCAAGCTTTTCTTATAGTATAAATAAATGAGCCGCGTCATGACAAAACCCAACATAATGGGTTTGCGACCAGCATGGATACCAGACCAGCCTGAGCATCCGCGCAGTCTGATCAGGACTCATGCTGTTCGCCTATCAGTCTCTCTACTTGTAATAGGGTTTGTAAGCGAACAGCATGGATCCTGATCAGAACTGCGCGGAAATGCGCAGGCTGGTCTGGATCTATGCTGGTCGCAAACGCATTACGTTGGTTTTGTCGTGACGCGGCTCGAAATGAGTATTCACCAGATTATATACATGAAATACATGAGTTGATTTGTTCTGAAAATTTTAATAAAAATCTTGAAAAATACAGACATAAATTGGTAGGATTTAATTCAAAGAAAACATTTGATATGGGGGGCTTTATAACACATAAAGTGGCAGTTGTGTTATATACATTTGTATATATAACTAACCTTCATGATATAATAATAGAATAAAATAAAAAAATAACAATCAAAACAAAAAATTAACACCTAAACAAAACACTGTTAAGTCACCTTTTATAACATTTCACAGTGACTAGAAAAAAATAAATTCATTAAATGCTTCAAAATTTCATTCAAGAACAAAACAACTAAAAAAAATAAACAAAACATCAGTTATGGCCCTTTACCACTGATTTGAGTACCTTCATTTGCAGACCAATTTTGGAAAAGTTTCAAGATTCGAAATTATGATTACGCAAAACTTGCTTCACCCTTGGAAGGTCACATGATAAGAGGATTAATATTTGAAGATCTATATCACATCATTTTCATCAAAGGGAGTTAATTTCTGAAACTTATTTTAATGAACTTTTTTCCATATTTAGAAAATATTTCTAATCCAAGGGAGCTAACTAAAACAACTTTTATCTAAATAACAATAATTATCTAAATTTAGACCACAATTTCATCCAAGGGAGTTAAACTCCTGAAAAAATAAATCTTTATTAAAGGGAGGCAATTCTGACTTAAGTTTTTCACAACCTCAAATAAAACTTGAATCTATTGACAGAACAATTGATACTCAAAGAATATATTCTTGGATACATACATGTATGCATATATTCCGGGCTGTCATGATTAGTTTGAATTACATTTAATATGTAGGTTATAATTGTACCAATTACAGGGGATTTCACTGAATTATTTTGTCCGTAAACAATGAAGATGCACTGATCTTACAAGCTCAGAGAGTCTGAGCTCATAAAAAGATAACAAAAGTTCAGATTCATACATACATAGCAATTTGACCCATATACATTTCGTTAATGAAACATTGTCAATAAAAAATGAAAAAAACATGCAATAATAAATAAATGCAAAATTGAACTATACAATGTAAATGATTTTTGTTAAATTCATATACTAAATATCTAATGTTTAAAAAATAAACAATAACACGAAGAATAGCAAACAAAAAGCTCAACAAAAATTTGAAAAACATTCAAAACAGAATTTATCGGACATGATCTTAACTTGAATTTATACAGACTTCATTTGCATAAAAGCAAAAGGCATCATGAAAAGGCATCAAATCTAAGAGAAAACTGTCCACAGATCTTTGCTCCATTTGGATTGAATCATTAGTAGATTGGACATAAATCAATATTTGCAGAAACTCATTTGCTACCACCTTGTTGAAGCTATTACAAAAGCACATTATGTAAACTTTTCAGCCGATTTTCTCATTCTTAAGGTGTTTCAAAAGCATTTGCCCTATATTTCACAGCCAATTAAATTGCTAGAATATTTAGAAAAACAAAATTAGCACTAGACATTAATTTGAGTGATTGGCAATTAATTAATGTGGGAGGTGCTGACATGAAAAAGGAGGAGGAGCTAATATAAAGCCAGATAGTCTCTAAACTTTAAGTCTTTAGAATTTATAAACCACATCAATTCACTATGTTTCCTTCCATTTGACTATTTTTGTCAGTGTCCATCTTTTTAGACCCATATACATAAATGTTATATAGATTTAGTAAGTCAGAGTTTGAGGAAGTTGTGTTCTCGCAGACATATTAATCTACACATTTATTTACACAGCATATATACATGTTATATACAACACAGCTTCTTCTGTACAAAAACTGCTAAATTGGCACTACTGGTTATTTATGCTTTCTACCTGTAAATAAATGAAAAATGACAATTAACACAATTCAAAGTTATTATTTCACCGGTTCAGAAAAATTGCTTCAATGGTTCAGAAAAATTGCTTCAATGGTTCAGAAAAATTGCTTCAATGGTTCAGAAAAATTCATCAACAATGTACAATTATGCAATACTGTAAATGATGGTATACAATCTGAAACCAATTATTTATTATTATTTTTTTAATTTTAAATCAATTTTGTTTCTGTTATCATTCAATGTCAATAATCCAATATTTTATATGAAGTATTTTCATCATGGTATTCATCCATCAATATTTCATGTATAACAGCAATGAAGGTATGCTATAAATTATGTTACAAATTTCGTAAATTTTTATTTTTGTCGGCAAAAGCAACTGTGCAACTTTGACAGGTTGTATAGCTGTGTATAAATGTTATTTTAATATATAACCTGGATCTAGTAGCTCTAGTAACGTAATGTCCAAACAGTTTACACTAAGTCATAAATCATTCAATATAATTCATCAAATAAATATAATGTAAAAACTTCAGAACATAAATACTGATATTATTTCAGACTGGTAACAATTAAACATTATAACTGAACAAGATATGTTTGTAAAACATGTATGCCCCCTATCAGCAGCCAATTAGTAATGTGATAAGGTTATTATGCATGACTTCTGACCCAGTGATCAAACAATTAATAAGGGTTATCAGGTATCTACTGGTCATGACCTTAACCTTTGAACCCTTGACCCAAAACTCAATAGGGGTCATCTGCTGGTCACGACCAATCATCATCCAAAGTTTGAAGTTCCTAGGCCTTAGCGTTTTTAGTTAATTGATCGGAAACCGTTTTTACCTTCAAGTTCAATGTGACCTTGACCTTTGAACCCTTGACCCCAAAATCAATAGGTCATCTGCTGGTCATGACCAATCACCATACCAAGTTTGAAGTTCCTAGGCCTAAAGATTCTTTAGTTATTGATCGGAAACCGTTTTAACATACAAGATCAGTGTAAACTTGACCTTTGACCCCAAAATCAATAGGGGTCATCTGCTGGTCATGACCAATCATCATACAAAGTTTGAAGTTCCTAGGCCTAAGCGTTTTTAGTTAATTGATCGGAAACCGTTTTTACCTTCAAGTTCAATGTGACCTTGACCTTTGAACCCTTGACCCCAAAATCAATAGGTCATCTGCTGGTCATGACCAATCACCATACCAAGTTTGAAGTTCCTATGCCTAAGGGTTCTTTAGTTATTGATCGGAAACCGTTTTAACATACAAGATCAATGTGAACTTGACCTTTGACCCCAAAATCAATAGGTGTCATCTGCTGGTCATGACCAATCACCATGCCAAGTTTAAAGTTCCTAGACCAAAACGTTCTTTAGTTATTGATCAGAAACTGTTTTTACTTACAATGTCAAAGTGACCTGGACCTTTGACCCCTTGATCCCAAAATCAAAAGGGGTAATCTGCTGGTCATGACAAATCACCATACCAAGTTTGAAGTTCCTAGGCCTAAGCGTTCTTAAGTTATTGATCAGAAACCGTTTTTACTTACAAGGTCAATGTGACCTTGACCTTTGACCCCTTGACCCAAAACTCAATAGGTCATCTGCTGGTCATGACCAATCACCATACCAAGTTTGAAGTTCCTAGGCCAAAGGGTTCTTAAGTTATTGATTTGAAAGCATTTTTACCTACAAGGCCAATGTGACCTTGCCCTTTGACCCCTAAACCCCAATATCAATAGGGATCATCTGCTGGTCATGACCAATCACAATACCAAGTTTGAAGTTCCTAGGCCTAAGGGTTCTTTCGTTTTTGATCGGAAACCGTTTTTACCTACAAGGTCAATGTGACCTTGACCTTTGACCCCTTGACCCCAAAATCAATAGGGGTCATCTACTGATCATGACCAATCACCATATCAAGTTTGAAGTCACTAGGCCTAATGGATCTTTCGTTATTGATCGGAAACCGTTTTTACCTACAAGATCAATGTGACCTTGACCTTTGACCCCTTAACCCCAAAATCAATAGGGGTCATCTGCTGGTCATGACCAATCACCATACCAAGTTTGAAGTTCCTAGGCCTAAGGGTTCTTTCGTTATTGATCGGAAACCATTTTTACCTACAAGGTCAATGTGACCTTGACCTTTGACCCCTTAACCCCAAAATCAATAGGGGTCATCTGCTGGTCATGACCAATCACCATACCAAATTTGAAGATCCTAGGCCTAAGGGTTCTTTTGTTATTGATCAGAAACCGTTTTTACCCAAGAGGTCAATGTGACCTTGACCTTTGACCCCTTGATCCCAAAATCAATAGGGGTCATCTACTGACCATGACAAATCACCATACCAAGTTTGATGTTCCTAGGCCTTAAAGTTCTTTAGTTATTGATCGGAAACAATTTTTGCTTACAAGGTCAATGTGACCTTGACCTTTGACCCCAAAATCAATAGGGGTCATCTTCTGATCATGAGCAATCACCATACCAAGTTTGAAGTTCCTAGGCCTTAAAGTTCTTTAGTTATTGATCGGAAACCGTTTTTACTTACAAGGTCAATGTGACCTTGACCTTTGACCCCTTGACCCAAAAATCAATAGGGGTCATCTACTGGTCATGACCAATCACCATACCAAGTTTGAAGTTCCTAGGCCTTAAAGTTCTTTAGTTATTGATCGGAAACTGTTTTTGCTTACAAGGTCAATGTGACCTTGACCTTTGACCCCTTGACCCCAAAATCAATAGGGGTCATCTACTGGTCATGACCAATCACCATACCAAGTTTGAAGTTCCTAGGCCTTAAGGTTCTTTAGTTATTGATCGGAAACTGTTTTTGCTTACAAGGTCAATGTGACCTTGACCTTTGACCCCTTGACCCCAAAATCAATAGGGGTCATCTACTGGTCATGACCAATCACCATACCAAGTTTGAAGTTCCTAGGCCTTAAGGTTCTTTAGTTATTGATCGGAAACTGTTTTTGCTTACAAGGTCAATGTGACCTTGACCTTTGACCCCTTGACCCCAAAATCAATAGGGGTCATCTACTGGTCATGACCAATCACCATACCAAGTTTGAAGTTCCTAGGCCTAAGGGTTCTTTAGTTATCACTCGGAAACCATTTGGTCTACGGACCGACGGACCGACAAGTGCAAAGCAATATACCCCCTTTTCTTCGAAATGGGGGCATAATTATTGATATGGAAATATATGCTTTATTTAAAGGTCAAAATATAAAAAGAAATATACCTATTATACGAGCAGAAGCTATTGTGATCGGGTAACATAGTTCCCGGGGAAGGTACCGAACATTCCGGTTCGACCTGAAGTTCCGACGTACCAACCGTCATCACACTTTTCCATTACATAAATCTCGTCTCCTTCTAATAACTCAAGTTCATCCTCGTTCTGAGGTCTGTATGCATAGATTGCTCGGTACCTTTAACAAAAAACAAACAAATTTGATTAGCATTAAACAAGTGTAAGAAATTGTGACAAAGAGAGCCTGTGGCAAGCTTTTGAACATTTCTGTTACAAATAACAAGTAAATCTTTAAAAGAAAAGCAATATTAGATTATCTCTTTAAAATTATATTATACAGCCATAGATTTATAAAATGGCAAAATCACCCTTGAGCACACAATTTACTAAACAATGTCACCCCTGGATTTTACATTTTTAATGACATCATTTAATTCAATATTAATATGATTTAGAAATACGTAATGGTAATATCACATTGAAAACAAGAGACCCTTATTGCTAAAAGAATATTTTGTACAGTCCATTAAACGTCTTGTGCAACACCACTGTCATTTCCCATGAAACATAACCTCATTATTATATTAAAATCAGCAAATTCAAAATTAATGTATATACACCACTTTATCATATAACTCACCTTGCTATTGCTAAATCTTCTTCTTGTCTAGTTCCTTTGCTAAAGTTTCTACTTTTACTAGTCATGCTTACATTAGGGGTAGACACTGATTTTGCTGTAATGTTTAAAGAGGGTGGATTGTCTTTTCTAATTTGTTGAGGGCTTCGCTGACTTCGCGCTGAAAAGTCACTAAAACTGTGTTGTTGTGGCGATGAATAACCTCCGTTCATATGTCTAGACGACAACGAGTTGTCATAATGTCTTTGAGATTGTACGCCCTCGAATCTCTGCGGTGATATATTTTCATGTCTTTGCGATCTTAATCTACTGTCGTCCTGTTGCTGTGAAAAATGTTGATCTCGTGGACTCGTTGCATATCTACTTCCAAGATTATCTGACTGCATTGTGAAAGCCCCTGGGGATGGCTGTGGGGGTGGGGTAGGTGCTCCATCATAACTGACAGGTGACAACATCTCAGGTGTACCTGTAGGTAGTTATGATAATGTTATTTCATATCATGATTATCTCACTGTAACTATATAATAACACTAATTATAGTAATAAATTTTAAGAGGGCATATAATTATATGCCTCCATTAATGTATATTGGAGAAAATGTACTTGTTTGTTTGTTTGATTGGGTTTTACGTCACACGGACATAGTATAGGTCATTTGGCGACATTCTTGTTTTACTGGTGAAGGAAGACCTAAGGTGCCCTTCCGTGTATTATTTCAGGCACAAACGGGCACCTCAGTAGAACTAAGGACGTTCCGTAAGCTAGCTGGATAGATTCCTGACATGAAAGAATCCAAAGTCCCTGTTGGAATTTGAACCCACAGTGGTGAGGGGCAAATAGTTTGAAGTCAACGACCTAAACCACTGGGCCACGGACGCCCCCGTAGAAAAGATATATCCTTTTTTTCAACTGAAAAGTACCAACTTTTTCCAAGTTTCTTAGGGACGTTTACATGGCTTTTATTCAGACAAACATTCCATGTATATAAAAGCAAGTCACAATATTGCCATTTCAGCATTTACAAAAACTTTTATAAATTTCCTTACCTTTTAACAAAAATCATGCTAAATATCTTAAATGTACTTGTCCATCTTTCAATCTGGACAAAACCCATTTATGATTTATAAAAGGCAGTTTAGAATCTAATGTAAATATGGGTAGTATTACCCATACTACAAAGAAATTTTCTATCTGTTTCATTTTATAACAGTAATTCATTACAAACCATACAACTGGTAATATATGACGTTGTTTTTAGAATAGTTCAACAGATTTGTAAATCTCACCTCGTCCTGTCATTGGTGTCGTAATGACAGAGGGGGCTGGTGTAATAAGTGGAGTCGACGGCTCCTGCAACACTTCTACATACGCCACCGGAAATATACCTTGTCGATTCCCAACGCGACCCTCAAACCAATTATCATCTACGTTACGTAATAATGTTACTATATCACCCTGAAAAAATAAATATGAATGTTACAAACTGCAGTTTATTACATAGTTATTTCATCTAATCAGACCCACTTTAAAGCTCATATCTATTATTAATGACTTCAAAAAATGATAAACTTTAAACAATTTTACCCTGATCCTTTGCTGTTTGTTTGGTTTTTATGCTGATTTTAACAAATCTTTGATCTGACATATATATCTTGATGGTTGATTAATCTAACCGGTTTTCCTGTAACTGTAATTACTAATTCCTCCACAAGTGATCCACTACTAATCCAACAGGATATCTATTATAACTAGACCTATCACTGAAGGTGATTAATACCCCCACCAGCAACTTTTTGAAAAATAAGTAGTCTGAAGAAAAATTTCAACACAAACTATCAACTGTGTACAAAGAAATATTTCAATTAATTGTAATCCCAACTGGGGTCTCCAAATAAGCTTGCTTTTCACAAAGTTTGATTACAATATCTCATTCCTAACTCTAGTTATTGTCCGGAAACCATTTTTCTATTTTAAGGAATGGTGACCTTGACCTTGACCCCAGGGGGTCCAAATGCAATACCAACCCAGGTCTTCATATAAGCTTGCTATACACCAAGTTTGATAACAATATCTCATTCCTAACTCTAGTTATTGTCCGGAAACCATTTTTCTATTTTTAGTAACGGTGACCTTGACCTTGACCCCAGGGGGTCCAAAAACAATACAAACCCAGGTCTTCATATAAGCTTGCTATACACCAAGTTTGATTACAATATCTCATTCCTAACTCAAGTTATTGTCCGGAAACCATTTTTCTATTTTTAGTAACGGTGACCTTGACCTTGACCCCAGGGGGTCCAAATACAATAACAACCCAGGTCTTCATATAAGCTTGCTATACACCAAGTTTGATTACAATATCTCATTCCTAACTCAAGTTATTGTCCGGAAACCATTTTTCTATTTTTAGTAACCATGACCTTGACCTTGACCCCAGGGGGCCTAAATGCAATACCAACCCAGGTCTTCATATAAGCTTGCTATACGCAAAGTTTGATAACAATATCTCATTCCTAACTCTAGTTATTGTCCGGAAACCATTTTTCTATTTTTAATAACGGTGACCTTGACCTTGACCCCAGGGGGTCCAAATGCAATACCAACCGGAGTTTCCACATAAGGTTGCTATATACCAAGTTTGATTACAATACCTCATTCCAAACTCTAGTTATCGTCCGGAAACCATGATGTGGACCGACCGACCGACCGACCAACAAGCTGACTCCTATATACCCCCCCTAAACTTCGTTTGTGGGGGTATAATAATAGCTTATTAGATTTTGCTTAAAATCATAAAATCTTGAAGTAAAAGTGTTATATGAACAGTAAATAACGTATAGTAAGGCAATGGACTGCTTATATTAGTGTTTGAAAACCTTGAAAAAGTGGTTGGTCCACTTAAATTAGTGGTTGGATCCCTAATATAACAGAGCCTGCATTCATTGGATCCCTGAAAATCGAACATAATGTAAACCCTGCCTGAGTATAAACTGGTGGCACTGGCAACTTTGCTGCAATTGCTCATACAAGATAAGAAATTACCTTATTAAGGGGCAGCTCAACAGAGGTTTGTGAGTTGAACGTGTATTTGGCTCTAGCTTGCCCCTCTGACTGTCTGGCTGCTGTAGAGGCCTCCTCTATAGATGTTAGCACTTCAACATAGTTGACAGGAAATATACCAATACGTCCATTTCTCTCGCCTTCAAACCAGTTTGCGTCTATCTGTCTTATCAGGTATAAAATGTCACCTTTCCTGAATGCCAACTCTCTGCAATGCAAAATACATTATTGTTATCTCTTTAATCGGCTCAATTTCTGTTATTTGCTAACCATTATCTCTCTACCATACAAAATATAAGATTTTCATAATCTTGAATCTACTTTATTTCTGTAATGAACAAACCTTTAATTTTTTAAATGTTCATTTCATTGTTCATCAGGGATTTCAATGTGAAATTGCTAAATTTGATTAGCTAACAGTATAGGATAACATCAGGCAGGCAGAAGCAAGCACCTGAATAGAACCATCAATGGTAGCTAGAAAACTTGCTCACATAAAAGAATCATAAGTCCATGGCAGGATTCAAACCGATACTGGTTAGGGACAAGTGGTTTGAAGTAAACGGTTTTAACCACTTGGCCATGGACGTCCCTGTCTGTTGCTAGGATAAGGGGTTTAAATATCAAAATATTATAAAAGAACAGCCTACTGTATTGTCTGGTTACCAGTACCATGCTAAATATCTTAAATAAACTTGTCCATCAGTCAATTTGGATAAAACCATTCATCATTTTCAGGGAAAATTTCAAAATAAAATATTAAATACTGACTAAGTGCACTATGCAGACCATGAGATGGCAGATTCAGTCACCACCAGCAGGGTAAGAGTTAATTATCACCATAATTATACTGTATATACATGTACCTTGAATTGTGAGCTGTAAAGTTATACAGTCCTTTGGCTTTCCCTTGAATCTTGAATCCTCTCCGTCTATCCTCCGGTACTGTGCCATACTCAAACCTGTCATTTGGGATCGGAGATTTCTGCGACGGTCTAAAATAAAGCAAAGAACATTTTTAATAAATATAACAATAAATGCTTCAAGTAATGTATCTAAGAATTATTAGGGTAATATGAAAACTGGGTCAAACTTTAGTAAGATCATTTTCCATCAGATTTTCAAGTTACTTAAAATGCTCCAAATTAGGACATAATTGAAATAAAAAGTTTTGTTGAAATTAAAAAAAAAAACTTCTAAATTTGTTAATTAAACCAAATTACCTCACTTTCATTACAGTTACAATGCTCCATATGTATTAAAGTTTTATGTATTCTCATTCTTGCATAACAAATCTGTTTCACATTTCCTCCATATAAAAGTTGATGTAGTAAATTAATATAATAATACATGTATGACAATCATTATGTTGTTCTCATAAGCCTACCTTTACTTTGTCAAAATGAATTGTAGCTGTTGTCAGAGGCAATTAGCAACCCTTTAATCAACATATTTATTATAAGCCTAATTCTTCTTAATTTCAGGAGCATGCAAAATACTAGCAATATAGCAGTTCGAGGTATAACGTAAAAATAAAGTATTCTATGTATTTATATATAATAGCAATAGTGTTGATCTTTGTTTGTCAAAAAAGTTGAAGTTTAATTTTGAAGACAGCATGTGGCTTAATATTTGAAACACCCCCCAAGTCTACTTCCTAGACTTAACTAGTACATGTACTTGTGTCATACGTGCTAACATAGTTATGACCCAAAAGTAAGCCTCAAACTTATAAAGTTATAATCTCTTGTATGGCAAGCAAATACCTTTAACTTTACCCTACCTGTCTTCCTGTTTGTTTTTATTTTATCAGATTGAATTCATGCCTTTATGTCAAAATAAAGTGATTTATTTCCAGATTAATGCATTGGCATAAATGGTCTATATATATCTTTGTAGCAGTTAAATTGTTGGATTTTGCTCATGCAGATTTATTTTATTACAAAATATTATTATTTTATTATTCCTGTTTCTACAAACTATGTGCCATAAACTAAATATGCTAAAGCTAAAATCCTCATCATTTTTTATTACAAAATGAAATAAAAATAGTGCTGAAATAAAGAAGTGTTTTCTCTAACTTAAATGTTAGTAAGTGAAGTTTTTATGAAACTTAGGAAATTGATCACTAAGTAAACTAAAAAGGCAGTCTGTCATTGGCCAAAAATCAGTCTAGTATCTGCTACGTCAGAAAACTCTGCTTAACCTGTAACACATTTCCATTTTGCTAGATTATCAAGAAAGACAACTCTTACTTACTTGCTAATAATGAGTATTTAATTAATAAATCTAATGTACATTGTGCAATATGGTTAATGACAACAATATTCAGATTCTAACAAAAACCATTATAATTATGCATACAACCATATCTGTTAAAAATAGTTACCAAAATGTGCAAAATTATGCCTACAATAATCATGTTAAGTGGAATGATAGAATTATTAATAGTGCTATGCAGTGTATTTTACACCAGATGTGATAGCTTTTTTTTTAATGACCTTTGACCCCTGACCTCTGTGAACACCTTTGACCTTAATTGCTATAACTCACATTCAACACAAAACTTTTTCCTGGTCATGAACATTAGTAAAGTTAATTGAACATTTGCAAACACAAATATTGATGATATTAAGATAGTAAGATGAAAATTCTGTCTCCTTCCCTCTGAACATATGACCTTGACCTTCACATACATTTACAATACATATTTACATTGTCTATATATGGGAAAACTTAGAACTTGATCAATATGTCCTCCCTCTAGGCCAGACATAAATGTCAAGCGAGATCACTATCTCAGACATAGTATGACGTAACAGTCATGCCCAGACAATGCAAACTGCCCAATCAATATCATCAGATATACTAAACTTTAAAATAACTTAGGCACCAGATGTTTATTGTAATGAACCTTTCCCTGCAGAATGGATTATCTGGCTAACGAAATATGTTTAATAATCATTTTCTGACTAAATGCCTTGACATTTAAAGATGTTATCCATGAAAGCATTAATGTATATACAGCATGTTTTTTACAAATTGTATGATTCAGTCACAATGAAGATTCCCTGGTAACCATATTGAAAGCGCAAAATCTAAACAACTCTGAATAGATATAGGGAAAAAAGAACTAATTAAGGTATATTTTGGACTTTTTTCTTTTACCTTTTTGGTTGTTAGGATTTACAACACAATGATATCGATCTAACTTATATGGCAAATCTCAGCTTTTAACTGATTAAAAAAAAAGACTTCAGAATACATTTTTCATCATTTGGGTATAATCAGGCATCTGAGAAGAACCACCGACCTTCAGTTACCTAGCTAAGTAGCTTCATTTGGTAATTAAGATTCAAAACTCAAACCCGAGAGCGACCAATGACTTAGCAAGCAGCATTAACAATTGGACCATGGAGGCTCCATGAGATCATTAGACCATGTAGGATCCATGAGATCATTAGATCATGGAGTCTCCATAAGATTATTAGACCATGGAGTCTCCATAAGATTATTAGACCATGGATTGGTTGGCTGCGAAGGAAAAACACTACTTCCGCACACTACTAACTCTAGCACTTTGGTGACAGCGACTGCAAATGGTTTATAAAGATGCAACATTAATTAATTATTAATTTTTATTACATGCTTTTCGGTGGTTTATAGAAATATATCAGTGAGTTAAAAACTTATAATTTCACTGTTTTGAATATTTGAGCCCAGTACGTTGTTTCAGTGAAATACAAGCGTTCACAGTACTGGAAACCAACTTAATGACGTGACGTCGTAAATGACGTGACGTTATATTATTATTTGGCGCCCTTTTCATTAAGTACTAAGTTAAAATGTCTTTTTAAACGTTTCTTTGCATATAATAAACAGAAAATGTGTTTAGTTTAATGTAAGATCGAAATATATTTCACCTCGTGAGCACCAAAAGTTCATATTTCACTCGTGGCTGCGCCACTCGTGAAATATACCTTTTGGTGCTCACTCGGTGAAATATATTCCGATCTTACACTGAACTAAACAAATATCCTCTATATCTCTCTATTGTTAAAACATTAGAAAATATTATATTCACTTATTCAAAAATGCTTTATTCTATGGTGTACTATTTTAGTGTAGAGTTTAATGTTAGTAATCAAGCAAAAAAAGGGTAATCTGGATTCTAAATTTACTCACACTTGTTGTTGGTTGGTGGGGTTGCTGGCAATAAAGGTGGGTTTGTTTCTTACAACAACAATTCAATCAAAATGTGTAGAACAGTAAACTCTTGATTAAGAACAGTTAACTCTTGATTTCCCTATCTTTTTTTCTAATTCAAACTTTAATCTAAGTATCATCACCTTAGTGCAGTAATGGGTTAACTCCTATTAAGTAATATAAGGAGATACCATGTTACTGCACTAAGGTGATAGTCTAAACTTGAATTACTAAGCTGATCTGATTCATTTTCTATAGCGAGTTGATATATTAATATTATTTTTTATTCTAAATTTCAATTCTGCGTCACTATAAAAAATGGTACAACAGTTATAAATTTCCATTGCAAAATAATTAGAGTTTTTCTGTAAGTCAAAATTTTCGTCAATCTCATAACTTTTTTTATATTTTACTACAAAAATACTTAATTCTCTTTTCAAAACTTCATATGGTAATAATTATCACAAATATTACAAATTTGTAAAATTTCTTCTTTGTACACATTTTTCAAAAAACACATTTTTTCTCAAAGTAACAGCTTTAGTAAAAAATACAAAACTCAACTTTTAACAACCAAACTTTGAAACATCATATTTTCTAGAGCTTGTTTCTGAATCTAACACAAAACCCTCCTGATTTTTTTGTAACGGACTTGCCAAGTTTTGAATTTGGAACTGCCCATTTAGAGTTAAGGGATTTTAGCATATCAAAATGTTGACAATAAGCAGACGACAACGTGAATGATGAGTCATCAAAATGAAAAAAGTGCAGGCTGGCCTGGCTTTATTCTTGTATATAAAGGCAGCAACAGTTTACTGTCATCAATGCAATCCATGCCAGAAATGTTATAAAGAAACTCTGTTGTTTTTTTGTGTTTTTTTTTTATTTCTTCGCCATAAAACAAATTTCTAAACAATGATTTTTCAAAGTTTGGTTGTTTATGAGAAACAAGATATATATGTAAATATTGTTACAATAATTATAATATAATTTCTCCATAAACTTATACAACTTACAAGAGAAAGTCCGAGTGTTTCCGTGAAGCGATGTCAGCCTGCTGCTGTAAAATCTTTTTCCGCCTTTCCTCTTCGTAAATTTGTTCCTAGATAAAATGTGAAGGCATGTTATTACATCTATGTGACTAAAATTACTTATACCATGCAAGATATGAGCTTTCAAAACACATAGTATAAAATTAAAGGAACTCTACTGGTACCTAAAAACATAAAATTTGAATTTGTTAAATAGATCAGTTGGGGCACTTGAAACAGAAAGATTTGCAAAAGATAATTAAGAACAGTTACTGTACCCGGACAGTAATTGAAAATCGTATTATTGTGCTATTTTTAGCTCGATTTGAATTAAAAATGTTACAACACTTTTCAATTTTAGGTCATTTTCCACAATTTGAGTAACTATTCTTAGTGAGTGAATATTCTGACATTTTGCACATAAGTTATTGGTCTAGACCTGCATCAAATAGAACATAAATCTTGAAAAATTATTTCCAGTCCTGAGTCCTGTAATGTCAAAAAACTTCAGCACTCCCATTAATATTGCATTTTCCAAAAAATGAGCAAAAGTTGTTTCAATTTGAACCTTTGAAATGTCCCAAGTTTAAAGCACCATAAAACTTCAAGAACTTATTATAACTTACAAGTCTTCTTTTTCTATATGATTCTTCTTCTTCTCTCCTTCTTTGATCTTTGTCACTAGGTCTTTGCTGACTTCGCAACTCCTCAGTTGTTAGATGTCTGAATGCTGCAAAACATAACAATATTTCATTAAAGATCGTTCTCATTTAACGTAAATAACAATTTTCCCTGTGGTTTTTGTTAATAATTTAGTCTCGGCAAGCTAAAAAAAATTTGTTTTTCATGAAATCAGCCTTAATATTAATTATCTATAGTAAGATTTTTCGCTGCTTGAACATCTAATATCATCAATGTTTACATTCAATACTGGTCTTAATGATTTAATATATTTATAAATACATCAGTAAAGAAAAGTTGATATTAGACTGTTTCCTATTTAATAACTTTGTCTCATTATAAGGTACTGAAGACTAAAAACAACTAAAGTGAATTCATATACTCCTACTTTTTTTCATTTCTTCCAACAAGAGTCAAATGAAAACATCGATTTGGGCTAATTACAGAAACTATCATTATTATACTCATACCCATGCAAGTTTTTGGAAATCTTGAATGAAATGAAGTTGTAACTACTATGATTATGCATTTAGGCCTATGTTTTGACAGGAGTTTCTGAGCATTGTGCAAGAGAAAATTTCTAAGCTACGGCATATAGTCAAATTTGACTTAGAGGTCAAGGACATGCATTACCTTATTATCAAACCTTACAGTGCTCTCCCTACTTGCACTATAACTAAATTGTTAGAACATAGTCTAAAAAAAGTTTTTTACCTGTTTGCCTGTGATAGTAAATTACTTTGCCAAGTTTTTACTTATAAACAGGAGTTTTAAAACATACAATATTAAACATGCTAAAGTTTGCAAGCTTAAATTGGTAAATTTAAATTCATTCTATATGTTATCATTACTAAGTAATGATGGGGCCCCATAATTAATAATGGAACACATATAAAATGTTCTATTAACTCTATTATTACTGAGGTATATCAGTTTATATAATGTGACAATTACTCTGAAAAAAAAAAAATAATTTCCACCAAAATTCTAGAAAGTTCTATCTGTGCTAATCCCCTCGACTATAAACGCTTGAAATTTGGCTAAATATATATATCTAAATATATATCACAAAATCTATGATATAATCAGTTCGCCTTAAAATCAGATAATATAAACCTAATAACTTTATTGCAAACCTTTAATAATGAATGCAGAGTAAATTATATTTTAAGACAACAGATAATTTAACTCAATGGTTTGACCTTGACTTAAATTTCTAACCCTGGTGGAAGCGGTTGTGATATGATCATTTGCCACGAGTATAGAGCCAGGCCAGCCTGTATATCTGGTGCAGTCTGACCAGGTTTTATACTGATGGCTGACTAAATTTGAAATTTCATCTTGATATACCTAAAATATGATAATGGAAAGTTCCTAAAATGGAAGCTGGACAAGTCTATTAAGAGCTTCAGGTAAAGAGATAACTAGATAAACTGTACATGCAGCATACTGACAATATTGGCAATAATTTTGGCGACAGTTGAATTTCATGCATCATATTGCATCACCTTTCTAGAATTTATGCATTGGAAGAATATTAAAACAAGAGCACCGCTAGGCGGAGCATTATATGCCTGAAAGTGTTTTTTTTATTCTTTTTAAGTAAGGATAAAGCATTTTTTAGACAAGGGAATGAAATAAAGTAATACCTCCTTCAAATACCATTATCCTATGAAGTTTGAATATTGTGGGCAAAATGGAACTCAAGTTATGCTCCGCAAACTTTTTCAATTTTAAGGTAATAGTGACCTTGAACTTTGACCTTGTGATCCCAAAAGCAATAGGGATCTTCTACCCAATATGGACAATCATCCAATGAAGTTTGAATATTGTTGGGCCAAATGGAACTTAAGTTATAAAGCTTTTCAGAAAGTAAATGTACGGACGCGGACGCCAGGGGTTTACAAATATGCAATTATTTGAGATTTAATATTGTCAAAAATCTAAGTTATTCACGTAAAACTTTTTTCAGAAAGTAATTCTTGAACTGATTACAAATTAGGTTTCTTTACAAAGGAAAATATCTATAGTGTTGAAACAAAATGTAACATGTAATGCTCGGAACATTTTCATTTAACTTAATAGTGACTTACTTAAAGTTGATATTTACTTATAAGTAAATATTAAGATGTACCTAAAATCAATATCTTAAATAAGCAATAAACCCTAAAGTTTGAATTTCCAAATAGAAACTAATTACTGGAATCATTTAAAAAGTTATCACTTTGGATTGTGATCCAAATCATGATGGCTTTCTAAAGGACAATATCTAGATTTTAAATATTGTAAATGGAATAAGTAACCAATTACATTGCTAGGACATGGCGGACGCCAGGGGGTATAACATAATATGCCCGAAATTCTTTCGGGAATAATGTCTTAAAAGGTAGTGTAATGAAACAAATATGGTAAGGACATTAAATATTAACTTTACATTAGGATTTTACTTAAAGGTACCATGATAATTTACTTAGAAGTAAAATATTACAAGATTTGAGTTACCTATAAAATACAATATCTATTCAAAGCAAAGTAAAGGCTAACATTTATGAATTCACAATATTGATAATTAATATCAGGTTATCATTTCAAAAAGTTATCAATTTGGATCATAAAGCAGATAACAGAATGCATTTTAAAGACATATAGATTTATAATTATCTTATTAAAGGAAAGCAACTGATTACATGCAGGGACATCTGACTTCACGATAATATACAGCATAACTGAGTATTTGTGGCATGAAATTTCAGTATAAATTTCATCATTGGACAGAAGTCGGGTCTCATGGAGAAAGACCGTTTTTGATTGGTTAAGGAGGTGAGGTATACATTATCACTCTTAAAATGTATGAGTGGGTAGATGACTGAATTGTTCAATTTTTTTAAATGTTAAAGGCCACAATTTTAAGAAAAATATAAAAAGAAATCAAAATACTTCAAAGAATTTCCTCACATTAAGGTGTATATCAGCAATGCAATTTTATATATAAATTATGAGTCTAAATGATTCAAGTCATTCTGAGATGACACTCATGGTACCCAGGTATTGTGAATGTCCCGTAAAAAAAAAAAAAAAAAAAAAGGAGAAAAGAGAGAAAAGTAGAAAAATATTGACATCTTGACTACAGACATACTTCATAGTCAATAAACATTAATACATGTAGATTAGAGCAGAATAGCTCATGCTTAGTTAATTTGTCAGATTTTTACAAGATTTGTCAAGATTCATTGTCAGAAAGATAAAGTAAAACACAGCTAGAATAATAATAATTTCAGATAATTGTTTTACTAAAAATCATTTCTCAATAAACATTGTACATAATAATGATTGTATTAATTTGATGTGCATTTTTATCAGTATATTGTAAGATTAGCTTGTTAGTGTTACTCTGGAAATTATGCTATTCAAGAATGTCTGTTTAGCTGTTTTAGTATTAATGGGTGGGGTGTTATTTTTACATGTGTTGCCTCTATACTTACCACTGCTATCATTTATTTCCTCATCCACTGTTTAATTAAAATAGTTCATGCAAACCATTGTATTATCAAGTATTATTTAATAATGAAGATCAAACGAAACAAAAGAAAAATATCAAAGTTACTTCTTAATTAGTTAAAGTAAGCATTATTTGTAAACTGAATCCACCATTAAATTTAGAGCTTGAAGAGCTTTTAATTGCTCACCTGAGTTCAGTGTGAATAACAAGAGCTGTCCGTAAGACAGCGCGCTCGACTTTTTTATTGCTTGCCAATAAAAAAAGTTTTTGCAGTAAAAGGCAATACAAGAATCTCTGTATTTTTAAAGTGAACTAGTTGTTTGATACCCTTGAATATTACAGCAATGTTTATATGACATAATTTATGGTAAAGTGAACAAGTGGATAGGAATGAATTTTTTTAGATTTTTTAAGTTTTTTAGTGCTTGCCTATAATACAAAACATTGACAGTTAAGGGCCATAATTCAAATAAAATCTTTGACAGAATTACCTTCTCCTGGACATGTTTGGGAATCATGATTGTAAACAAGTATTCCAACTTTCAAATTAATATCTCAAACAGTTCAGTCAAAAAGTGGACTGGTACTAAAAACTTAACCAAGATTCTAAGTCGATAAAAGGCCTTAATTTTTAAAACAAATCCTTGACAGAGTTACCTTCTCTTGCGTACAGATGGGGGTAATGATGTGAAATAGCATTAAAAGTTTCAAAGCAATATCTCAAAGGGTTAAGGCAATAAGTGGATTTTACCCATATTCAATGTATTTTCTAAGTCAAAAAGGGGCATAATTCTGTCAAAAACCTTGACAGAGTTATGTCCTCTTGTCTGTTGATGAAGGTCGTGATGGTAAACAAGTATGGTCAGTTTCAAAGCAATACCTCCAATGGTTTTGAAATAAAGTGAGGTGGTACAAAAAACTTAACCAAGCTCAATACACTTTCTAAGTCAAAAAAGGGCCATAATTCTGTCAAAAACCTTGACAGAGTTATGTACTCTTGTCTGTAGATGGAGGTTATGATGGTGAACAAGTATGGTAAGTTTCAAAGCCATACTTGTAATACTTCTGAAATAAAGTGGGGTGGTACGAAAAACTTAACCAAGGTGTGACGCCAACGCCGACGCCAACGCCGACGCCGGGGCGAGTAGGATAGCTCCCCTTTTCATAGAAAAGTCGAGCTAAAAATAACTTAAAATTTGCAGATCATAACATGAATGTTACACTCGTAATTAAAGAAATTATACTATTCTGGTATCAGTGTTTAATTTAAATAATCTGGTACCTTTTAGCTCCCTTAAATACAGTGACAATATTATAACTGGCCATAATGTCGGCAGTATACTATAGCCTCTGGCAGCTAAATTCAACCAGCTTTTATAGCAGACTCTCTTCTGATAATTCCAGGTAAATTCTTAAGGTATAAATTTGAAATCATGTAAATATCTAATAAATTATTCAAAGAAGCACTAGACCTATGGCAATTAGTGACAAATGACCCAACAATTAATATGAAATACATTTGTATCTACAAAGGATGGACAATCAACGCTAAGAACGGACAATCAACGATCTTAAAATGTCATGATGAGCACTACATACTCATCTTGACATGCAAATTATAACTTATTAAAACATTTAAATAAATTAAACCCACAGTACTTAGCATATGAAGTAAAACCAAAGAAGTATGTTTAATTAAAATCACTGAAAAAAAATCAACAATAAAAAACAAAACAATAATTAAAAATCAACCAACTTTAAAAAGCAGAACACGCAACCATAAACCTATATGTTATGGCAAAGCATCACACAGTGTGAAAACAAAAATCAGTGAATGAATACCTCCGTTTATGCGTGCTGGCGGCGGGCTCTTTACACCTAGCTGCTGTGCCGCAGATTGTGAACTCCTGTTAGGTCGTGATCGGGAAGGTTTGCTACTTGGAATAGATATCCGTAACGGGTTTCGGACAGGGGGATTTGGGATAATACTAGAAGGTATCGAACCATTGGTCCGATACACTGATTTTTCATTTGTTTCATGCGTTGTATTTGGCTTGGAAAACAGATGGTTATTTTGGGACTTTGAAAGTTTCTGATGATATGTCTCGGATGATTTGATTGGTTCATTGGAGGATTTCGTCTGGCTCTGGATAGTTTCTACAACATGCAAACAAGGAAATAATAGGAACAAAACATAAACACAAGGACTCTGACATTCATGCAAAAACAGAAATTCCCTTACCTACTGTGTCAAATGAAACATTCTTTATAAAATTGTTATAGATTTCACAAAAGCAGATGCACATAGTTTACTCATTCATTAATGTTTTCTTTTTTGTTGTGCAAAAATAAAATCATTAACGTAATAGTGCACAAGTGGATGCAATGTCAATATTGGTGACAGAAAGTTGTATCTCTGCCACTGTAAAAGAAATACAACTGTTTGGCTCCTCAGAGCTAACAACTAGTTTTGGCACAAACCCAAGACCCCTCCTTAACTTTCAAAGGTCATTTCTCAGAACTTTATTAATTCAAATTTCATTTACAACTATTTGAATGGCCAATTGTTAAAATAAAATGTGAAAAACTGCATTTAAATGTTTATAAGGTCACACATATCTCCCTTAAGATTGTCATGTACAATAAATCCATTAACTGATTAACTTTCAGGAATTGAACATTCTATCGAATAAAAAACTCTTCACTGTATTTTTAATGTATGTTGTATATATGTATAACGACAAATAACTGTTATGTTATGTTCATGTCATATTGTACAATAAAATCTGTTCTGTTCTGTTCAGTATCAAAATTCTGATGCTGAAAAGTTTTTAAAATTTAGTACCAAGGGTACTATTAAAAAATTCCAGAAATAAATTTTCGATTGTCCTACGGAAGGTGGCCACGTTTTTATTCATTCACTACCCCCACCTCAGTAACTAAATTCAAACTTTGTATGGCTATACTTTTTACCTGTATAATTAGATAGGTATTTTTACTATTTTTGTTTCCATGCCATATCTAGTGGTGCAAAAAAATGAATCTTTAAATAAAACCTCAATTGCCACCTTTTTGTTTTGTTTAATACCTTTTGTAACTTAATTTAAACATTGCCTAAGGTGACCTATATAGATAGGTATTTGTACAATTTTGTATCCATGCCATTACAATGATGATGGGTGTAGATGTAACAAGCAACATAAAACACATTGACAAAAACAACATAACAGCAATAATATGGCAAAAAATATGTAATATTTGACCAGCTTAACTTATCTCATTATAAATGATACAGATAAAAGTGTCACTATTCATTATACAAAATTTCACTGTTATATATATTATGTTAATCAAATAAACAAGAGAGCCCGTTATGGCCATTCACTGCTCAAATTAACTCAAACAAACGCTTATGTTTAAAAGTTGGAATCCAAGTCAAATAGCACAAAGCTTACTATGAGAATAAACCTAATAAAGATCTTAAGAAAAACATTAAGATTATCTTTCAGGCAGATTATGAGCTTGTTGTTCTCATAAGACCAAAAATCAACAATGGACTTAGTATAGTGAAGCAATTTTGTGTTGCCTTTTTTCCTGTAAACAATTTTATGTCTCAACAAATATATACCATTTTTTTGCCATTCTATCACACAACATATAAAGCTGAACATAACAGGATAACAAAAGCATAAGTGACAAAACAATGCCCAACAGAAAAATTACCAAAATTAGCCTCAGATCTGTTAGTATGTATTTGTTTGTCTCTAGCCTTGTTTGTCTGTATGTCTGGCCGCATTCTAGGAATAGTGCTGTATCCCACTCCTTCAGCTGAACTAGGATTCAGTTTATGGCTTCTTGGTAAGGTTAGAAATTTCTTAGACACAAAAGTATCACTCATTTGATCATCTGACTCAACAATCTTATTTCGTTCAGCATCAATGTCATTAAAATTTCTAGTCTTTGATTTATCAATAGCACATTTCTTAACTTCTAAGGAAGGTATCCATCTATTTGGACTAACTGTAGTATCTGACCCGACAAATGTTTCAACATTCGGTAATGTAACACATCCATTTCTATTGCTGTCATTTTCTTTATTCCACTTTGACCTAGAACCTTTAATTTCTGCCCATTCAGTTTCAATTTCTTGCAGATAATTCATGGTCATTTCATCAGCAGAACAAGGTGAACAAGATGTCTCTCTCTCATCAGATGTTTTGTACATGTTTTCAGACCTCACCTTTTCTCTTCCTTTAGAGAGCATATACCTTCCATCAAGGTCATATGAATCTGTGTTTGGTATCCAAGATTGTTCAGATGGATTATCCACATTGAGCTGAATGTGAGACTTTGCGGAACGTGGACGTATTGCACCATCTTGTTCTGTAAGATCTGGCTCGGATTTTGACCTACATTGATCTAATGTATTCTTTCTGCCTATACTGTCAGCATATTTAAACCTATCTTCATTCTCATCATCAGAATCATTAACAATAAACGTGTCATTGCTGCTTACACTAATTCGCCTTTCATCCCGATCATCTCTACCAAATATCTGACTCACAACAGGTTTATGCAGAACAGGTTCAGTGGTTTGTACAGGTTTAGACAGGTACTGTGATGAACTACTCTTTGGAAAAAACTTACTAGAACAAAATTCGTTATTATTGGCTAAAGGCCTAAGGTTTGTTATCTTAAAAGTTGGCATAGAATGATGAAATACAGTCGAAACTAGTGTCCTTGGAGGTCCTTCACTTGCAGATAGTGGAGCAATAGACATTTCAGAAATCACATGACCATTATCTTCATCAAAATTTTTCTTCAGGGAAGAACTGTCTGAAAAACTTGAGTCAGTGCCAGGAACAAAGCGATTCAACATCAAATCTGGTGTTGTTTTACTTTTTGGTAATAACTTTCTCTTCTGCATAGGACTGTTCATAGTTGTATGAATATCTGAGCATTCTTTATCATTTTTGTTTTCAATCTTAGCTACTACATCTTTGACACTTGTTTTTGGAACAACATCAGTTGTGCTATGTTTGAAAGAAGTTGTATTTACCAAACTGACATCTGGAACACTTTTAGTTTTATTTAAAGAGTACATTTCTTTTGGTCTCATAGTTTGCTGTCCTGTGTTTTCAGACTGTGGAAATCTCTCATTGAGCAATGATTGGTGGCCCATTTCTATTGGCCAATTATTTTGGAGTTCTGTATTAAAGAATCTATCTTGTGATGCTTGTCTGCTAATACTTCTGTCTGCTGCTGTAACAGTGTAACTGCCATCTGCAGCTCTCTGGACGATGAAGTTGTCATTTGATCGTCCCCTTGATAATCTGCGGACTGGTTCATCTAAATTTGCAGTGGCTTTATACTGTGGATTCTCAAGTGAGTTATAGATATGTAGATTTGATTGCATTGGACGAGCAACAGCTTCTGTGGCAGTAGCATGACTAGCAAAGTCATGTGGTCCTGACATTATCTTTGGATAAACCGGAGGTTTCTGGCTAACTTGCCTTGGCACAGGAGTAACTTCTGCTACTGTTGGATTTGACTTTTTTGGGAAAGAATGCCTTGAAAACAAAGCACCTTTAAAAGAATCTGATCGCTTATGACCTTGATCTGTACTGTCTGCAGCAGACGCATCTTGTAAATGCTTTGAATAGGGAGCTGAAAGTGATCTTACATGAAGATTATCAACTAAAGAACAGTGTTCCTCCTTATTTTTCTGTTTCTTTGCTTCCACTAAAATCTCATAATCATCAAGTTTCTCTGGAATGTGAGTTCCATACAATGGTCTTGTCAGTATTTTAGGACTACTTGCAGCTCGTTCCAACTTCTTTTTAAACTTTGATGTATCAGTAATCTTTTGTTTACCACCTTTTCTGCCTTTCTTTAGTTTCTCAGCATTCATTGCATGTCTAAAGAAAGAATTCTGTAATTCATTATCCACACTTTCTTTTTCCTCCTCATCTAAATGTTCATAAAATTTCTTTAAATCATTTAAAGACTTTCCTTTCCTTTTTAAACCACTGTCTCTTGATGGTTTCCACTGATAAACTTCAAGTTTTTGAAGATCATAAAAGAATTCTTCATTTCTCCGGGCTTCACTGAGCTCTTGGTATAACCACTGCAATTCTTCCATACTTTGAACATCATATTTAGCATACAGTTTGTGACAATCTCGACTTTCAACAAAGGTGGGACTTATCTGAGGTGATTTTGCTTCTATGTCCCTTATTCTCTCTAATACTGCAAAGTGCTTTTGTAACTTGAGGAATTTTTCAGACTTTCCACTGGAATGTAACAAACCAGCTGTGTAAGATTGGTAAGTTGAATGATCAACCCTGCTTTTCTCACTACAAACTGAACTTTTACAAGAAACAGGCTTCGGAAGAAAATCGTAACATAACTTACTTCTGTCATTTGAAGGAGAATTGTTTTCACATTTTGTATCTTTTACATGACCTTCTGACCACTGACTAAGAGAGTGCAAGCTTGACCTTGGGGTTTCTTTCGCACTTAATTCTTCATCAGCATCATAATCCATTGGTGTTGGAGAAGCACTAGGTACAGATGAACTTTGCTTTAGAAGCTCTGTTAATCTTTCTCTTTCTTTTGCAGCAACTTTTTCTTTATAATTTTCTAAATGCTTTTTGTAATAAAGCTTTCCACTCCCATCTTCATAGTCATGCCCTCGAGGTGACCCAAGCCAAGCTCCCATGCTTTTCTCAAGAGCTAAATCTCCATGTTTATTTCTCCATTCTCTTTTTGCATCATTGTTAAAATCAAACTCATCATCAGACTCATCACTATCAGTCCTATCTTCCACTGACTCTAAGGTCTCACTATCATCATCATCATCACTATCATCATCATCATTATTTTCCACATTAAAGTTCTTACTAGTATAACTTGCATCCATTTCCTTACAATGATCATATAAACCTCCTACATTTTTACTTCCTTCCGAAATTTCTGCACTATTTAGTTCTCTACCGTCCACAGTTTTTTGTTTCTCAGTTTCAAAACTTGCCATATCTCTTGTTAAATTTGAATCGAAATCAGCATCAGTTTCAATAAACTGTTTTTCATCATTATTAAAATGGTCCATGTTTAATGTCCTTTTATCTTCAGTATAGTTATCATAATGGCCGTTACTGATATCATCATTATGATAGGACTTCAATCGCTCAAGTGACTTTGACCTCTGATGATCTATCTCTTGCCAAACCTTTTTATCAATCCCTGGATGATACTCCGGTTTCAAATCAAATTTTTCTACAGTAGTCCCAAATTTAGCTCGCACTTCTGCTTCTGCGAAAGCATCACTCAGTACACTAGCAGACTCAGGAGATAGTCTCTCCTCCTCTATGAGGCGACAGTAATGCTTCTCTACACGATGTCTATATTCTTCCCTACGTTCCTGTTCCTCTTGGTCGAAAAATTCAAACTGTAATTTTTCACAACTCGAAACATGTTGAGAGTCTGTGTCAATAAACAGTGAATTTGAACTATCCTGGGAACCAGATTCCAATGAATGTGACAAAGTCTTGGTACCTGGCCTGCTGCAGTCATTCAAATAACTCCCCTGGGAACCAGACACACTGTTATCTATATCTGACATTGTTTTTCTGCTTGTACTTGATAACTTGAATTGAGAGTAATTAGTTAAGTGTACAGCAATGAAGGTTAAATGTCCTGCTCTAAGCAATTCATCTCAAGTATCCCCACATCGAAAATTTTACTATGACTGATAAGCAAGATTACTGTCACATATGGTTCTTGTTCTAAACTAACCACAGTTTCAGTACATGCATGTAGCACTATCCATTCTCACACGATCAAATAACACAAATTCTTATCTCAAGCCTTTTTCAGCATTGCACATCTAACAGGTCAATTCATTGTTTTAGCGAATGCATTTAATATATCAATATTGAATTTTAAATGTCAAAACTTTAACATTCCAAAATGCCACTCTGATTTATCTTTTGACTGTTGTAGAAAGGTCTCTTGTTCTATTTATTACATCACAATGACATGTAGAAATAATAAAAAAACAACCTACATTTTCCCATGCAGACTGCAAAATAAAGGAAATAATATTAATTTAAAATCTTTGAAAAAATACATACTATTATAAAGCAGGCATACAACATAAATATTAATTTTTGAATGAAAATTTTTAAACATGGATAGGAATCTCCTTGGTGGCATTGGTAAACAACTAAACTTAAAACCATTTTATTAATTCACTAATTTGAATCAATCCATAAAATTTTAGGTTATTTTCAGGAATGATAAAGAGATGAGATTTAAAATTTCATCGATACATTTTTTTAAAATCTAAAGCATTACAAAATACCAACTGATGTCACCGAGCAATGAAATGTATGATTTTGATAATGAGTGATAGCAACATTGAAACTTAAGCATTAAAATGAATATGAATACATGTTACACAAAAAAACAACTGTAAAAAAAACAAGCTATTCAACAGACAGGACATATTTCATTGGTCAATGCTTTATATATGATAATGTATACAGACATAAGTTTCAAGAGGAGAAGCTGAATGACCCCAAGGGAGAAATACATGTAACTGTAATAAACCAAATTAATCTTTACTCGAATTGCCACAGTAGCACCTGCTTGCTAATTAAAATGTTCAGACCAATTATAAACTACATGTGACAGATAACATAGTTTACAATAGGAGGCTGCAAGAGCGAGAAATGTGTGTCATATTGATTTGGGGTGGGAAGTGCAGGCTACGAAATTGTCACAAGACATTAACTGGCACCCGAGTGTAACCACCGACTTTATGCAAGCTACATGTAATGAAATAACTTAAACTCATACACAGGGGAGTTCTACCTAAAGCAGAAAGGGGCACAAGGGGTTGGAAGTCAGTTTGACTTTAGCCAGTAATCAATGGATAATGCTATAATTTGAATGGCACAAATATCTAAAACTAAATAACTTAGGGGCATTTCTTCCAAAACTTAAAGCTGGCCAAGTCATGACAATGAATTATGAATGGATTACTTATGTGAACTTAATTGCAAGGCCATTCAGCAAGTATTTTAAAGTCACATACTAACAAGATTTAAAAACATTTACACATAAAATATAAAGTAACCCATTAACATAACCTTGCTATTGAATATTAATAATCACAGACAGACAGACAGACAGATGGACACTGGACAATATCAAACTTGTGCATAATTGTAGGGTTTGAATTAAACTAAGTTTACAGTAGAGTGAGTAGACTTTAACCTCAGAATCCGTGTTCATGGTTTAAGCAGGAAAATAATTTTTTGATTGTGTCAAACATTACTCTTTATCACAAATAAGTAAAACAAACATGACTAAAAAGGTAAACATGCAAATTTTAAATTTCCTGTAAGTACTTTTGGGCTACATCCGTGTGATAATCATAAAATGCGAAAATTATGTATTTCTGATATTTTCTTTTGATAATTTTTGTTTGAAAAATAAAAATCCAATGAATTTTGTGTATTAATTTGCGGTATAATCTAAAACATCTTGTATCACCATGATTAATGAATGAGTCAAATCAAGGTAAATAGACTGAAAATGTAAAGATAATGTAAAGATAAAAAAATAACAAATTTGCTCTAAATATTACATTCATTATCTCCAAAGTCTCAAGTGAACATTAAGACAATTTGTAGATAATGATTGCATGAGAATTTATTTACTGATTAAATTTACTATAAATTGTGAGCAGTGTATCTTTCATATAGAGATATCAACAGTTTATGGTACACATTGTTTAAATTGTTTAAATACCCCTCAAACGTGACTACATGTACACAATGAACTCATGAATGTGCCATTTTAACACTATGCAGACTGTCAGAAAGATTACAATAAAAAAGGGGTTTATTTTCATATAAAAAGAAACAATAATGATAATGGAAATATGATCAATATTATGATTTATTGTACATGACTTTTATTTTTTAAGCATTTAAATGCAGTAAATCACACTATTTAAAATTCAGTCCACAAATCCCTTAATAGAAATTATCTGAATTCTTTTCTTTTTTTCCCTCTTTTAATACTTAAATGGCATGCAACAACATAAGAAGTGTGAAGTGTGATTGCTTTTTAATGTCCATGGCATCAGACTTTGGGGTATTTTTTTTTTATTTATATTTATTTATCGATCCTCAAATTGCTTCGACCCCCACCAGTAAATAAACAGACCAGCCTGCACATCTATGCACCCGGGCCAATTTACTGTTGGAAGCTCAATGTCTGTAATCTGATATCAAAAACCCCTAAATTCCGAGATGGAATGCTCCAAACTTCAAAGCTGGGCAAATCCATCCAAAAAGTTCACCAAGTTAAGGGTTAAATATTGAATATTTCATAACATCCATGGACAACATGAAATTACACACTTCACATTAATTAAAATAACACATACAAAATGCATGCTTTAAGAACTTAATACAGGGGCAATGATTTGGCGATATGTATCAGTGTGACAAACTGGGTTGTGATGGGAATTGCCCCGTGTAGGGAAGTTTTGTGTAGGTTATTGTGTGGGGACCATGGCAGTCACAAAAAAATCTAGAATTATTGGATACAATGTGACACTGCTAGCTTGTTCAGCTTTTATATCCATGGCTCTACATCATAATTAAATCATGTATCAGTTTATAACAAAACAATATTATTTTCCACTATTTAAAAAATTTGTGTAATCATTGTGACTTTTTTTTTTCTCTTTAGAAATATCAAATGACACAAGTAGGTTTAATATAGAGAGTTCAGTGCACCAATAGTAGTTACTTCTTCAAGTCCTCAAAGGAGGACACCTAGATCTTTTTTTCCAAAATTTTAACAATTCAAAATACTTAAAAAATATTGTCAATTGGATTAAATAAAGAGAGGGCACTAAAATACTTTACTCAGAAATTGCAAAAAGAGCAGTACTAATTACTACGCTGTTTGTAGCAGGTAGAAATATGGTATTTTTTTTATATCTAATCTGGAGGCATGTAACTTTAGTATACAGTTATATTGCACTGAACTCTCCATATACAAATATAAAGAAATAAAACTCTGGAAATATACTCTGGATTATTACTATGTACATTGTACTCTGTTATAAAGTATTTAAACATATAACTAACTGAAAAGTAAAGAAAAAGAAAGCTACAGGGAAACTGTGCAGGGTTGGGGTAGGGTGTAGGTGGTTTTTGAGGGTACCGTAATGACCATGGAATCGTAACTTACTTGGACTTTTCTCTGGTGCCGGTTTCTGTAAACCTTTTATCGGGATTTCTCCACCTTTCTGAATCTTTTTGTAGCTATCAACATCATCTGCAGAACCAGAACTTTCTAATTTCTTTCCAGTAATAAAACTGTGTTTTCCTTCAGTGCTGGAAAAGGTAAAATAAAGTGAATGACCTAAATGTTGTTTTTTTGTTGTTGTTTTTTTCAGAGACAAAACTGAGAAGACATAATATTGACAAAGTAAAAACAAGAGTTATGTGTCTTGATCTTGGATTTTTCACTATTATATTTGCTTTGTGTTTGGTTTTAACACTGATCTTAACACATTTAGGTCATATCTCCGCAGTCAGTTCACCTTTATCTGGCTTTCAAAGATAACTAACCAATAGTTACTATTTCTCTGCAAACGTCTACTTAACCAAAATGATTTCTGAATCCATGGTGAAAAATAAATTAACATCACACTGAAATGTACGAAATAAACCGTCATGGAGGAATTTTACCTCATCCAAGGATCAAACCAGCAACCAATGGATTACAATATACAGTAAACTCTGCTTATGTCATTCAGGGGACCACCAAATTTATATTATTATATCCGGATATTGTAATATCCCAGATAGTATATCCGAGAGGCAACCAATTTAAACACAAAGGGTCAGGACCACTGCAACAGCATTGTAATATATGTGGTATATTGTTATAATGTCATTTTTTGAAGTGGAGTTTACTGTAAATAAACAGATTATATAGTACACTTACTAAGTGCTGTACTGGCCTGGAAGTTCTGGAGGAGGGTTATGAGATCCTGCCTGCAATAAACAAATAAAATAATTTTAAAAAATATATACATATATCATAAACTTCACACAAAATTATTAAAAATTAAACATAAAAATATTTACATTTAACATACTAATGCAAAATTAACATGTTATTACGAACACAATTAAATGAAAACAACATAAACAACAAAAAAACAACATAAAACAATGCATTCATACAAACATGCAATAAATATTTCTGTAAGTTCTTAACAGAATTTCTTTATGATTTTTTTATAGAACATTTTACAGTTAAGTTCTTACGAAAGAAAGTTAGATTAAGTTCACTTATTTCACTTGATATCTATTTTAATAGGTATGTTATAAACTATTTAGAATGAGCAGAATGTAAAGAATTATTTTGAACTATATTTATCCTACATGACATTAATACATGTTAATAAATGATCAAAATTTTAAATGAAACAAATCACCGGTTAGTTACTATTATTTCTTTTTACTTCTTTATTTTCAATTCTTTACTTAATAGCATTAATTATTCATATATGTAAAAGTATAATCCATTAATTATTCCTGGTCATGCTTTATTTAACAATATATTATCTTGTTTATTATATCAGCCCTCAAAACTCATTCATTTCCAAAAATGGAAAAAATTATTTCTTTTCCATATTTCTGAAAGGGTAACCTCTCACACTCCTTCTTTTTGTTTCTTCATCATCATTGCTATGAGTCATGTTTAACTTAGAGAGGTTAGCTTATCCAACCAGATTATAATAATTACCAATGATCAAAGTGATAATCAGTTATGTTTTTTTTAAGATAAAAAACACTAGAAATGTGTCATCATGCCACGGATGCCCCCGCATGCAGCCAAAATTTCAGATGGTGCATTAATTATTTTTTTCATTTTAAGTTCAAAGCCCTTAATTAAAACTTTAAAATGTTAACACAAACCATTTTCATACAATGTTCAAGACACTGAAATTATTCAGTCTTAACCTTTTAAAAATAGCATATTTCATATTTGTAGCCAAAATAATGGCTAAAAGTATGAGTGCTGAAACTGAAAGTACAAAATTTTTCCAACATTCAGGAAAGATAAGTTTGTCTAAAATCATTGAACCACAACCAAATTCATACTTAAACTGCTTATTCCTAAGATGTATCTATATTATTTTCAAAGTGAAAGGGACATAACTCTGCAAAAAATCATCAAACCATGACCAAATTCCAACTTGACCTGCCCATTCCTTTGACATATCCATATGTCAAATTTAAGTTGAATATGTAACACTGTTGGGTAGATAATGAACAGAAACTGTAAATTTCATATTATTTTCAAAGTGAAAGGGGCATAACTCTGCCAAAAATCATTGAACCATGACCAAATTCCAACTTGGCCTGGGCATTCCAAAAACATATCCATATGTCAAATTTGAGTTGAATGTGTTGTACTGTTGGGGAGATAATAAACGGAAACTGAAAATTTCATATTACTTTCAAAGTGAAAGGGGCATAACTCTGCCAAAAATCATTGAACCATGACCAAATTTGAACTTGACCTGCGCATTCTTTTGACACATCCATATGTCAAGTTTGAGTTGAATGTGTTGTACCGTTGGGGAGATAATGAACGGAAACTGAAAATTTCACATTATTTTCAAAGTAAAAGGGGCATAACTCTGCCAAAAATCATCGAACCATGACCAAATTCGAACTTGACCTGTATTTTCTCATGACATATCCATATGTCAAGTTTGAGTTGAATGTGTTGTACCGTTGGGGAGATAATGAACGGAAACTGAAAATTTCATATTATTTTCAAAGTAAAAGGGGCATAACTCTGCCAAAAATCATCGAACCATGACCAAATTCGAACTTGACCTGTATTTTGTAATGACATATCCATATGTCAAGTTTGAGTTGAATGTGTTGTACCGTTGGGGAGATAATGAACGGAAACTGAAATTTCATATTATTTTCAAAGTAAAAGGGGCATAACTCTGTCAAAAAGCATCGAACCATGACCAAATTCGAACTTGACCTGTATTTTGTCATGACATATTCATATGTCAAATTTGAGTTGAATGTGTGCAACCGTTCTTAAGATAATGAACGGAAACTGATGATGACGGAATGACAGAATGACGGAAGGACGGAAGAACGGAAGGATGGAAGGACGGAAGGACGGAATGACGGAACAGGGTAACACTATATGCCCCGGCCATTACATGGCGGGGGCATAATAAAAATTTTATCAGTTTGAAATAAATTTGTGACACATACTGGGTAATGCTCCTTCTCAAACTTCTCATATCCATCTAAACTTACAATATCGGATCCCTCTCAAACTGAACTTATCATATTATGATATGCATGTAAAATCATAATCAGCTCCCTCTCTAACTTACTACATCAAAGGGGAGATGATTAGAACTCTTGATTAATTAATTTTTTTTACCTTGCTGCAACAACAAAAGGACAAAGAAAAAAACAACACAAAAAAACAACAACAACACCTTCTGTTACAAGTATGTTATAAAAAACAACAATAATTCCCAACAGTATTTCTACAAAAGAAACATCTGAGAATCAAACCCACATCTTTGCCCCAACATCTTTGCTCTCTACCACTAGAATTACTGTACTAAAATGTATCTCTAGTTAAAAATCAAAACAAAAGGACAAAAAGCCAGCTTCTCATGCAAAAAAATAAAATCTAACTTAATGAGAAGGTGCAAACAAGCAGCAAATATCAGCAGAATGACTTTCTTTCCTTTAAGAAGTAGCACATGCAAGATTCAATTCACTGTGAAGGTGTAAGACTAAGCCTTCGGGCAGTGAATGAAATCTTCTTTGCTTCTTATATTATAGCAATTCTTATGTGTGAACATGCAAGAAGCAGCAATTTATGAAACATATGATTTACTCCTCAGCCTGTAGCAGTTCTTCTTGTGCAATATTCTTTATACAATATGCTGCAAGAAGCAGTTATATTTTAACAATGACTATTAAGTAATTTGACTTTACTTATCAGATATGAAAAGCACAAAAACTGTGATTGAAACATATTTAAGTAGATTACATATAATAACATTCTATAAAATGTTTGGTTATTTCAAATACAAATAAACAGACAATTCATCGTTTATTTTCTGGTTAATATAAAAAATAGGTAAAGAAAATATGACAAATTTAGACTAGGAATGTTAAATGATTAAATGGAAGTTTAAAATTGATAAGGGAGTATAAATCTAGTATATCAAACTAGGCTGTGATTCTAAAACTTGTCATCTCACTGCAAGATTATCGTAACAACATCTTAATAATGATGGAATTACGATAGCCTTGCACTAAGGTGACACTTTTGTGATCTCTACGGTTATGGGTGTGAGTGCACTGTGTTGAAGGGAAGTAACTCCCTAAAGAGTACTTTTAACCAGAATATATTGTTACCTCCCTTTAAAATATATACATACAATAGTGAAAGTATTTCTTTTTCCATTTCCATATACATATATAAGTTTTAATAATAAGATTTCTACAATTATAAAATAAAATGATGTCTAAAATAAAAACAATGCCCCTTCTAATCAATATTATATTGAATGAATAAATGATATAAATAAATAAATAAATAAATAAATAAAGCTGTCATTCTGCAAAGCACCAATAGCTATTAATAATAAAAACAACGTCACAGCACACAATGGTTTTTAATCTACGGCTTTTTTTTCTCTACCTTATGTCTCTTAAACAAGCGACTTCTCTTCTTGGCTTCTTTTTCTCGTTCGGCTGGGGAAAGTCCCGTGTAGGACTTAGGTCTGTCTGAGCGTTGCTGGTAATTCAAGACAAATAATCATGCAATGTTTACATTCACTATACTCACTGTATATAACATGTATATCTAAGTCTTTATGTTAATTTATGATGATTCTTATTTGAAACTTTTGACGAATTTCATGCATTAAAAGATTACTACCACATCCCTGACATGAATTGGTAGATATCAACTAATTGCAGGCTTTACTTGACTCAAACCTGAAGCTGCCTTTCTGTCACACGAGTTTCCACTGTGATGTCATAAATTGAATAAATAACAATGTGGCAGCTCTCATAAACAGTAAACTTATAACATTATACAGTTAAATCTATTTCTAATGGTATGGCTTACAATAATATATCGCTTAGACCAAAGCTGCTGCAGAAATTCTGACTCTTACTATCAAATTGGTTGCCTTTCTGATATAACAATATCCAAATATAATTCCTGCAGTCCCCTGAATATAGTAATAAGCCGTGTTTACGAGAAGCTCATTAATATTTGCAATTATTAATTGATATTCCAACAAGCTAGCCTAGAGTTTTCACTAATAACATTATTTTTGTTGATGAAAACTACAAACAAATGCCAAATTACAATTTTTGAGTAATGATAAAAATTTCAAATCTTGATTTTTCCTCATTAAAAGTTTCAAATAAAAAAGATGCTAGGGACATGCATAAACATATTTGGTATAATGGGATCAAATTATCACTTACATACATTCAGACATGCTGTCATTTTTAACACAACATACATTCCAACTAAACATGTTTAATTTCCATAAAAAAACTACAAAAAGGTCACATATTTTATATCCAGCTTGTTCAAGAACAACATTTGCTAGTATTAAACCTTGACCCTCTTTTGTCATTGAAACAATGAACTTGTCTCGTTTTAGATTTAAGGAACTTTCCATTTGTCAATTTTAGGGACGGCAATATCTAGATGTACTAGCATACTGAACAGTGGACTATATGGTCAGGACAGCTGTCATGGCTCTCCTCATTGAACAGCGAGTGAGCAGTGAGTCAGAGCTAAAATGGATGATGCTACCTGATGCATGACTTCTAATACTGTGCCTGCTCTATTTGCAGCTAGCACTAAATGATAAATAACATTATTGCCCTTTTAATTAGCAGTTTATTGAACAATAAAAAAATGAGCATTTTTTACCAGAATTAATTGGAAAGAGATGCTGGATTAAATTCCTGGCTGATGAATAATTAATATACTAGTAGCCATAATGCATGCTATCAATTGAATTCTATACAGCAGAAGCATGTATTCCCTTAGCTATAAAGTTGCCACAGCCCCAGAACTCAAGACATAGCAATCAGCATACTTCTTTAATTATCACTACATTTTGAATGAGATATGTTATAAAACAAGAGCAATAACTCTTGACACACTACTTTTATGATAACAAGAGTTGCAAGAGATATTGACTGAAATTGAGTAAATATTCTTTGACCATTAGTACATTTGAATGTGATATTTACTTAAACATGGGCAATAACTCTTTCAAGACTTGCAAGTGATATTAACTTACACAAGGGCAATAACTATTGAAATACTTTTGTTATAACAACTAGACATAAATGTTTGCATGTGATGTTTACTTAGTTATGGACAATAACTCCCAATATACTATTTTGATAAAAACTTGCAAGTACACATATGACATTTACTTAGTCAAAGGCATTAACTGTAGCAAATACAGGATTTACATTCTGAAGCTATAGGAAGAATATTTGATGACTGTGATACTGTGTGTCCAAAACCTAGATGCAGTCATAATATCCCAATGTTGATTGCTGAGATTATTAGATTACACAAACTTGTAAGGAGACATCACTTAAATATTGCTGTCAATGACCACATCTGTCACTTAAATAAGACTTAGCTCATTGAATGCCTTACCCAGACTCTGCAAATAAATCTGATCTGAATGCTAATTGATCATGCCAACAATATGTTACAGGCAATTAACCTTTCTTTCCACAACATTTAATATGGACAGTAACAAAATCTCAACCAAAAGCATGATTATGACACCATTTTCACTTAAAGTTGTTTATTGTAACAACATTGTCATTTTTCAGGGGTTTTAAATGACTGGTAGGCAGGTAAATACTCCTGCATGTTGTTAAGAGTTATCCTTTTACTTCTGGTAATAATACTTAAACATTTCTTCCTGGCTAGTTCTTATATACCCACTTGCTTTAGAAATGACCAAGCTTTTCTCAAACATAATGTTACCACTGTATATTTATGTACCATTCATTCAAGTCCCAGGTTTTCTACATCTGAACTTAAGATGAGAATTTGACTTTGATAACCACCAAGCTCTGGTAAAAACCATACAAGAGAATTGGTAAAACCTCTATTATATATGATCAGCATTTTCAGGCAAAAAAAAACCATCTCAATGTCAGTTGGCTCATTTCCACTGGCAGAGAAGGGAAGGATGGGGCTATCCTTACAATTAGAGTGAAGTTAACTACTAGGTGTGCTGTTTAATTGATATTGTACAGAACTTTCCAATAAATCAATGGAACTTGTGAATATTTTACAACTGTAACACTTTTTATTTGCTGCTAACAAAGGTTCATTATTCACTGCTGACTGCAATTATTTAAATCTACCGTCTAATCATGGTACAAAACATATTACAAAATAGAGAGAAATAGAATCCCTAAAGAAAGTCCAAACTGGCAAAATTGAAAATATTGCAGCCCGGTTTGACTGAGTCTTTTTATGGACAATACTGGAAAGGACAAGCTACCATCCACGCACCCTAGCACCTGCTTAAGCAGAATTGAACATTTAACATGAAATGGCAAAATATATATCATAAACCATGTTTTTACAAAGAATATCAAAATAAACCCAGGTGACCATTGCATTGGCGTCAATGCTTCTTATCATGCATTGAGGACAAGCAAAACTATGTAAGAGTAAAAACAAACAGCCAAAGGATAGGTTTTGAAAAAAGATCACCTAGGCAATATAGTTTATTGTGGGCAGTTCAGAGCAACTATATTGTTCATAAAAAGTGATGACGGTTGATAACCAAACAGGAGTGCATGAATATTATGACAATACCTGACCATCAGCACGTAACTATGCTCCAGTAATCTGTAAACAGGATGTCGTAGGACAGACTCATGCGTAGGATAGGACTTGTACGTGACTGTTCAGGCAAATCAATATACTGCAACTTAAAGACCGTCTTTATCAGTAGGCTTCTTTTTTTTGGTCGTGTTTTAAGGCACATAGACAGTGTAAAAGCCATAACTGTGTTGTTTTTTGTTTTTTTCAGGATGACTAGAAGACCTCAAGTGTCCCTATGTGCATTATTTCAGGTAGAAGCTGGCACCTTACTAAAACGACATATTCAGCCTCTGAAAATGACTCTGAAGTCTCAAACATAATCTAAACCCACGGTGCTGAGAGGAAAGCCGACAGCATTATGAAGTCAGCCGGCTTAATCAATTGGCCACAGTTGTGGGGGATTTGGGTCTTGGAAACATACTCACATACACCTAAATCTCTCTTGATTTAAATGTACAGGAAAATGATTGATCAATGATAATTTATGGCAGTGAAAATAATCATTGCAAAGTAATTCTAAACTGAAAATGGGCTTGTCTGATTACATTTCCAATAGTAAGATTCTGTCTTAACACTTTAGACAATTTATCAGTTATAAAACTATTCATGTATGAACAGTTGGTCAAATATAGATCTATTTATCACAGTGTAAATATTGATCATAATTCAGCACATCAATTTCTACAGGTATCTAAAATAAAAATTTCCATCCAACATATTCATCCATTTGCAGCTATGACTTTAATTAGCTAGGGTCTTATGAATAGCTAGGGATATAATATACATGTATATTAACCAACAAGAGGACAAGAGGGAGTAAATAACAAGCATGCATTTATTTTGCTACTTGGCCTACCATATATAAATAATCTATTCATTGCAAAGTAGTCTCAGGGGATAAATTATGAGATTCAATATTCCTATTTATTATGTAGAAAAACGTTACCTCCTCTAAGAATTGTCATTCATTACCAATTCGTAAGTATTGCAAGTTTTGCCAATTTTCCATCTATGCTTTTGATGTAATTTGGCCAACCATTGATTTTCAAACTCACCATAATTTTCAAGCACAGCATTGTAATCAGCATCATAATAAATAAAACCTTTCCTGCATGTGCCACCTAAAAACAACACTCCCTTAGACCCTTCAACATAGCCATGCCCAGAAAATAGAAATGAGCCGTGCCATGACAAAACCAACATTGATCCAGACAAGCCTGCACATCCGTGCAGTCTGATCAGAATCCACGCTGTTTGCTTACAAACCCTATTACAAGAAGAGAAACTTTTAGGGAACAGCATGGATCCTGATCAGACTGGGCGAATGTGCAGGCTGGTCTGGATCAATGCTGGTCGCAAATGCATTATGTTGGTTTTATCATGGCACAGCTCAAAGAATGTTGAACATGATGTGACAATAAACTTACTGTTTTAGATTCTCTAAATGCTATAGATGAGAAGCCGGGCTCATAGTCTACAATACTTCGTGGCTGGTTCCTATACACCTCTAATGTTGATCTAGCACTCGCTGGGGACCATTCACTGGAAAACAATGTAAATTAATAAATGTTTATATCATTTTATGGTTTTATACACAAATATCTCTGATAGTACATAATTTCGAACACAGAATGTCATGTGAATTTTAAATGCATTATCTATGAAATTTCATAGATCACAATTCATGACTTGATACAGATAAAATCAAGTATATACATTAAAATACAAAAGTGAGTTTTCAGTTGATGGTACGGACATATACAAAATGTGAGTAATCAATGAATATACATGTACAAGTCATTGTGACACTGACTAAAAAACATTGCTGCCTACAGTACAGACACCACAATTTTTTATTATTTTTTTTACATCAAACTAAATTACCAGGAAAATTAGGCAACTCAAAATAACAAATCACAAATAAATATATTTAGCCATCAGGGCTATGGTCCATTTGCTTTCCAGTTTCACTTCCACAGGTAAAATAATTTGGTCATTTGATTGAGGTGGACAGAAACAACAAGTGGTCAACTCTTTTATTTATTTCAGGCAAAGCTTTCTGAATAGCTGTGGTTACAAGAAACATCACAAGGAAGTCAAATCCTGTATATGAAAAGTCAAATCTTGTGTATACTTTCATTGATAAAATTAAAATTCTTGTGTACATAATGCAATTTGCTGGTGATAATTGTTATAATCAGCTATATAATGCATAATACTAACTAATTTCTAGGAGTTATTCTGAAATGCTTGTACAACATAGTCTAACTATATACCTTATATATAAATGCAGTACAACTAAACTAAAACTGTACTATCAAGTTATCGCAAGCATATAATATTCCCCTCATTTGGGATACAGGTTCAATCTTCAGTTGATTTTTTTCACAATATAAACACCCGGATTGAGAACAACATTAAAATGCCATGGTGTACAAATAATCTAGATTGAATTGTATATCTAAATGGCCAGTTTCAATATTTAATAAGAATTCGATATTCAAACAAAAAATAAAGGTGAACAGTGACTGTAAGATGTGTACATTAGCAGTACGTGATACAATAAAGGACAATGTGAAAAACCTTGATATAATATTTTCTTATACCTAGAGTTTCAAAAAGTTTCGAGATGTCAAGACAGTACAGGAAAAACGCACCTTCTATTTTTATTTATTGTGCAAAACCTCATATTAAACAAGAATCACCCCCATCCCATATATCTATATATAAACTACTGTTTTTCAACAAGAATTTCTGCAGATTTATTCACCTTGCTTGCAAAAATATACAACTTTTCTTTTTTTGAACATAAATTGTCTCATAAACACAACCAACAACAACACATAGAAACAACAATGAACAATAACAACATTTGGCCGTACCATTTAGTAAGTTTTCTGTTCCAATTAACGATGCAATTGACATAAATAGAAAATAATTTATAAATTCTTGTTGGTACATTATAGGAAAGTTGATGCTTAATAAATAATTGATCTTTGAACGCAACTCCTTTGAACTACCATAACAATTTTCAGGCCAATATAAAACTATTTATGAAACAAAACAGAACCATTAGATAATTATAATATTTATATATACCAGAATAAATATAGTAATAAATATAACTCAGAATAGTGTAAAGAATATTTTGATAATTTTCAAACAACAACAAAAAAAGAGTGCAATATAGGTAAACGTGAATTGATGCTTAAATCTGCATGTAAGCATATAGGTACATATCTAGATGTATTTTCTTTATATAGATAAATGTATGATATAGTATTTGAAGTGGGTGGGGTAAATAAATGGTCACCTACTCCAAGTATTTGATGAATTCTTCCAAGTCAGTTGGTAGGGTGCCTATATCTCTGCAAACAGTGTAAATACACTTTAAGCTCAATGTACACAAAAAATTGATAGAAATCTTTAAACCAACATTTTTACAGCAATGCAGGTCACTTATAATTTCTGATTTTTGCAAAAATTTCTGATTTTATATTGACAAAGAAAACTTTTGTTTTTAGTTACGCAAAAATTACTAAAGAAAGCAAATATTACAATAAATTTAATATTGATAAAAACGTGAGCTCATATTTCAAAGAAACTGATATTTAATAATATCATTTTAATTTTATTTATCAAATTAAAATTATAAAAACTTAAAATCTTAAAAATAGCTTGAATATTTTTTTATATTGTTACATATATTTTTCTTTTCCACAATAAAATCAAAGTTACAAAATAAATGCCATGCTTTCATGCTTAAATTATCAGAACCAGCAATCAAATTATTTCCCAACATTCCCTTTTCTCTAGTACATTAATCTTTACAAAACATCCCTAAATTTACATAATGGACTTGCTTTAAACTTTAAATTTGGATTGGTCCATTGTTATTTTAAAAGGTTTCTATGGTAAAACATTAAATCAAGCAGCCAACAGTATGAAAATCTGGATAAAGTGTGATACCTTGAAAATATTAATCACAAAAAAATTACATGTCAAAATTGCAGACTTGGAATGATTGAGTTTGTACATGAGGGATAATGAAAAAGTGCAACATCCCTCACGCCGCCTAGCACCGGCTTGAGCACCGGTCTAGTTATGACTTTCTGACTGGCTGGCCAGCTGGCCTGACTCAATGCAAGTAATTTTTGTCACTCACTAGGCACTTATAACATTCAACGATTTAATCGTAACACAAGACAAAAATAAACAATGAACAATAACAACAAAGACTGTGAACAAAGTTTTACAAAAAAATACCTGTCTCTGCTTAAAATCATTTATTACTGTTCCCAAATATTAGAATTACTGTCTGCAGGTAAAATCCACAATGACATCGATTTTTTTAAAACAAGTCAATAAACTCACGATAGGTTACTATGGCAACAGTTCTTTTCCTATCACAACAATATGTCATGTGACTAAAAGTGTAACTTTAACTTTTGAAGGATGATGCATCATGGCATGCAAGCTATATCACGTAGCTATATTTGGTATAGATATAGCAACAGTTAACGGCAGTATTTATATTATAATCATGCAGTGGAACAGTTTTAACCTGGACATGTAGAGTTAATGAAAACATTACCGATGATGAACAATATTGATTGGAGGAAATACCTGTGAACACATGTTGCCACACAGGCTGTTCAGTAGTTCAGCCTCTTTTCCAATAACAGCTCATTAAGTTGCCTAGCAACCATAATTTTTTTTTAAACTCAATAGAATGACAACAGTTGCACCTTCTTTGTAATAAATGGTATGGAACTGCCAGTTAATTTTAGAATCAATATTTTTCTAGCCCCTAGCAATTTACCCATACAGCACACATAAAGAGATGAGACATGTTATCCGAAAGATTGTCGAAACCTTTACAAACTTTGTTTGTTTAGTCAAGGTTTACTTTATCATAAGCCCCTGTCGGTTCTGAAACTGACATTCATTTCTGACTCAAAAGTTTATATGAAGAGCAACTGACAATTTTGCTTCAAAAGTTTCTTCCCAGAGAACAATAAAATTTGAAAAGGATTATTGGGATATGCCATCTCATGAAGATTTTTTCAAATTATCAAAAACAAAAAAATCAATTTAATATTCTGCTTTTTTTCTGACAGAAATTCAATAAAATGTCGTCAATTTTTTGGCTTTCTGCAGTGTCACATTTTTAATGTGTCTTGACAATTTTACTTGATTAACATATTTTACAATCATCATTCAAACCATTATATTTTATTTCAATGCTATCTGTTTGTCTTCCCCATATAATATATTTTACAATATATATAATATATAAAAATATACAACATTTAGATGTCATGCATATACAACAGCATTCACGGATTACCTGGTAAAACAGGGGTCAGACCTTCATAATGCACATGTATATACAATGTTAAAAGGGAAACAACTCTACAATATTCTAACAATAGCAGGAATCATTATCTCCCTTTACAATTTTACAAGGTCTATTTACATGCATACATGTATGAGTTTCTGTTTAGCTGTTTATTCATTATTAATTCACAACATGTGACAAAATCATGTAACAATCAATTAATTTAAGACAGCGAACTGTTTTTTCCCCCAGATTTTAAAGAAATTTATCTATTTTCATACACACAATTCTTGTTCACTAAACATTTTAACTCTATGATGTCAGCAATTCATTGTGAATACTGGTAGAATTTTTTACTTGTTCATATATGTACTAAAATTGAGTTACCAGCAGTATAGTGCCTGGTCAGACAGCATGGATGTGGCAAAAGCTAATTACTTTTGGTTCCAAGTATGTTATTGGTAAAAAATATCATAAATGCAAAATGGGTTTCAACAAAGCTTGATCAAAATCTGCTGTCCCATTAATTTTATTGAAGAACCCAGACTCATAGACTGCCCAAAATATTTTGACATCAAGTGACCAGTGAGTAACAAATTCTGTCACTTTACATCTTTACATAATTAACAATAGAATCATTTTTTGTCAATACATTATGCTATACAGTAAAATTCCTCATTTCTTTTGTCAACGTCCAAAACGGGAAATATCTTTAGCAAAATTGTTCTATTAATAATACATGTATATAAAATTCACACATATTTTTGCAATTGCCTATCATGGTAAGTAAACATAGTAACAGGAATGCCAGATACTACTGTTAGGATAGGTTACTGGCAACTGAGGTATAATCATTACATTTCCACACTGCCACATAAAACCAAAGATATTAATTAATTCAAAAGCACAATGCCAAATGGGGATAATTCAATATTCAACTCAAATATGCAAAACAAATACACAAATTTGGAAGAAAACCACAATTCCATGCTTAACTGACATAATAGTATGTCACAAAACAAAATTACAGGGAGTGGCGGCCTAGTTATGGTTAAGGTGTCTGCCTCTCAACCCAGGAATCATGGGTTCGAGCCCTACTTGGGTCACAATCATGTTTCCTTATAGGACACCAGTACTGGTTAGTTTTGAAAGTAATGAATTTAAGTTGCAAGAACAACTGAGCTAAAATAAATTTGTTTAAATCAATCAAACAATGGTTCTAGACACATTAAATCAAGAGAAAGAGTCAAATTTAATCAACCAATTAAATCAAACAAATTAACTTTTTTGAAAATCTAATGAGGAATTTAAGGTTGCATTAAAAAACTAAATGAAAAAATCTTTTGAAATTATATAGACTATTTGAAATATAGATATTTCATTTTAATTAAATGTAAATAATCTTACATAGTCCTGTAAGACACCAAAATGGTGGCATAGTTGCCCACAGAAAATCCTTGTCTAGCTTTCTTCAATAAATACCTATTTAACTCTTAAACATTATGTTTTTGCCCAGCAGTCCATTCAAAGTTTAAGGGATTTCAAGATCAAAATACAAAAATTGAGCTACCAACAGGTACTGAGCCTAGTTGGACAGCACTGGTGGCAAATACTTATCATTTTTGATTATAGCAGGGTAAGGGTTAAATTCATAAACTGTTGATTCAAACACAAAATGGTGTTGATTAAAACACAAAACGGCGTTGACAAATACAAATGTAATGGTTCTTTATGATCATGTACAATAAGACAAATATGGGTGGAGAACAAAGTTACTTTTAAGCCAGTACATGCATGTACATTTATCAAACATTAATTTTGTCATAGAGAAAGCTCTCGTAAGATTGGATTCCTTATACTGACCAAATTTGAATGAAGTCATCAAATGTTAACATTCAACATTTCATAACTTTTATCAACCTTTGAAAGACTAATTTTGTTCTGTAATGTGTGACAGTATAATATATTTAATAAATTTTGTACAGAACATATAGATATTTGCAATGAGTACTTATTGCAAGTCTTGAAGTCTGAAGACCAACATGGGTGCGCAGCAATCAGGAAAGGTAGCTCCCACAAAAATTTGATGCACTTGGTATATGTAGGTGTACCAAACATTATAGTTTACCTGTAACATTTACAAAACTGACATGAACAATTTCAAACTTACAAAGCACGAGCAGTTTTGCTGACATTGGATGTACTTTTACTCCTCATCTTTGACCTGTATTCTGGTTCAGAGAGGTAGCCTGAGTTTATGTCACCTGAAAAAAAAAAAAAAAATTCACATTTCATCTTTGACCTGTATTCTGTTTTCGAAAGATGTACATGTCTGTGTTATGGAAATTTAGGGAAAATCAAATTATCAAATGAAAACTGACATGTAAATTCTGTATAAGAAACATGAAATTCAAAGACTATATTTGTCTTTTTGATCCACACAAATCAAAGGTCATTGGCTCAATGTTCTTGACAGTACATTTTCTGCATCAGTATTTTAACTGGCAATATCATCTACACAAAACCAAATTTTCATTTTCCTGTCCTCAAAAAATAAATTACAATACCCTGACAATATGCATAGTACTTGATGAACTTAAGCATTCTGTGTTTAGCTAAGATCCCTTGAGAAATATGGCACAACCTTCATCAGGGCAATTGTTGACAATAGTTCTGTGAAAATTTGGTTGAAATCCCTTGAGAAATACGGGAGAAGTTGCGCAAAGAGGGAATTGTTTACATATGCCCACATATTCATTCAGTGACTTTCCCCAAGCTTATGAAAAACATGTTAAACAAAGAGAATTTCTCCAGAGAACATTACTGGAATCTGCTGGTTATAAATCTTTGCAAGTATATTATATGTCCATACAAATTGTTAATATGAAACATAAAATTTCCTATAAGAATTTTCAGTTTTCTAATCAGCTGTTTGTAATATAAGAATTCTGCCACCAAAGGACCGAGATGTACATTCCTAATATCATGGCCATCTATTTTGTCACCCATCAAAAGTTACCTTATGTATAATCTACCTTATACATGTATAGCAAACACCTTACACAGCAAACACCAGATATCAATAACATCTTCACTGACCAAATATCATTTAATAAATCTTGAGCACGAGGGTGTACAATGCCATTTTATATCAATGCTGGGGTAAGCTAAAGGGGTACCCCTTTTCGTCATAAAATCATCAAGTCATTAAATCTTACCTCTCACTGATCTAGAAGGTTTATCATAACTAGGTCTGTATGGATTCACATCTGAAATACATAAAATATCACAAAGATTACTACAATTTTACTTTTATAGAATAACTTCATATTACATATTCATTTGATTTGAAAGAAAAAGTGCTTATATTATTTTTTTAGAAACTAAAAATGGTAAAAGAAATGATGCAGGTTGGCAAAGGTTGACTTGTGGTTGTTGTTGGTGGTGTTAGTGAAATAGGGAGCTAAAACAACAAAGTTGCCATTACAAAAGCTTAACTCAAGTTATAATTTATCTTTCAAAACTTAAAAGTTATTTGAAATACTCTTATTTGTTCTAATTCAAAGATTACTTTTTCATTTTTCAGAATAAAATTAAAGTGGGTTCCATATATCAAGAAGTAAGAAAACATATTTTGCCTAAACAACTGAAAAAAAGAAACAATAAAGTATCATAAATTTTTGCAACAGAAAAAGAAACAGCTCTCAGTTTTCAAGTTATAAAATATTGTTCTAATTATAACTTTATTGCAGTGACATATTTTCTTATCATTTTATGTTTTAAGTCATATGGCGACTACCAAGCTTTACTGATGAAAGTACATGTAGTCATTAGGTGTCCATTCATGCATTATCTCACACAAAAGCTGACACCTGACTAGAGCAACCAACCTTCTACTAGAGTCACTAACATTCCATAAGCTAGCTGGACAGCTTCCTCAAATGAAAGAATTGAACCTTTTATGCAGGATTCAAACCTATATCCATGAATGGCAATACTGTGATATGCACTGAGTCACAACTTAAACTCTTTTTGCTATAGAGGTCTCATAAAACCACATGTAAGCTAAGTAATAAACCATGTATACAGAAAATATTTACAGAAGTAAAATAATAAATATTGGCCTACACAACAAAGTAAATATACCTTCGTTTACTTAACAAAAAAACTGAAATTCATCAAATGTCAAACACATGAGAAAAGAAAGCAAATATAACAAAATAAATTACAAAGAATGACATCTCAGAAATTATTATTTGGAATAAATAAAAAAGTTAACAAATGGTATTTTACATATAAGATACAAAAATTATTTCAATACAAAGTTAATGTTATAAGTTATAAAGTTTGTAAATATCAATCCAAGGACATTAGCAATGGCATATCTATGTCAAAGTTATTATTACCCCTTAACCTGCTAAATTTGTGTACTGGATTTTCTCAGCTTTGATTTTTGAACAAGCCTAGAAGTTTCAGAGATTTCAGTATCAAAATACGAAAAATGAGGTACAAAAAGTTAAGAGCTTGGTCAGAGTGTACAGATGTGCCAACTGGCCTGGCTCTTTAGTGGTGACAAAGGTAAACCCACTACAGTGTTGGAGCAGTACCTCTAAACACTTGCAGAAATCATGATCGCAAAGAAAAAAGATATCACTTTTTTCACTGATTCTTACATTTTTCATTCATATTTGTATATAAATTGGTGTGAACAGATGAATTAGAAGCCTTATAGTGAATTTCCGAGGGTGAAAAGGCGAGATATTTGCATTTAATCATTCAAGCGCCTTGTCCGGTATATACCGGAATACAGTATTAAGTGTGGTGCTCAAACACTCTTTTAAATCTCATTCAAATCGCTTTTGGTACCAGCAGGTTAAGGATTAATATCAAGTTTATCTAATCTTTCTAAGTTTTAAGTACCCCAAAGATTACCAAGACAAAACAAGGAAAAAGCAAACTAATTGTCACAGACACTTGCAGAAAAGTTGTAAAAATTTGATCTTTGTAAAACAATAATATATTATTTAAAAATGAACTATATGTAGAACCAAACTCTATGACCTGGACATAAATGTACATTATTTGGGTTTGTAATTCTTGAAAAGCAATGTGCTGCCTTTACTGAGGTCAAAGTGCGCCTTATTGCGTGTGCAAGGCTGCAGGTAAATAAAGAGTACACAAAAATGAAATTTCGTAAAAATTTACAAAACCTATCAAATGATTAAATATTACAATTAGCCTTTACAAAGCTGAGTTTTAATCAAATATAACAATTAAACAGTTACAAATATGTGCAACTACATGTATATGATATACTGTGGCATTATAAAGCAATGTTTTTCTCCAGATGAAAATTACAATGTACTCTGTAATAATGACACACATAATGCTATATGCAGTGAACGAAAACTAACTTCTGTTTATAGAATTATCTAAAACAAGATTTTTTTTTCTCTTTTTCTAAAAAGTCGAGTGTGAAATCAGATACATGCATATTTGAAACAGAACTAAATGTGGAAAATAAAAAGCATAGAAGATGTAATATTTGATTTACAGAACATAAAATAATTTATTGTTTACAGAAATAAGGGATGTAATCCTTGTTGACCTTGTGTAATGAACTGATTACATATAATATATGATAATTTTAAAATAAACCCTGTGTATTATGGTAAATAGTTAAAATATGGGACAAGGGAGGTAATCCCTGAAAACCCAATCTAATAAACTGATTACATATAATGATATTAAAATTAACCCTGAATATTATAGTAAATACATGTTAAAAGTTAATATAATACAGAATAAGGGAGGTAATTGAGTAATGAATGATTTTGAATGTTATATATATACGAGATTGGAGAAAATGTTATTTTTAATGATTAAAGTTATCTGGCAAAGCATCAATACCAAGTCTATCTTCTCTGTTTAAAACATTGTGCCTACAGTAGTCATGCAAGCCGGTTTTTTCTTGGTAGAAATCTCTCAATTTTGTGAGGTTGGGTTTTAAGTCAAATCATCAAACTTAAATATCATATGGCGACTGAGAATATTATCAACATTGCATGAAAAAGCTGGATAGTTTCCTATTTAACATGAAAATGTTCAAAGTGCCTCCCTGTAGGGATTTGAACACACTGCAGACAGCAGCTAGTGTAACCATGTCAGTAACCATGTCAACTCAGTCATGGAGACCCAATATGCAGTCTAATTGGACTATAATATTATGCTGTTTGGTTGCAGATTTCAATTTTGACTATTGTCCAGAACTAAAAATTTATTGTTGAAAATGACAAGTGTTAAATTAAATTCACAGCAGCTATGTCAGAGTGAAAGTAATAAAACAGAAGAAGATCTATCAACTAAATCTGTTCTCCCTCTGTCACACACACAGAAAAAATAAAAGCTTGTAAAAATACAGGTGAAAAGGATAAAAAAACAACTCAAGATGTTAGGAAGTTGTTAGAGATAGGTGTTATACACGTAAACTGCCCTGCAATGACCAATTATACCTTGCTCATCATCTGACTTGCTTCCGGACTTCTCAAAAAATACCTCATCCGATTTGTCCTTTTTTCCGCTAGGAAACTTCGCATCTCTTCTCAGGGATTCTGATACACTAGTTATTGAGAACTTACTTTTATCAGACTTTTCAGATTTGTCAGTTTTTTCCGATTTCTCAGATTTAGACCAGCTCGACAATTTAGCAGAGGATGTGTCATTGATTGCACTATGTGAGAATTGGTGGTGTGAACCAGGGGATGTTTTCTCACCACCTCTAGGTGACAAGTGTGAATTTTGCGGAGAAATGTCTGCAAGTTTAGGTGATGATGGAGAAAGTTCCGAACACTTTGATGACAAACTAGGACTTGTTGGCGAAAATGCAGATTTTGGCGATGCCAGTGAAAAGTAGGACTTTGATTCTTCCGTTAACGGTTCGCTTGTTGAAGACGGCTCTGTAACTGTGGACACATAATACTAAATCATGCAAAAATCATGCAAAGAAATAACATTTATCATACATACATAATTTATATACAACATAGAAAATCACCTAACTCAAAGTAATACATCTGTTAACAGCCATCTACACTATTAAGGTTATTTTGTTGTGACTTTCCAGTCTTACTGATGGAGGAAGATGCCAGGTACCCCTCCATGTATTATTTTAGCCATGACTGGGCACCTGAGAAGATCAATCAACCATCAATAAGCGAGCTGGAGACTTTTCTTCATTACCGAAGCTTTTAGGGAACAATGTAAATATTAAACATATTGGATCACTTTCTGTCATCAAGTAAGATAATTTTATAGTGTTAATATAACTAGAAGCAGCAACTGAGCTGTCTGACCTACAGTGTGACAGTACAATTTTTGGTACTGAAAATATTGTCTTACCAAAGCTTTCAAATTATAATGGTCATACAGTTGGTCAAATTCAAGTGAGTTGTTGACAGATGTAAAACTTTAATAGGTGTTGAGATAAGAGACTGTATGTAAAGAGAAAGTTGTCATATTCACATTTAATACCAACATTTCACAAGAAGTTAACATGCTCACCCAACATGCAACACCATTGCAAAGGCCATTTTATTTGTTTTGAGAAATTGCAAATATGAAAAAATAATTGAGTCAAAGACTAAAATTTAAGCTCCAAAGATACTGGAGGTTAAAAAAACAGTTTTTGCATTACTAAAGACAGGCTTTTAGTCTTAACCTACTGATACTTCTGAACTGACTTGTCCTGCTTGGAATTTGGGACAGTCCATTCAAAGTTTAAGGGATTTCAATATCAAAATGCAAAATGTACAAGAGTTAACAACAGTATAAAGCCTACTCATACTGCAAGGATGTACAGACTGGCCTGGCTCTTTACTGATGGTAAACGCTAATCTGACGGTGACTACTGGTTCCAACTGGTTAAAAATTTAAAGACTCAAGAGATACTAACTAAGAAAGTCTTAATTTGACAACATCAATGCTTCAAGCCTATTTCATGTAAGCATAAAGGACAAGCTTTTGAAGCACAGAGGGAAATTATTAATGTACGTAATCACAAAAGTAAAAAAAAAAAACAGAAGCTAAATGTTTGATAGATATATAACAATCACTTTTAATAACCATAACACTAGTTAAAGCGAAAATATGAAATATATAAGATAAGCAGAAAAAAATGCAAACAAAATTGTAACTTCATCAAAATCAATTAAAAATTAAATATGAACGCTAGAAATATATCCATGCCTACTCTTACTATAAAAGGGCAATAACTCAGTGAAAATAAAACTTTTGGCAGAAATAAAATGAATTTGAAATGCGTCTTAATGATGACTAGGCGTAAAAGGCACAAAATAAGGTTTCCTATGGCAGAATAAATTTTAACATAAAAATTCATTGTTCCATTAACTGGCCATAAAAATGTGACCTGAATGATTTAATGACCAATATATAACATTGAATTCATGCAAACCCACCATACCAAGTGCACAACTATACTCAGAATTTAAATTCACCATCTTAAAAATTTCAAAATAATAATTATAATATCTATTTCCTAATTTGGTTACATTTCTTACACATTCAGTTTAATCTTTCATTCAGGCATTCCTACACAATTAAAAGTTACATAACTTGGCCATTTCAAAGAATTTTCTTGATTACCTCCCTTTTTTAATCTACATTGTAGGCTTACAATGAAATTCTTACAAAAAAATTATAGCAAAAACATAATTATACACAATTATTCAATTTGATAGCAGTAACCTAAAGAATTCCAAAAAATAAAATTTTGATATGTTGATTACATATGAAAGATAAGTATTCAAGCAATCAAAAAGGGAGGTAATTCAAGAAATTCTATGAATACCACTTTAATTATTATAAAATATAAACTACCATCAAGTGACTTGGTATCATCATCATCATCTGGAAACTGGTAGGTTGGCTTGTAATTGTTTGTTGCTGAAATATAGAAAGCATAAAAAGGTCACTCCAAAATTTTTGTTTTTATACAAATGAATGTACATGACTATAAAAGAAATCGTCTCACTCCAGAAGAATGTTAGCTATTCTATCTCTAAAAGGGATAAAGTGGGTGGAACTAATATTACTCCATTCCGGAATATTTTGTTTGTTTTGTTGCATTTTAAGTCGCGATGACACTGTAAAGATCCTATGGCGACAATCAAGCTTTACTACTGGTGGTGAAAGACCCAAGGTGCCACTTTGTGCATTATTTCAGGCACAAGCCAGCACATTAGTAGAGACACCAACCTTTCATAAGCTAGCTGGAAAACTTCCTCACATGAAAGAATCTTAAGATCCTGACAGGATCAACAATTGCAGATTCCTAATATGCAATGTGTAAAACACCACAATATAGGACTCTCATCACATTGTGGTGTCCTTCCAAAAATAACCAGGCAGTGTTACCACTGGACCACTGTCTACTCTGACTTGCACTCTAAAAGAACCTGTATATCTAAATTGACTAACAAATGCAAATACAATGTACCGGTATATGCTTCCGCCAGCGATTATGTGGAAATGTATATAAGAAATTGTTTTACAGTTGTTAAATATAAAATCATATAATAAAACAACGCAGCAACAAAACTAGACAGATATATAATGATATATTAACATTCCCTAGAGTATGTCCTTTGTGTAGACTAGACTTCCTATGTCTTTCTCTCATCATAAATAACACAAGAAACAACTTCTATCCTAGACAGAATGACAATGTAAATTGGAAAGGATGATATTCGAGATATTTTACAAGAGGACCATAATGACCTCACATCGCTCTCTTGAATGTAAGGAAGAATGTTAATATTTCAAGGATTGCTAATATGACAATTCTACAAAATTTGGTACTTACATAATAACATTTCATGCTACTTTACAGAAGTTTGAGTAACTGACATGCCATGCAATTAGCTAGGAACAATTCATAGTTAAATGAAAGAGCAAAAATAAATTAAGGAACAAAAACAGCATTGATAGAAAAGTCCTAATCACTCCTATATGGGGAAATGTTAGCCGAAGTCTAAAAGGTATTACAGATGTTAGGTAGACAGACGGACAGATAAGACTGTAGATACAGAAGTAGATATAGAATCATCATATAAGTACAACATCCGGAACTTCATGCAGTTTAATCTCATACATGAGATTCATAGGATAATAACTTCTATCTGTAATATTTGATCTCATTCACATTTGTATCTTGTTTATTAGACTACATTGTTCTATATTATGAAAGAGCACTAAATTGTCATGGGGTATTAATTTTCCTGCTTTCATCAATATAATGAAATTTAATATCCATACTCGAATAATATCATAATATTAGTCAATAAAATGCAGATATTTATAAACCTATATTAAGTTTATACAGAATTTATTTTAGTTCAATTACGTAGGAAGCTATAAGCTTATATTTAGAAATCATTTTTTGCTTGAAGGATGCATGGAATGCCCATAAAATGAAATGATTTTCAAAGTAAATTATATGGAAAAGGCATTAAATAGATATGGGAAATTGTAATAGAAAGATATATAGGACAACATGGGCACAACAATATAATCATACCAGATTCTGTTCCTGTCCACAGAAAAAAATAACATTTTCTTTTTTAATTACACACAACTATAATAAAAACATGTTATAAAACAATAAAACAGGTGTTACAAAATGTACTGAACTAAAAATGTGCTTCATAAAGCTCATATGTTTATGTACTTAAATAAAAATGTGACTTCGCACTGTTTTTATGGTATCTCTAGTCAATAAACAGCATCTACGTCTACTAACACGGCTAAAGTTATGGTTCAAGGTATTAAGGTTTGCCTTGTTGAATGTTGATGCATAAAGCACTAGTCATTCTTAACCTTTTATCATCCAAACAGTGAGGTTTCCAATTTGCCCTTGTTTGATTGGGTTTTACATCACACTTTGCCCTTGTAAAATCAGTCTGTAAACCCCACGCAAATTCTTTTTCACTGCAGGTAAGGCAATACCTATGACTATTTATGGTGCAAAAAAAACAAAGCAGAATCCCTTCATTTATCCGACAATGGAGGGGATATCAATAAGGTAAAAAAACATCCAACATGGTTTATTTCCCACGCTTTTCTTCCTGGATGGAAGGAATGGTGTTACAAATGATTGAAGCATAGCGAAAACTCACTTTATTATTTAAAGTAATTTGATAACTGTTTTGCTCCAATATAACTTTTATCTGTTAAACAGACCTTTTACAGTTTTTGCTAATAATTTACAGTGTTTATTTATGTACCATGAAGATTACATTAAATTTTAACCCAATATATAAATCTTCTTTTCAACATTAATTTGCTACAGTGAACAGTAAAGTTGTGCATCCTTGTGTTATATCAATTATTGCATGCCTGTTTAAATCAAACAAAAGTCTGAAAATTTAAAAGATGAAAGTGTTTTTTTTACCTTCCTTTTTCTTTGTTCTGTGTAAACTTTTGTACATCTGTTTATACCAATCATGCTGTTTGTCTTCCTCAACATTCTATAAGTTACAAACATGGCAAAAATAACATTCATATTCATCATTCATACAGTGTTTAAATCATCTTATCACTTGCCCATAAGGTAATATTTGTCCATTCAGACATGAAGGTTCAGTACATGTACATATTAGTTTGTTAGTTTAACCATAATATCAACACAGTAAATGTTGCATTTTTCAGCTTTACTGGTGGAGGAAGATCTCACATGCCCCTTTGTGCATTTTTTCAGAAACAAGCAGGGACCAGAGTAGAACCACCGTCAAATCATAGTTGGCTAGATTTACATGAAGTCTGACAGAATTTGGACCCACATGTGTGAAGGCTAAATGAGGATTTATATTTTTTATGTGAAGACTGGAAAAGTCAGAAATAATGTATGAGGAGCTTTGCTCCATTATTGAAGCTGTTACAGTGATTAACATTATATGCTTATATAATCAATTTTAAGTCCAGTATTACTACTACTTTTGGCTGTACAAAAAGAAATTTTTAAACTTGAAATGATTCAAATTACAAGGAATATGGAAAACAAGTTGCTATCTTCTAAAATGAACTATAACTAGACTCTTTATTTGCAGAAGATATAAATTGTTTGTTTGTTTGTTTTGGGTTTAACGTCACATCGACACAGTATAGGTCATATCGCGACGTTCCAGCTTTACTGGTGGAGGAAGACCTTAGGTGCCCTTCCATGCATTATTTCAGGCACGAACGGGCACCTGAGTAGAACCACCGATGTTCCGTAAGCTAGCTGGATAGCTTCCTCACATGGAAGAATCCAAAGTCCCTGTCGGGATTCGAACCCACGGCGGTGAGGGGCAAGTGGTATATAATTTGTAAAGAAATATGGCATATACATCTTAAACTGTTGATGATGAAAGTCAAACAATTTTATGATTATAAACAACTATTCAAAACCATAAGAAACTAATCATGGGCCTCATTTTCAAACCATCGTAAATTTTGTCAAATGGTTCAAATAAGGTTCAGTTTTCAATTCATTGCTATCAAGACCATGCAAGAAGTAAAAAGGTAGTAATTTCACAGAAGTTATACCTTTCTGAACGAGAGTGGCATACCACTTTCCTCGTCAATCGGTCCAATATCTTCATAACGTTTTGGACTGCTCACTTTGGTTGTGGTCACTGTCGTTTTCTCTTCTGAAGGCACGGCATAATACGTGTCCGTATGCTTTACATCTCCCTCCATTGACTCAGATTTACCCAAATATATTGCACCTTTAGGAATTTTACCCTCTGAAAAATACAAAATTAACAGTCTGCTTACCAATCTGTATTAACAATAATACAATATAATCAATAATATATAGAGGGTCCAATGTAACACAGGTCTAAGCTGGCTTTTTTCTTTTTTATCAAGAGTAATATATATTTTGTTTACCCAGAATACATAAGGATTTTCCAGTGAAGCTTGTCAACTGTGACATGGAATTGAAGTTTCATAAATGTTTGTGCATAAAATCTTATTTATGACTGTATATGAATCAAAACTTCTCTTTAAAAATTTGGTGATTTGGTGCAGGTCAAATCAAGTTGTTATTTCAAAATTCAATTTACAATGTTATGCAAAAAAATGATCTGATTGAATTGAAAAACTCGCAGATAAGTTTACTGAGTCCTCTTTTAAAATCTTCCTATGCAATCTTGAAAATACTGATATTTAAGGACCTGCCCTCAGTCCTAAGATAAAACCATTATGCTCTGCCCTCAAGCTGAAGATACTGATATTGTAACCAGCCCTCAGCCTTAAAATGCTAATATTATGACCAGACCTCAATCTAAAGATACTGATATTAGGACATTTTATCCCTTCATCTGATAATGCTGATTTTATGACCAGCCCTCAGGCTGAAGATGTACATGTAGATTTTGTGAACAACCTCAGTCTGAAGATCCTGATATTGTGGCCAGCCCTCAGACTGAAGATATACTAATATTGTGACCACAGCTCTCAGACTGAAGATACTGATATTGTGTGCAGCCCTCAGTTGGATTATGCTGATATTTAAACCAGCCCTCAGCCTAAAGATACTGATATGTGACCAGCCCTCAGATACTGATATTGTGATCAGCCCTCAGTCTAAAAATTCTGATATTATGACCTGCCCTCATTCTGAATGTATGGATATTGTGGCCATCCCTCAGCTTGAAGATACCAATACTGTGACAAGCTCAAAGTTGGAAGATACTGATAATACAACCAGCCCTCAGTCTGAAGACACTGATAAACATATGAAATTACCAGCCCTTCGTCTGAATACAAATGTTAGGGCCAGCCCTCAGTCATTTTAGTATTACAACTGGTCCTTATTAAATATCAAACTTTGGAAAATGCATGCAAAGATATTGTTCAAATTAAATATTTACAACAATGTGACTAAACTAACTAAATACACATGCATAAATAGAAATTAGCATAATATACACAAAAACCATGCAAATATATAATCTAGCACATACCATATTTCTCTTAATCATCAACTTGGGCAGACGACATATATCACAGACAAGATGGTGTCTAATGAGACATAAGATAAAAGATAAGAAGGCCGTCATGGCCCTTTATTGCTCACCTGAATGTACCTTAGCCATTCAAGAACTTTTTCAATGTTCACAGATGCTGTTACCAAAAATTGGTAAATATTGGTAATGGTAAATTTATGCTTTTTACTCTCTTTTTTTTTGAAATTTTGAGAATTTTGTAGCATTATTTAATGAATCCTTACCCTCTGTCACTAAGATAGGATCTCCAACAAACTCTATATCTTTTGGGTAACCATTCTCTGAAACAATACATGCATTTAAATATACAATACACTCTCATGCATTATACAGGTGGCTTCTGGATAGTCTCTATAATCTTTCCAGTGAAACGGTGGGTAAATGTAGATAATGTGTTTTTCATGATAAACAACAAAATATAATCTAAATACAAATAATAATTCATTACAATGATCCTGTATTACACACCTGCACACTAATGGGTGCAAGAAAAAAATGTGGGAAAATCTGAAATGCTTATTTTCCATTGGTTTTATATAGAAACAGTGTGTTTTCAGAAGTAAAAAAAAATCGGAACTTACGGTAAATGCCTGAAAACATGTATTTGTGCATGTCTTGTACAATATTCATATTCTTAATACCCTAACAACTCCTGTACCAAAACAGTTCTTGTACCAATAAAGACTAAAGAATGAAACTTTGCATGATAATATTCAATCTCTAAAACCATTTCACCCCAGAAAAATTTAACTGTCATTAGCATTTTCCTTTTTTTGAAAGAATTGTTTTTTATTACATTCAAAGAATAATTATATGTGTTATCATAAGAAAAATGGCAGGTGGCTTGACCTTGGCAGGATCTTCTATGACCTTAACATTGCACTCAATGAAGAGTTCTTGTTTTTTTTTTTTCCTTTTCTTTTTTTTTGATAATGTGACTTAATTATTTTGAACAATATAAGCCTGAGCTGATTATTTTTGACAATAAAACGCCAAAGAGATAATTAAGTTCAAACTGAAGATGCCTTGTTAAAAATCCATACAAAACCTATTTCTTCTATAGAAAACTTCCTGCTAAACATAGATAATTTACCCATCTTAAAACTTTTCATCTTGAGTGTTACATGCTTAAGTGAACTTAAATTTTCAAGTTTTTCTTTTATTGTTGATTGTTTCTTAAGGAGTAAAAAAAATCATATTTCACAGGTTCCTACGCTACATTTGCTCTGTCTTGATGAATGTATGTACAAATATATACATAACATGCAGTGAAAGCATTCATATGTAACATATGCTACATTAAGATAAAATTTAAACAACAATGATAGTGTATTTCATTATATTGTGCATGGGGAAATACAACATGCAATAGCATAAATGAGCCGCGCCATGACAAAGTCGACGTAATGCGTTTGCGACCAGCATGGATCCAGACCAGCCTGCGCATCGGCACAGTCTGATCAGGATCCTGATGATGTCCGCTACCAGTTTTTTTAATTGTAATAGCTAGGGTTTGTAACCAAACAGCATGGATCCTGATCAGACTGCGCAGACGTGTAGACTGGTCTGGACCCATGCTGGTCCCAAACGCATTATGTTGGTTTTGTCATGGCACGGCTCAAATGTCTTATTCATCATTATTCATCATGAATCTTAATGAACAATCAGGTTTTGAAAATGAACTACCAACTTCTGCATGATTATAAAAACATAAATTTAACGTTGTGCTATTTGGCATAAATGACTGAGCCATTCAAATATCAAAAAATTAAAAAGCCAATTTACAAGATCATATTTTCAATATAGTGATTCTTTTTTAACATTCAAATGTAATTTGTGCTCATTTGGTAAAATTTCTCTTTGAAGGTTCCTCACAATATCTAATTTCCATTATAATTCAAGCAATTTAATGAAAAGTCAATAATAACTTCATTTGATGCAAAATAAATATTGCTACAACCTTGAAAGCATTAGTGAGGTCTTCCAATTTTTTAGGATCATTAACCTAATTACCCTACTAAATATAAATAATGGACTTGCCCTCCTTTAAATTGGACTCGTCCACTGTAAATTTTAGGGATTTCAATATTATTTAAACCTTAAAATTGAAATCAGAGCAGGGTTAATTCAGGCCTCAAAACTCTGTGAGATTGTTGCTGGCAGCGTTTTTAAGCCATGTGAATTAATTAAGCAAAGTAAATTATTGAAATAAAAGGTACTGTGGCAAAATGAAGCTTACTTTGACTTTCAATTGTTCCTGCACTACGTAACCCTTGGATGGACATAATGTCACTTAAATATATAGTTTCCTCTATATAAGGACAAGGAACAAGACTAATGGAACTTGAGGGAAATATTTCTGATCCCCCAATTTCACTTATCTTTTAATTCCGCAACATTATTCATACTATTAAGTACTTATTAATTGTTGTTGTTGTTTTTTGTTGTTGTTTTTTTCTCAATAAAACGGCTATGTACAAAATTTAAATGCATTAAGTACACATGTATTTTGAAACAGATATAAAATTTTGTTTTCAAAAAAGCCTGAAAAAAACTTCCCAGTAAGTTTAATAAGTTTTCTTTGCCCCTTTAAACATACAAAAGAAAATACAATAAAAATATAATTTAATTATAGTGAAATAAAATCACTGAATATGCTTTGTAAATCACAAAAAAACAACCTATAAAATATGGAAAGGTATTAAGAAATACTATAAAAAAATTAACAAAATAAACCCAAAGAATTATAACTACAAAATATACATCAATTCTTTTTTTAAACTTGCTACATTTAAATCAATAAACATTTTTTTGAAGTTTTAAAATTGCTTCTTTTACAATGAACAATTTCAATAGGACCACAATTTGTATAAATGTTTATTTAACAGGGACTATTTTATCTTGATTAGACTACAATACAATACAGGTAAACCTACAACTGGTTATCTTATTACCACAAGACCATCAATCTTGGCACCAAGACAATCCACAAAACTTTAAAACACACAAATAGGTCACTTAAGGATGTGGCAAAAAATTAGACTGGTCTAAGACAACTGTATAAAGTCTCAGCCAGGCTGGCCTGAATGTGCCAGGTCAAACTAATTGTCCAACATAACGTCACCTTAGTCCTTTATATATGATTTGATAGGAGTTAACCGGTTACTGAACTAAGATGACTATATGACCAATAGGGAGTTAACCGGATATACTGTCAACTTAGATGACTATATGACCAATAGACAAACTGCTTAGGCGGCTTATCTTGGCATTTTAAATTAAAATGAAGTACCTGGAATTAGTGTTTAACCTGCTTTAAATTGGTGTGATGATGGGTATGCCCTGCTTTGAATTTAGAACAGTCCATTCCAATTAACGGATTTAAATTTCAAAATCAGATTGCATGGATGGTGGCCGGCTTTATGCTGGTTCAATCATAATTGCCTTTAGCAGGCTAAGGGTTAATCATGGACATACATGTACAAAGTTTTGGTCCATTTCAGAAAATTAGCAAGGTAAATCATTTTCTATGTGAATTTTGTGTGAATGGACTTGTCCTCTTTTGAAATTGGACTTGTCCATTGCTAAATTAAAGGTACAGTATTTCTGTATCAAAATGCTAAAATTAATATATGCATGTAACAGTATCATATGAGACTGATCAATTCAGCTAAAACAAAAATACCAGTTGTCCCGGCTCCTTTTATTGGTAAACAGACATGTTATTATCTCACCTCATGTTTCCGTAAATTGACATGTAATACAAACATTTAAGATATATCACTCGGACAGAATTTTACCTTTTAAATGATCCAGTGAATGATTCATCATAACAAAAAAAAACCCCTCAACACAGGAAAGTGGTTAATTGCTTAATAAATGTCTATTTCAAAACAGAAGCAGATTAACACATGCTTTATTGTTATTAAATTTCCTGTTTCACGAAATTAAATCCCACTCACTTATATCTAGGTAAAATTTTGAGAAATCACAAAAACAGATTATATTACACAACATATGAATATAATGAATATAACACAACGTGATCTGCCAAGAATTCTATAGTTAACATAACATTTTCCACAATATTTTGAATTCAAATTATCGTAATAATTAACAGGTATATTCTACAATTATCTACATTTCTTTAATATGCTTTATAAATTATATCAGAATTAACACCTTAACACTGAAATGTGAGGTTTTGCCAAATGTTTTAGGATGATAACAATTCAAGGGGGGTCATCTCAAAACACATGTTTTCAGGTCAACTGTCATTCAAAACAATTAGTTTGTTTGCTTTGGATTTATTGCCAGTTTTAAACTGTAATAATAATTACAGTCATTAAATGGCAATGACACATGCAGTTATGTAACAAAGTTTGTTGGATTTTGTATCATAATCTTAAGAAATTTAAATTTGTGAACAGGGCATGTCATCTCTACTGTGTCAATAATAGGTTATCTAATCTGCGATTCCAGGAATAAAGTGTACATTTGATCAAGAAATGTTTGCCTTTATTAAAAAAAGAGTCTTTGGAGTCTTTTTAAAGAAGTGTATAGATAAGGTATCAAGGTATCAAAAAAGCATTACCTTTATTTGTTTTATAACCTTTGACCTCTATACAATGCATATTAATTCTAAATAATAATAGTGTCCTGCAAACAAAAAATGCAAATGCTCAATGCAGTTTTTTTAAAACTTAAACTTAAATGAATCTTTTATAAGTAAGCCAGTGTTTGTTTCTATATTTGACCTTGACACTTACATAATTGATGGTAATCAGTATAGAAGCCAATATGACCTTGACCTATAAATTGACCTCATAAATATTATTTATTACATTATGAGATGAAAACTTGATACAAAAAAGTAAAGTTTTTAGTCTAGATTTTACCTATATCAGAATCGGAAAGTCATAATCAAAAAGTATTTCTTTTGCAAGGAGATTGAGGTCTTAAATCAAAGCCTTTCTACATCACAAATGAAAATTTCAGGGTAACTGTGACCTACTTTACCTTAACCCATTACTTCATTAGCATTTTGTGAAAAATGGCTGTTTTCATTGAAATGTCTCCCGTTACAAGTTCAAATTGCTATAATACTATAAAAATGCTTCAATACTAATCAAACTTGGCACAAATGTGGACTGGACCATTGCTCTTGCATCAACATGCTCAGGCTTAAATTTTCTGTTACCATGGCAACGAGGGGACATCTCAAAATTGCCAAAAATCACTATTTTGCGTTGTTTTTTTCCATCAAAATTGATTTCAAAGTGCTGCAACTTTTCAATGGATTGAGATAGAGTCAAATGCTTTTCAGCGTTGGTTACACGTTACCTTATGATCAATCTGGGGTCATTTACAGCCTCTCACAAGTCCAAAATTTTCTTGGCGATGAGGGGGACTCCGCCCCCCTTCAAACCCCCCAAACAGAAGGGGGCACATCCCCCTTCTGGCAACCCCCTGATGTATCTTTTGGTTGGGGGGCCGCGCCGAAAAAGAGGTCACTTTTTTTAACAACATTTCTCAAACAAAAACAAGTGTTTGGGGCCTAAATAAGGCATTTTTTCATCATTTAAGACAACAAAAGGGGGGGGGGGGTGATAAAGGCGTTAAAAGGCGTGTATATGAAGTAATGGGTTAAAGTAGCAAACATCTCAAATGCACCTATTTTCTTTCCAACCATTGTCTGATATAAGTAATTTGAACATGGCTATCATTCTTTGAAGTTAGCACCAATCTTTAATTAATGTTGCAAAAGATGAACAAGTAATATAATATTATACTGGTTCAAAGTCAATGCCTATCTTTGATTCAGCAATGTCTCTTAGTGCAATTTAGAAATATAAATGCATTCCACTTGGCAGTTACCTGAACAGGTGATCATAAATTCTGTATAAGAGTGTTTATATTTCTGCACAAGAGTAAATACAACAGTCTATGGATACAGTAGCAACCACAATCTGTCACCCTGAAATACAAGGCTGAGCAGACTCATAATGCTCTTATAATGCTTATGTCCTTACAGAATGGACTCTCCATGTTGTGACACTAACATTTGGAACTAACATTCAGTCCAGTCCAAATGGAATAAAACATTAATACACTGAATTAAATCTTACATTTTTATCACTCTTAATATCACTTATTTAAGCAAGATTATAAAGAAAGTTTTTAGCTTACTCAAATTATTTGAACCACTTTCAACAATACAGGTGTCACACCAGGAAACATGGTCCAGAAGCTAGTATATGGCTCGAACCCACCCGTCTATGGCTGAGAGGCAAACACCTTAAATAACCATAATGCCACTGCTCCCCTTTTCTATACTCAAACATCTAACTTGGTCAGGTACAGATAAATTTAATTAACAAAGATAAAACCCAGCACAAATTTATTAAACTCCAAGATAGGTCTGTTTACCACACATAAGATAAGCATTAATTCTCTGATACCCTCTAATATCGACAGATAAACACTTCCCCCACATATCAGTTACCTACAAAATGCAATTTTTTGTTAAACATTTAAACAAGGTATATATTACATTTAATTATGACAAAACAAAGATCACAATAAGACATTACTTACACCTGACAACTGTAACAACTTTATATCCTGTCCTCAATGATGTCTATATATATATATATATATATATATATACATTCATATATATCCAATTTATGTTTACAAGTCAAGTAACCTATTCAATAAGAATTATTTCAAACTTGTCAAAAGTAGAGTAAGTTAAAACCGCAGATAAAAATACCCTCGTGTGTAAAAACCACAGAGAGTTTGCTCTCAATAGCAAAAACTGTCAATAAAACAAATTAAACCGTTAAATTCCAATTAAGTTTTAAAGCAAACGTTTCCTGTGGTCAGTAATCAATATCTGTTAAATGCCTGTGACTTACAGACCCACTGTTGACAACTAGCTTGTATTGACACACTATGTATATATATCTTGTTTATTCAATATATCTAAATTAATCACGCTGATAAAGGGAGATTACAGGAATTTCAATAAGAAAATCGCTGGTAGTATTTGGAGTGAATAAGTGGGCATTTGTTTAACTGTATACAAAATCAGTAGCATAAACAATAGATAATCACTTTACATAAACTGTAATATTATGCTGTAATATTTATAAACATTAAACAAGACTTACGGCAAAAGATAAAAAGCCTATATTAACATAATATTTCTCAAGCGTGCAGTTTTCATTCATGTCTCAAATCAGATTAACATATTTCTTGGTGTTTGGTTGGGAAAAAAATGTGCAGTTTGTCTAAATAGATGTAGTGTTAGCATATAGGTAAGTTGATTTCAGCAAATAAAAACTTCAAAGTTCAAAGTTATTTAAAGTACAGAATTATAAGCTTTTTTCATGAGTAAGATTTAACCAGTCTGCAATGTTATTACCCCTACATTGCTATTATTTGAATATTATTGGACTTTCCGAGCCTAATGTATTTGGATTTGTTCATTATTTCTTTTAAGGGTGTTCAAACATATCAAAAATTCTGCTCCGACTGCAGTGATGTGGAAGCTGGTCTTAATGTACAAAGGTGGCTTATGCACTGATCATTATATGAGCTGCGCCATGACAAAACCAACATAGTGCGTTTGCAACCAGCATGGATCCAGACCAACCTGCGCATCCGCGCAGTCTGATCAGGATCCATGCTGTTTGCTATCAGTCGCAAACCCATTATGTTGGTTTTGTCATGGCACAGCTCATATATTACCCTAACATTTACCATTGATATATTCTAAAGGCTCCTTTTCCCCCCTTTCATTCATGTATTATCATTCTGCAATCAGAGGATACTTCAGATATTAATACACTTTCAAAGTTTTCTTTTGCAAGTCATAAAAATAAAAGAATGAGTTTTAAAATCGCTGCAGCAAAGCCTAACTAAAGCCTGTATTTAAATAGCAAAACATTTATTACCATAATTTGGGTGACAACATTATCGTGCTAGCTAATAATTTGTGTGACAAAATCTACCCTTGTCAGTTCATAATTTCATAACTTGTATGGCAAAACAATCTACCTTTGCTTGTTTGACAAATTAATCTACCCTTGCTTAAGTTACACATCACATGTGGTGCAAAATATCAACCAATCTAACTAAACTAGGTGATTGACCCTTTCCTCTTTTAATGCAATCAAACAAAACAGACTGTGATACATTCGTACTAGTGTAAAATTTACTACCACAACTCAATAAGATTAAAGAGATTATCCGTTTAAAAGTTAATCCCAATTTACAATCACTTCTATTTGATTTGCATTAATTTCAGCACTTTTTATGCCATTGATCATAAAGGCACTCTTGTGACAGTTATGCACACATTATAAATTATTCCCAGTAAAGCGTATTGGTGAATAAAAGATTCTTAAAAAATACAAAGTTCTTAAAACCCGCTGTTTTATCTCCGACTACTATATTGGCCAAGAATGTGCATTCAACTTACATATGGTTATGACTGAAAAAATTATAATAAAAGATTCAGCATACAACATAAATGGAACATTATTTTGCCATTTTAAAAAGCTTAGTTTTCTTGAGTGTGGGTTTTTCCAAGCTAATCCGGTACAAACAAACTTTTACCATGCACTACCATTCACAAAAGATGTGTCAACCTGTTGTCCTTACTTTCGAAGCTGTAACTGTAAAAGTTTGTTTGTAGCCCTAGATTACCTGGGGAATACCCAAAATATTCCTAATTTCCAAGTAAGCCTATTGTTGCAATCAACTGCAATAATAACCACCCAAACATAATCCAAGTCCTATCCGTTGAATTTCAATTCTTGTTACTAAATTAGCTAAATTGTGATTAAAGTTTTATAGCTTATTTAAATCCATTACTATAATAACTTCTGCCTTTAACAGTAGTTATTAAATAAGGAAACAAGGTTAGCACCTCAGACTAGGGGCCACGCAGGCACCTTAACGACTAAAAGGCCCTAATCCGCTAAACAAAGGGGCAGGCAACTTAACCATAATAAAGGCCACTGTATGATCCTCTTGAAAAAGTCTTAAGTTCTTCATGCCCTAGCATTCTAAGCTATATGCCTAAACAAATTCATCAAGATGTCATGATAGTATTTACTTTTTGTTATTCTGTATCATCTAAGTAGCATACCAGTAAATCAAGCAAACAGTCAAAAAACTAGCTAATTCTCTTTGCCAATCTATTTATATCCGGTGCTTTTTCCAGAAGAACATAATTTATCTAACTAGAATGACAACAAACACGAGTGTTTTTTTTGTATCTACAATCTATGTATGCCAAGAATTGTCCGCCATTCTTACCTTGACCTTGAGGCTTTGTTTGACCTTCATTTCTACCTCCGGTGGCGGTATAATATAGTACTTCTTCGTCATCTAAAAATTGGCCTTATTTTTAGCAAGTATCCAAATTATTTCATATTGAAAATACAGATATGAAAGTATTTCTGATGATGACAAATACGACTCTGACCAATCACAGTAAGTATGAACAGAAAACTTAATACTCTAGTTAGGTAAAGAACACAGCAAAATAACTCCATGCAAGGTAAATGGGTGAAAAAACATTGGGCACAAAATGTAAACTTTATGCAAAATGCGGAAAAAAAGCTCAAATATTAATTTCTCATTGTTGTCAATTATCTTACTGCTATTCTTGTTGACCATGTCTTAAAGTCTTTTCTATATTATATAATTATACAAAATATACAGTACACAAACTTATATACCGTATTTCTTCTAATATAAGTATCTTCCTTTTTCAATCCTTTTTTTTGGTCATTGAATAGATCATTTTTACTTTCGTGTACAAGTTACTGTCAATAAATATCTGTATTCTATAATTTGACAATTAACTTTTTTAACATCTGAATACTGTGACAAGTTCAAATAAGGAAATTTTGGTCTTAAAAATACACTATTGGTGTTTTGCATGACCCTCCCTTGGGGCTTATATTAGGACCAATACAGTAGACAAGCATTACATTACATGACCAGTGACCATAGATCTAGCCTGGATATATTGATAATATTCTCTGGTATAATAATATTGTTGCTATAACGTATAACTACAAATAAACGTACCTCTATTTTTTTGTAGAAGTGTGATATATGGACTCTGTGATGGAGGTAGATGACTCGGTTCATCTTTGAGATGTAACATGCTAGTGGATACATGATGATCTAAACCATTATGAACAGGGGGCGGTGACACGGTACTATTTCCATTCTCTAATATTTCCGGCTTTTTATCGTGATGATTTGAGACCGGACTTGCATCTTGATGTGATGATGATAATGGCTGGGGAGGGGAAAGAGCACTTGTCGGCAGAGATTCTGTATTAGTTGGGGCAACTCTTTGAGTAGGTTTCCAGGAGGAGTAACTCTCTTCTGACTTGGCAAGTGACTTAGTATATGATTCTGGGGCAGTTATCTAAAAGAAAATCAAATAATACAACATTAAGTTTTGTACAAGAAAATTCAATAAGCTATCTTATTGACAGGAAAAATTCAAGCAAGAAATAATCAGCCATAATCATGACACACAAACATCCCCCGAGATGTCACTAGAAAATCTGTATATCTATCAATTTCAGGAACAGATACAATTTTCATTAGTTTGTCAACATTATTTAAAACATGAACATTAAAGTAACCAGACATACATAATTACTAAAATGGGAAGTTAACTACCTGTATCTTATGAAACTTTTTATTTTCAAAATAGATCACTTAAATTCATTTTGATTGAACATGGTAGAATTGATAATTTTACGTTTCTTTCCATTACAAATTATTTTTCAGAAATAGGAGAATAGTATAAATGAAACTGTTTGGAAAGGTGCTGAATTTTGACCCAAGTTCTTTGCCCTTAAAATCACTGTGGAAGGCAAGTTTAATAAAATTCATTTAACCCTTGTAAAAATCCTCAGAAAGATTTTTGTTCTTAACATTTCTTAAAACCTGTGAACTTACTGCAGATATATTGCTAGGAGCTCTTGAGAAGTCTGTCCTAATAGGTCTGTAGCCTTTGTGGGCTGTATTTGATGGCCCTCCTGGGCTCCACCTTTGTGGTATTTCCTTGAGAGAGGGTGATTGATTCCCCTCGGTCTGTGACTTCTCTGTGAATGAAGGAGCCTGTGAAGAATGTTGTATACCAGGTTTCCACACACCTGTAATATAAAATATATCATATAAACAAGACTTACACACACCTATAACATAAAATTAAACAATTATTTCTAAGCTATTTTAACAGTAATATGCCAATGCATAAGAAATAATCCTCTCCCATGTGGTTTAGAACTCACAAACACCAGCCTACAAATAAACTCAACACTTAAGACCAGTGAGCCAAATTTGAAGAAACTACTCCCAGAAGTTCAACTTATAGAAATCGAGGAAGGTGTGGACCCATATGTAACTGTAGACATTTGCATCGATTTCCATATGTTCCTACTTATCAGTGCCACAGAAATCTATATATAGACTATTTAACAGCTACTATTTCCCTGCCCATGAAATCCTCTGACAAATATAGTCTAGACAAACTTATAAACAAAACTCCACCGGAAATTAACTAAATCGGTATAAACTGTTCAAGGCAAGCTTTTATTGGCATGATTGTGAATATTGTAATTTTGTCCAGAAATATGCAGGATAATACTCCTCTGAGCATTGCTATAAACACATTGATATTATTAAATTGGTTTAAAAACATAATATAGAAGCATAAAACATCTTGTTTATTCCACACTTATCAATGTGCACTTTGTTAATCATACATTTTTCAATGGGCATATCGATGGTTATAACACACTCTTCAATGAGCACAATGGTTATAACACACTCTTCAAAATGCACAATGGTTATAACACACTCTGAAATGAGCACAATGGTTATAACACACTCTTCAATGTGCACAATGGTAATAATACACTCTTCAATGTGCACAATGGTTATAACACACTCTGAAATCAGCACAATGGTTATAACACACTCTTTAATGCAAACAATGGTTATATAAACTCTTCAATGCCCACAATGGTTATAACACACTCTTCAATGCGCACAATGGTTATAACACACTCTTCAATGCACACAATGGTTATAACACACTCTTCAATGCTTCGAATGGTTATAACACATTCTTCAATGCGCACAATGATTATAACACTATCTTCAAAGGGCACAACGATAATAACACACTCTTCAATGTGCACAATGGTTATAACACACTCTGAAATGAGCACAATGGTTATAACACACTCTTTAATGCGCACAATGGTTATATAAACTCTTCAATGCCCACAATGGTTATAACACACTCTTCAATGCGCACAATGATTATAACACACTCTTCAATGCGCACAATGGTTATAACACACTCTTCAATGCGCAAAATGGTTATAACACACTCTTCAATGAGCACAATGGTTATAACACACTCTTCTATGCACACAATGGTTATAACAAACTAATGGTTATAAAAACTCTCCAATGCTCACAATGGTTATAACACACTCTACAATGCGAACAATGGTTATAACACACTCTTCAAAGGGCACAATGGTTATAACACACTCTTCAATAAGCACAATGATTATAACACACTCTTCAATGCTCACAATGATTATAACACACTCTTCAATGCCCACAATGGTTATAACACACTCTTCAATGCGCACAATTGTTATAACACACTCTTCAATGCCCACAATGGATATAACACACTCTTCAATGTGCACAGTGGTTATAACACACTCTTCAATGCGCACAATGGTTATAACACACTTTTCAATTCGCACCATGGTTATAACACACTTTTCAATTCGCACAATAGTTATAACACACTCTTTAATGCGCACAATGGTTATAACACACTCTTCAATGCGCACAATGGTTATAATACACTCTTCAATGTGAGCGTTATCACACATTCTTTCATTTGTTATGTTTCTTTACAGGATACAAACACAATTCTGGTCATATGGCATCGAAACAGGAAAGATGATTTGGCTTTTTGAAATTTTTTTTTTTTAATTTTGAAAGGAATAAAGGAAAGTGGCTTTATAAATACCATGATGTTTTGTAGTTTCAAATCAAACTCGTACAACTGGGCAGTCAACAGTAGTAGAGTCTAGCTAGGCTCTTTACCTCGGTGGAAGAGAGTGCCGTCATTAATGCTGTTTATGCTCACAGGGTTAAGCAGACAATTTTCCAATGACATTGATAAGGAATATTAATACTTCTATGCACTTATCTATGATCCCTTTCTGTTATTAGATTATGTGTGAGACATCATCTTTGATTTGGATAAGTTTTACTTGTAACCATATTTGGGGAATTTTCTTCTATCAATTTATGTTCATATTTTCAGATCTTGTCTTAGTTTTTATACTTTGTTAGGTTTTATGTGAGTCATACTGATACTGTAATGTTTATAAAGCATTTTTCCATCTAGAATGGTAGAGGAAGAATAACTGAGGTGATACTCTGTATGTTATTTCACATACATATAGATGACTAGTGCATGGACACTGCATATTAAGCTTGTTGGATAGCTTCTTTACATGAGAGAACACAAGGTTTCAAATCAACACCAGTAAGAGGAAAGTGATTTGAAGTCAGAGACCTTTATCACTTTACCATATTATTAAACTATTTAAACTTAAAGTATGTAACAGAAGTTCATTAAACGGATCCCCTAAGAACAGCACAACAGACTTGACTATGGAATTAAGAATATTTTGGGTTAAAAAATTCTAGCTAATACGATGGGGGGGGGGGGGGCAAAAATATGGGCAACAGGTTAATTATTTATTGTGAATGGTAGTGTAACATGAAGTTTTAGCAGTAAAAGTTTGTTTGTAGCAGGGGATATAAAACTCGGAAAAAACCACATTTGCCGAGGTTCAAATTACTACTATTAAAACATTGGCAATAACTTAAAACATGGAACATACATGTTTTAACATTTTTGAGTCCTAAATAGGAATATTTCAACGACTATATGCCACCAGTATAGAGCCAGGCAAGCTTCCATACCCCTTCAGTTTGACTTAAGACATCATTTCAAATTTACTTTTTTCTCTACGCTGAAATCCTTGACACATATAATGGACAGTTCCAAATTCACGGCAACATGAAGAGAGGGTAAATGAAGAGATCAATAATTTTCTCTGTTACACTATAAAGCTCTACTTTTCATTTCATTATCTCAAAGCAGATCTATATTATACATAAAACTACACAATGTCTTGTATCTGCTTTTAAAATAAAAGTGTCTCCCCTATAAATCTCCAATCAATCAAAACAGCTTGTTCTAGGTCCTAGATACAAATAGCTTACAACAAATTCCAATCAATCGTTGATTTTTTTAAAAATCAGACGGTAATAAATTAATGCACCTTAGCACAGTAACAGTTTAAGTCCTAATAAATTTACTAGGAGTTAATTAGTTTTTGCACTTAGGTGACAATCTGATCTAAATTATGTAATAAATTAACACCTTGATTTTCTTGTGTTTTTTGTTTTTGTATTTTTTTCATATTCTATTTTTATATTTTTTTTCAATGTGACACTATATCAATATAAAATCCCATAGAGGGTGATAGAATGAAAATTAATGTTCACCCAAGACAAGTGATGTCAACCAAGGTGGACATTATCTTGTCAAGAGTGAACACTTTGTTATATCACCCTCAGTGGGATAGGATATTTATTTTTATTACATCTGATTTATCATTATCTTCAAGACAGGCATTTTATACATTATAAATTATAACTAAAAACCTGGAGAATGGTCCTTCAACAACAAAATTACATGAAAATTGCAGAAACCATTCAATTGAGTCTGTACATGAGGGATAATGAAAAACATCCCTCATGCCCCCTAGTACCAGCTTGAACAGTACTCAATTTTCAACATTAGAAATGCTAGAATCAATGATCCTAACTAAACCAGTCAGTACAAATGGGGACCTTCTGGAAATACAGCTGGTCGAAATTCAATATTGCCATGTGCCATTATGAACTGTTAACCTGTGACACCACATAAGGCTATATGTTAACACATCAGGTATAATAATTAAAATATAGAATCTGTAAATAAAATCTGGTAAATAGACAAAACCTCCCTCCCAGGCAAAAACAGCTCTTTAGTACATGTAACAACCAAAAAAATAAAAGCTAGACAAAAGCCTTCGCTTGAAATTTATGGATAGGATGTAAATTTTTAACCCCTGCCCATCATTTTGACAGAGTGTATGGGAGTAAGGCCGTTGTCCACCTTGTCATTCTTTAAACAGGGCTTTCGTTCTACTCTAAATCAATCCTTACCTGGTTTAGGACTGGACTTTATTGGAGGCTGAGTACCATTTATCTTCGGGTCAGAAGAATCTGCAAAACAATTTTCAAAATCATGTTATGTCAGCATAAAACAAGAGACAACGGTTACATTACTTCTTTAATAAATAATCATTCCTATAAAATTTAAAAATTAATTTTCCAATTAAACCAATATGATTAAGATATTGTAGCATGCCATTAAAGTACCATTTGAAGCATTTAGGCCGCAGCACTTTTAGTAGAACTGTTAACCTTTGATTCAACCAATAACTAGGTAATGTATTCATTAGCATACATACATACAATAGCCATTTTTTTAGTAAACAAAATGATCATGACAATCCATTAATGCTGTAGTGAGTAGTTCCCTATTAATGTCTTAAGAATGTTTGCTCTCAAAACACCATTAAGTCTGACATGTATTAGAGAATATGATGGCATTTTGTCACATGCATTCACTATATCATTATGATCACCTATTATTATGATCACCTATTGTTAAAGGAGCTCCTTTGATTACAAATCCCCTGCTTTTCATATTGTGCTAAGCAGATGGACTCACTCATAAAGTAACCAAAAGATTTACTAGGGAATTAAGAATATTTTTTGTTTTTCCCAACTAATCCAGAAGTACAAACCAACTTTTACAGTTACAGCTTCGAAATAAGCGCAACAGGTTGACTCATTATGACTGGTAGTGCAACATGAAGCTATAATATTTTTGTTCTACCGAGGGATTAGCTTGGAAAAACCCACATTAATTTGCTGAGTTCCGGATAACACCTATTCCTGGTAAAAGCTGACACTACAATATCTTACCTATGGTGTCAAAACTTGACAGGCTTGAATCTCTTTCATCATCACAACTACCTTCACCAACTGTAACACACAGAAAATAAAATAATCACTTTAAAAATATCATCGAATCAATTAATCCTTCAATCTGTATATCTTAAACACCAAAAAGCACTTTTTGTATGTTTCACTATTATGCTTAATATAGTCGACCATCTAAAGTTTCTATTAAAAATCCTCTTCAAATAAAAAAGAAAAGTTAATATAAAATATAACACAGTCACATTCCTTCACCAAACATTAATATACAAGTCAGTTCTTTCAAGCTGAATGAATCTTTTGCCCATGTCGATATTTATTGGGTAAAGAACAGTAAAAATGTCATGGGTCAGCCAAATACAGATAAAATGTGTATCAGTCAATGTTATCAATAGCCTGTGAAATGCCCAAAAGATGAAAGACATAACAGATATTGGTTTTATATCTAGGGAAAAATGTTTTCAGTTAATATCACAGGAACACTGACCAAGCCTAAAAAAGCAACCATGACTTTAGGACATGTCAACTTTTTTTTTCAGGATTATATTCACCAAAATGTCATAGGTAACCCATCAAACACCAGTGTGACATTTTAGTCTACAGAAAAAAGTCAATACTCTAATTTTCTTGCTACCCACATAAGGAAGACCTTCACAATTTTATGACTACAATGTTACGTTTACAGAGATGTAAAATAATCATAAGAAACTTGGTAAGGATCGAGTCACAAAAGTTATTACATGTACAAAATTTTTATGAACTTTAAAGAAGATTTGATCTGTATATAAAAGTCAAGAATAACAATAACAATGCTAAATAATTCACCAAAATTCTAAGTAAACTTAAAGCCTAGAATGTAACTTATCGATCAAGGCTTCAGCTCAACAAGCCTCTGCAATGGAGGCCGGCTAGGCCCCTAAAAACGTTGAATTAATCTACATGTAAAACTATGGTTAACTGCACGCAATGATTAATGACTTGCAAAATACTTAATCTTTTTGCCATATTTATTTACTGTCAGAAAATTTATCAAACAATGTAAAATTGGTGACAATGACATTTACTTTTTGTTAGAATAAGAAAATCTTCATCCATTAATTAAATGTACTTTAAAATGCAACAATTCTTAAATCACTTTATAAAATCAAGTCAACACATAATTTCATAATTGTTTTTATAATAATTTATCAAAATTAGTTAAAAGGATAATGTTTTACAGTTTTAAATATTTGTATAAAGCAGGAAAATCTGCTTTTGACCAAGATTTACGATTTTATGTTAATTATAAAATGTATATGCAATGCAGATGTATCTCAAACCATGCAAATACACATGTATCAAAATTATGCATACTTTGTCACACACTGAAAATTATAAAATTAACTTACATATATCATTCAATGTAAGTCTAATTATGATGGAGGGGTGGGCAGGGGGGTAATTATAAGCTTTTTGGTGATTTACTAATTTTCATGTTAATTGCATTTTAATCTACTAGGAAAAAATGACAGCTACCTAGGAAATAAATAAGTGACTTCAAGAAGCAGTTACTAAGGTCATTCTGAGTTGATGCAGTCAATAAGACTAAAATTTGAATACTCTTAATTATTTTATTCACCAGGTAAATGTATACCAGGCCCAGTACCCCTGCACCCACAATCCTGCCGGCAAAGAAAGTTCGAGATGTACAGAGTTTGTTACATATTGCTGGGTCATTGAAGTTATTTTGTTATTAAGGGTGCCCCCAAAAAACAAAGGATATTTCAGACTTGCGATGTAGGGGCATTCTGTAGGAACAGAACTGGTAACTTTCTGTTTCCACACATCAAAAAGTCCTTCAACTCCCTTGGGGCAAAGGGCTGGGCTTACAATTGACTGGTATACATAAACAAATAATAAATTAAAGTAGAAAAGTTTGTTTTTTGTAAACAATTGGCTTAACACAGGTATAAGACATAATTTATTACAAATAACTGTACCAAACATTTTTATTTAGCCTAGATATAACCCTAGCACAGAACTATTCCCTTATCTTCTTTATGCATTGTTGTCTGACAAGTAAAGCTACTGTGAAACTTCAGTTACAGAAAAATCCGCAAAACCAGATCAAATGTATCATAAACCATTGAATTGATAATTGTACACAAAGGAACAATTTACAAATGAATACCAAGTCTTAGATAAGACAGAAAATGCAGATTTGTTCACCTAAAGAGAGATATTTTCATGACAGCTTTATTGCATAGAAACATATCCCAAGGTAAAATCCCTCTGCTTCAATTGAACAGTTTTAGAGTGATCTTTGACCTCGATTTTTTAACTTGACCTTCAATCAGTACAGCTGTAAATGCTAACTTTCTTAAGGTCAATTCCAATTGAATAACTTTCTGAAGGAATTCCAACTGAATAGCTTTTTGAAGAAGGATCTTTGACCTTGACCTTTGAGTTTGACCTTCAATCAGTACACCTGTAATGCTAACTTTCCTAAAAATGGATTAAATCTGGATGTATAATTATAAGGACAATCTTATTATAAGCCTTAATACCACATTCACCTTTATAAAAAAATATTCATCATTTTTAGGGAACATTTCAAAAATGCACATGTTTACTTACTAGATAGTGAACAGTGCAGACCATGATTCTTCTCCATGCCAGCTGATCTTGGTCTGCACTGAATTTGTTACCTCCAGCAGGCTATTAGGGTTAAAGATAATTTTGGTCTGCTTACAATAGAACAACAAGGAATAGCAACTTTGTCATGTCATACTTGCCTTGCATGATTCTATATACATGTATATATTTGTAATTATATATTACAAACAACATGTTACTAAGGTTTTACAGCTCATTAATATGCAGACATACGCTTACACATTTTTTACTACTACATCTACAGTGAATTATATTATTTCAGGTACACTATATGTTAGTACATGTATATATGTAAACTTACAATGTCATATAATGTAACTATAAATTAATCAAATGCATGACAAGGATCTTAAGTTGCATTAAAATTTCCAAATTTATTTTACCAAAGCAAAGGAAAGATCATATTTATCTTAAAACTTCTAGTCAGAATTTAAGGACTGCTTAAATCAGTAAAATAAGCTTTATAATGCAATCATACTAAACATGAAATATGGTTATACAATTGTAATTATACAGTGCTAGGACTTTTTATATAATACTACAGTAACTGCTATTTTTAATTTAAGTGCACAATGGAGGTAATTTGTTTCACAAGCTTATATAATTGGTATGCATTCATGTACATAAGCCTAGTGGAATGAATTGGCAATGTTATTTTCATCTGGGAACCACACATTTTGTCTGAAGAGTTTTTTTCTCTGTTTTTCCAATACAAATTACAAGGTTTGTCTCCTGTACATTAGACTAAACTATAAATAGTACACAGATGTTAATTTACTATGTTCCAACAGCCACGGGTGAAATAATTAAATAACAGTACACTGTAATTTCAAAAAGCCCTAAACTCTAATTTTTAACAACTATACCGGTACATAGCATGATAAAAATAACCCTATTCTGCAAGAATTCTACTGAAAGATGACCATGCAAAAAGCATTATGTTATAAACACAATGTTTTCAATATAAATTAATACTTCATAGTAGTCTTTTAATAAAATGATTTGTACACTGTTATCACTTTAGATTTTCAAAAATACTCTTTAATATTAATTTGCAAAAATGCAACAATTAAGGTTGAAACATACCTGAATTTTCCAAAGATTAGTACACTTAAATCAGTGCATCAACAAATTGAAATCCTCCTTGGTAATTCTATTTACCATTCATATATGAATAATAGTTCAAAACAATGAAGAATAAAAGTTCAAAACACTATATTCACCTCTGAAAAATGTTGCAGTGAGTTATTTTGTGTCTATTTTAGTATCAGTAATTAACTCTTAATTACTTAAACATTCCTTCACACTCAACATCTCTATAACCTGTGACTGAACAAGTACATTTACAGCAAATTCAACACTATTCTCCGATAATGTCATATAAACAATTCAGTAGCAGCTCAAACTAAACTTTTTCCTATACCAACTATAATGGATATTATTACTATAAAAGAACAGAAATCTGAAAACAATACTTCAAAACAATGGATATAGCAGTGAATTTGATTTCCTCTTTTATAATTACACCAGAACAGAAGCTAAGAGCGTGTAATAATTTCCGAGATAGACTGTCATAATCCAATATCCTCCATAATCTCCACTCTAAAACAACCAATTCTCATGAATAATTAAAGGCACCAGTCACAAATATTGAGTGGATATATATTAACTACAGTGTCAAAATTCCCTTTCAAATTCCCGCTGCATATAAATCAAAAGAAAACACTATCAATGCACTGAGGGAAAAAAAAATTGGATTAAGAGGCTAAAGGAATCTATATGTGGATGAAGAAGTTAGTTATAAAGTATAGGGAGGCTTGAAGTACTGTGTTTAGTGAGTAGAAGAGAGTATTGATCCCTGGTACACAAAGAGAATATGAGCCTCAGTAATAAAATCCAAGTGTCAATGAATGCAGCTCAGTAAATGTCCCCCTGACAAGCACTAAGACAGATGGCTGGTCAGAGAGTGACCAGATGTAATAAAATCTGTGATTTCCAATTCAAATATATGCCGGAGCTCAATTTAAATGAATTAAAATTGACCTCATCTACATATTTTAACTATGCGAACTTAATCTAACCTGAACAACTTGAGGGCGAATTTTCATACCAATTTATTTTTAGTAAGATAATGGTATTCAATTTCTGTTCCAGTTTATCAATAATGGAAATAAAATGCATAAAAATTGAGTGAATTTTTCTGTTAACATTGCTTTTTCCCCTATCCTCGCATTATCTTTCTCCTCTATTTACACTGAAATGGGCATTCAGCTCCAAACACTATCTCAATTTAGATAAGAGAAGAGTTATAGAGAAGAAATATAGAAACTCTTGCCAAGCTAATCTCATAAATCGTAATTTGATTGCATAATGCCATATAAAGAATGATTAAGTCAAGTGTAGAAGAGAACAAGGGTTAAAACCCAACTTTCTACTTTTATATTGAACATTTCTACTGAGTCTTGCTTAATTACCCATTTCTCTCACTGCATGTCTTCTTGTTTAATCAATTTATTTTCTTTTACCATATATTCCAAAAACACACTTGATTAGTTTTAATTAATCTAATCACTTTTCAGGGTCAGTTTCAATTAACACTGATACTGTTAAGTACTGCCTGCTGAGAAAAACCTTAGGTCCCTCTCCATGCATTATTTCACTCAAAGACAGGCATCTGAGGGTAAAACCACTGACCTGATGCAAGCTTAACCTTCTTGGGAATGATAGACCAGTGTATAAAAGTTGTCATGTGGTTACAATGTCAGAGCACCTTTCAATCAGGGATCAATTAGGATCAAACCATATATAATGAAGTTTCCTCATATGACACCAGTTATTGTCAGTTCCAGGATGCATAAAGTTGGTTATCCAACAGTGGTTGCTCTGGAAAGGTTCAAACAAGCTTAAATTCAAGCCAAGCTTAAATATATTTTTTAAGCCATTTATTGTTTTATCAAAATTAATTGTGTCTGATGGCTAAAAGCCAAGTTGACAGAGCAATGATATTAGATTTTCATGAAGTAGTTTCCCAGTAAGCCTTATATACAATAAGATAATTGGAAGTGTGTTTGATACTGGACATTTCCCTTATTGATTTTTGAAATTGCATTCAGTTTTATTCCCAATGGTGAATCCAATCTACAGGAGAAATCATTATCTTTTATCAGCAAAGATATTTTTTTATATTTTGATTTTGCATAACAATGATATACGAGAAATGATTTTTGAAATAAATAAAAAGAAATAATAACTGACATGTTGAGCCAAACATATAGGTTAAGGACCTAACGTTTAGTCAAATTAATTCTTAAACCATTCTGTATAAACAGGACAAATCTTATTCAGCTTTTGAAAGGTCAAGAATAAATTTGTATAGGAATAGGATGAGTCACTTTCTTTCTAATTTAGGTATCTAAATTTTTCTATGTGAGGTCTAAAAGTTTTCATGGACAATATCATGCTATGTTTCTTGTTAAATATTGTACTAATTTCAGGGTTATCTGACTGGGATTTCTATTCATGATATCGTTTTTCATGCAGGGACCCATGCATGATACCTTTTCTTGGTTTCTGTTCATGTTGAATCTGTATAGGTATAAAACCCCTTCTCTCTTGCCTCAGTCCAATAGCTTCTTCTTGTCTTGTAGGATAACTCTGACTTTCTGACAGTGACCTTGACATTGGAGCCCTTGACATTGGAGCCCTTGACAGATCTCGTCTTTGTTGATCAGGAGAAGCTGTTGGTGCCCAAGGAGTGTTTTGTACCTGGGTAGGCTGCACATTGGGTTTCCATACATGCCTTGACAATAGTGGCGAATGCTGTGGTCTCCAAGATGGTTGTGCTTTACCTCTGCCTCCTTCAATATCACTAAAGCAAACATCATCATCATGTACTATGTTACGCTGTAGCTTTGGACTTCCACTTCTTCTTACTTTATGTCCAAAAGAAGGAAGAGTAGAATAGCTTCCTGGGTCCGGTTCAAACATTTGCCTGGAACGCAAATCACCAGTGGATGATTTCTTTCCAGGCAGAGTAGCATAAGACATTGAATGGTCTTGTTGCATTTCTTCCCAGTCTTTTTGAAAGGTCTTTTTCTTGTCTGCTTGTAGCTGATGTTGTAAAGCTTCTTCAACACGCTTTTCTCGCTGTGATTCCACTTTTGTTGGGATAATGTATTCACTTTGTTGTGCTCCATAAGGTGGGGGAGCAATATCTGGGTACTTACCAATAGTGTTGGGTTTTATTTCCTGCTTTGTTTGCTTGTCATAAATTGGTACTTGCTTTATTGCTTCATAAATAACATTATTAATGTCTCTTTCGAGGTCTATTCTTCGTTTTTCTAAATCAGCTTTCTTTTTGTCATGTTCAATCCTTATCTGTCTAGGGGAGTCTGGTTTTGAATCACTTTCCAATGAAGTTTGTGAGGAAAATGGGCCTCTTCGTATTTGTATTGGTATTTCCCGTCTTGGAGAACCAACTGACGCACCAGGGGATTGTTGACCTTGATGTCCATCTGCATCTGTCGAGGAAAATTGTTCTCGAAGGAGAGCGCGTTGTATTGGACTCCTTTCAATATTGACGGACCTTGCCAGATCAGGATTTTGACCTTGATCAACTTCAACAGGCACTTGCCTTAGACCCTTAATACTTTCACTTATTCCTTTAAACACAACAGGAATTTCTCTTGGAAGTTCACCATGACCTGAGGCGAAATCTCGGGGTGGAGGGAAAAAAGATTGTGACCTAGGCGAACCATATGACCTTGGGGAATCATGACTTGCAGATTGTTGTGAATTATAGTCAGGATTCTGCTTTTTAGCCTCAATCTTTATTGGCAATGACCATGCACTATTGTCAGCACTTACATTTTTTTCTGAAGCAGACACACCTCCATACGTCTGCTGCTGGCCTCTGTATAGGTCACGGTCATTTGTGTCTATTAATAGAAATAGAGGATGAATTTAATAATAATCGTGACACAGAATAAATCTTTAAACAGCATGCATCAACTTCTTTAAACTCTACATCAACGTCATTCCACAACAGTTTTTCATGAAATAATTGTAAAACAGACACTGACTTAAATGACACAGATTTAAGACAACAGAAAACAGAACCATGCAACAAAATTGCAAAAAAAGAACACAATCATGCTGTAACTGCAAATCTGAACAATTATCAAGATTCAACGCTGTTGTCACTGGAAAAACCCCAAACAATAATGCTCAAAGATCATTTCCATGGCAAAAAATTTAAACACAATTCAGTGTGAGAAACAAAAAGACATAAAGAATGTCTAATTTTAAGCTGGAAATAATGTGCAAAGCCTGTGATATACAGCCTTTAAACTGCCAATAAATCAAAACTTAACCAGTCAACAATACAGAATCACTCCTGAAACAAAACTAAGCTGAAATTTAAAAGTCTCAAATGCCGAAACAAGACATACATCATGTTCTAACAACTCTTCAAATGAGAGCAAACTGATACAGAACAAAAATTAATGAAGATGATTAGCCCATGCTCAAACCACACCATATACCTGGAATACCCATGTCCAACAACTTTCTCCTCATTCTACCAAATAGACTCAGTCCTTTCGACCTTTTTGACTTTAGAGACTTCTTCAAAGGCACTACCTCAGAACTACCATCACTGCTTGGAGAATAGTCCCGCCAAAATTGCCGCAATGTGAGTCTTGGCGAAGCTGGTACTGATCTAGATTTCCTTGTGCCTTCCTCATGGTCAGATGAACTGTCAAAAAATTTTCTTCTTCTCAAAAATTTTGGAGATGGTTTTTCTTTGTTAGATTCTACATCATTTTTATGTACTCTCTCTTGCGAGATTGCTTTTTGTGAAGGCATAGAAGAGATGACGCTAGATCTAGTTACTGTAATAGTACTGTTCATTGGTTCCTCTTCTTTTCCACGTACTGGAACAACTTGCCAGAATGCACTTCGTGCCGGTGTTTCAGTCAGAACATTTACATTAACATTCTTAGTATCATTTTCTGTCAATTTACGACGTACTGGTTTCGGAGATATAGGTGGCGGAGTTTTACCTTTAAGTTTCTTCATCTGAGGTATTTTAGCGTCTCTTTTTTGCTCCTCTGGTGAAATGAAGTTTTCTATCATTCTCTGAACTGATTTTGTTGGCGGAACAACTATTTCTGACTTTGAGGTATTCTCGTCACTACTGTGTGTAACGTCCTGGAAAAACTTTTTTCTCAGTTCTTTTACAGATTGAGTAAAATTTGGAGCGTTATTTCCTTCCTCAACACTTTGAGAGGGAGAATTTCCATGAAATGTTCTTTGCAAAGAATGTTGCGTTTGAACCACAGGCTGAGGCTCTGACAGGCTGTCTGAACTTGCAGATGAAAAATCTTTATAATTTGTCCGTCGCAAGAGTTTAGGTGATGGTATGACCGGACGAAATCTGTGTGTTCCCTCGTCACTGCTTGGTGAAATATCACTTAAAAATGTGCGCTGCCTAAGTGGTGGCGATGGAGGGAACGACTGTGATAATGACGTGTCAGATTCGTTATAATCTGTGAAATGTCGAGGTAGAACTGGTGGAGGTGAATCCCGAGGTATAAATGGTGTGGGTTTGAAATGTTTTGGCAGACGGGGTCTTGGTGGCGTTGAGGGACATGATGATGGGGGTGTTTGCCAATGACCACCAATGTCAGCTGTATTTTTGAAATTTTTCGTCAATCTAGAACCTAATCATGAATATAAGTAATGAGATATCATTTATATTCTTTATAAAGAATTAGATTAGAATAATTATTTCTTTATTACAAACTTTTACATGTAATTCAGATTTGCAATTGTCAAGCTATAGAAATAATAATAATAACAACGAAAGAAAGAAAATTAATATGAATAGTGCACAACATTTGGAAGCTTGTATTTCTGCTCAAAGCTGTTATGTAACATGCAAAATATGTTTTACTTTGAAATGAATTTATACAGGGTTCAAAAAGAACAATTTCTTGAGCAAAGGTAACAAATGGTACAAATTCAAATAAAATTAAATAGTCTATTTGAATTATCCTCACCTTCAGACTGAATAGTCAAGATAGGAATTAGTATTTACAGGTAATAAATTAAAATTATCTTGTTACTAGATCATAGCAGGAAGGTTGTAAAACCAATTATCATTAAAAGGTCATTTACTGTTTATATATATATATTATATATAAATGAAGAGGTTCTTGCATCAGTCATTGTAATAATTCACCTAAAAGGATAATGCTGGACATAGGTACATATACACATTAATCTCTCTAAATAATTACTTCTATATGCCATTAGACCATTTTTTGACACTGATTATCTTAGTGGCCTTGACATTCATGACTTCAATACTTGTTTTCATAAAGTTTCATACTATGTCACAGGTTCGGACTATCTTTTTATTATTTTTTTTTACATCTGCATCTTAAGAAACTATAGATACTGTTTCCCAGCAGTGGTGACCTTGACCTTTATATATGTAACTTAATTAAAAACAATGAATCTTTGAACTCAGCGGGTATATCCCATTTACAATTCGTGAACCATATAAAGGAGAAGTAAAATTAACTCAAACAGCAATAAATTTGTACATAATTGTGTCATTCAATACATTTATTGTGTACAAATATAAGGAAGAGTGAAGAATTCATGTGTGTCATGATATTGCCATGCAGATGTTGAACAGAATTACCCGGGTCTCTCTTTGCAGATCTTGGAGACAGCGGTGGTATTTTGAGGACGGACTGAAACATTACAGGACTTGTTGGTGCTGTCCTATACTGACGCTGGAAAACCGGACTTGCCGGTGCCGTCCGGGACTTTACTGCACATAAAATAAGATGCATTGATAAAAAAAGTTGAAAGCCACATTGATTTATATTTCAATCAAATGTTCATGCATTAACTGACTTTTTTTTATTCTTACCTAAATACAATTATAAAACGATCCCTACTGCTACAACAACAAAACAACAACAACAAAAGCAACAAGATATATACAGCCTTTACTAACTAACTGATAGACAAGTATCATAATTTCTTGTTTAAAGGGAGACAAATCTTACAATTTGTTGTAGAAAATGATATGAAGAGTTATCTCCAGATTTTTATGAGATCTTCAAAATCGGAACATTTGTATTTGATTCTTTTCAGAGATAGGTAAATTTGTATAAGAAAGTCATTTCGAAATGATGATCTAGCATTTACAATATTCCTCATTCCACATGCAATATTCGTACTATATACACAGATATACAAAATCTTTTTTTTTTTTTTTTAAATAATATAGACTTATAAAACTGTACTACTGTAGGAAACAAAAATTGAACAGTATTTTTTACCTTAAATTAGGTAGGCAACCTACCGTAGCTTATATTTTTACAAGTTACATTAATTCCACATAGCCTTATTTACTTATCATTTTACCAAGGGAGCTAATCTACATAAATTGACTGGTACAAAACACACTTAACATGATTACATTAAATAAAAGTAGATTTCAAGGTAAGATTTTCTTCAATATATATTATATATATATATCTTTTTTATCAAAATTATTGTTATTTTGGAAAGCTTCTTTGTTAAGTCACATGGCTATAAATGAATAAGTTACCTCTGTTTGTGTTTACAGTGACCATCATTGGTATATTTTGCGAGCTGTGAGATGGTGACTGATGGTGAGAGAAAGAAACTGGCTTGTACGTCTTTGTCGGCCGACTATCTCCTGAAAATATACAATACAATATTATAACACTACTCTGTATAATCCTTCATAATATCTTTGAAACCTACATTCATTTACAATTACAACAACAAGATTCAATTTGGTTCCTGTAACAAGAAAATAAATATTTGACACAATCATCTGATCACGTAATTCAACTATTAAGCAATATATAAAGCTAATATGAAGCTACGATATATATTAAGCTGATGAAATCTAATCATATCAACAGTTTTTTTTGTTACTTCTTTCTATACTAAAATCGTGACTAAAAAATTAAATTCACTACTTACGGAAATGTATTTGAATGACTAACATTTTATATATACAATAATATACAATAGATCTAAAGCCTTTGAAGAACCATGGAATTACATGCACCATGGCTATAAGACTAACTACAATATACTAGTATATCAAACAATCATTTTCAAATTCTACTCATCCATAAAGCCACCAAACTTACAACATCAAGGTGTAAAAAGTTTCAAAAACATGTTCAGAACAAAAGAATATTTTTTTCAGAGACAATAATTTTATTTATTAATCTGTTACATAACCAAAAATACATTGTCATTGTCATTATGTATAATGTATGTAAAGAAATGAAAAAAGAAAATACTACTGCCATATAAATTTAATATGTGAATAGTTTACTTGATTTTACATAAATTCTTTAGTTTACAATTATTGTTCTATTAAATTCATTGTTTTGAACATATCAACATAAAATAGTATGTCTATCAGAGTGACAATATCCAGCTTTATAATTGAGCCTGCGTCACAACAAACCAACATATAGTGCGTTTGCGACCCAGCAATGGATCCATACAGCCTGCGCATCGCGCAGGTCCTGATCAGGATACCATGCTTTCGCTTATTACCAACTCTATAAACCAAGTTGAGAAACTGATAGCGAAAGCATGATCCTGAATCAGACTGCGCGAAATGCGCAGTTAGGCCTGATCTGGAATCCATGCTGGTAACAAACGCACTAATGTTGGTTTCAGCTGTTCGCAAACGTAATACTTATATGATTATGGTGTTTGTCTATGTACGAACAGCTCATAAGAAATATATGTACAAATGATGTAGAAAACTAGCAATTTTAAAAATGACATGGTGAATTAACTTGAATATTACTTGAAGATGTTTTTAAATTATCAAGACAACACTTTGTCAAGTCTATGTTCTTCTTTTATATAATGATGCCTTTTAATTTCTATGAATGGAGTACTTGATTTTGATGTGAAGTCAAATTTGGAAAACTCAAATGTGCAGTTGAAATGTCAGCTTTCACGAAAAGCGTAAATATTTATCACATAACAGAAAATTATTCCTTATATTTCTAAAGGCAGACATGGCCAAGAAATTGTTGTTTATAAACATTTGGACGTGCCAATCAAACAAGAATTTTTAATAATCTTTTTGCAGTGCTTCCCCCTTGCAGACATCACCAGGTGGCAGTTGTTAAAGGTTTCCTGTTTCACTTGGCCTGGATGTGTGCCATTAACTGCTGTATACCTACCTGTTCTGTTTCCATTCACAAAATTGATGCCATAAATAATCCATGACTCACTCAAATTGTATTCTTTGTTTTTTGGGGAGGTAATTTCAGGTAAAGCTTAAGGTTAAGTATGTTGTTTAAATCATTAAATGCAATAATGACTATGAACCAAAAGAAGAACATGATGATGATGATTCAAGAGTTAGAAACATGGCAATCAAATTAACCTCAAAATTCCTTAAACATTACAAAATCTCCTGATTAACTCCAAGTTCACAATTAAAAATTAATCAATAGTAATTAGTAAAATTTTAAACATTTAAACCTTTGTCTTCCAAATACAAGAAATCATGTCCATTATTATGTAAGTATTTACTATTGCAATCATTTGAATGAATTTGTGGAAAATATTGTAATATTTATAGTATTTGCTGTTAAACATCTTTGTACAACAAATTTTAAGAACTTAATAAAAACAAATAAACAGTAACCCCAGCATAACTGAACCTTGATTTACTCCCTAGCAAGGTTATAAAGTGTTTGACTATATGTTACAGTTATTTATTTTATGAAATAAAATGTCAATTAGCAACAATCAGTATGACATAACAATCTTTTTTTAAAGAACATTTCTTTTAAATTTTGCCACATAACTTGTAATGAACAAAATAGAATTCTTTGTATATTATTCAAATCATTCCGACCATTGACTAACATTATCTTAAGTTCACCAAGTACACTATAATTATATGAGTAGTATCATTTTGAAATTAATGATAAAAACATACCATTCCCAGGTGCAGTTCCTTCTTCATCTATTGAAATGCTTATTCCAGGATCATTAATTTGTAGTTCAATAGTACAAGCCATAAAATAAGCGTCTTAATATTCCCCTGTTTAAACACTTCTTAAAAAAATACTAGCTCATTGCAATTTGTTCGAAAGGATTACCAATGATCAGAGTGATCGAGAATCGGCTGACCTGTCTAATCTATTTCCTGCTATTTCTTTAATTACAAAACTTTCAAAAATTATTTCCCAAACTTCTGACTCACCTTACAGAAAGCAGCGAAACATTATAGATTATAAAACCCAGTTCCAATCTTACCATTTATCTAATTTACTGTCTACAGCCTTTAAAATAAATTCTTTCATATCATAAAAGTGAATCTGCTGCTCTTTCTGTTTTAAGGTGCAATGTTCTAAGAAAATTATCTGATGTAGGAAAAATGAAAGGTTTATCAAATTTATACCATTAAAATGTCACTTTTTCCTGCAACAATTTTCACATCATGGTTAAAGCCCAACAAAGATAAAATCTTTTCACAGTATGAGCATGTTTTAACAACATTTCTTCCTTCATCTTGCATTGTGGCTTGTTACATGAAACCACACATACCTAAACTTATGGAATGAACTTGTCCTGCTTTGAATCTGGAACAGTCCATTGATCTATTATCAAACTGACAAAATTTAAGTCAAATTTCAGCAGGCTTACCAGTTACATGCTGAGTGAAATGGGTCTAAATTGGTAATTCTTGTTGAAATTGCATTTGTCTCTAGTACAGAGCAGGCTCTATATTATGTTGGTTTCAATAGTGAAATCTCTAAACTTGAGATTTACTATTCTAAATTCAAAGCAGTGCAAACTTATAACACACATTCAGCAGGTTAAGTACTAAGACAACTCATTATTATTCAAAGGGATCAGAAAGTTATTGTTAACTGCTTAAACATGTCTTTCTGATGCTTAGCTTGTTTGTCCTGTCTTATATATTCTTTTGGAACAACATCTTCACTGCAAAAAATCATGAAGCAAAGACAGATGATAAAAGGACCCCTGATAAAAGGACCCCTGAAGTATAAGAGTGTTATCTATTCAGTAAAGGCACAATCAAATTGTATAAAGTCCCTGTGGAATAAATTATAACTTTTTGATTGAAATGTGTGAGTCACTGTTTCAGTAATACAACCCAATTTTGACTCTGTGAGGGTATAATTTTTATCATTTGGGTGACTTGATTAAATAAAATACAATTACTTAGCAAAAACATATTTCAAATTAAGTCCTTGTGACCTTAACCTTTGACCTACTGACACAAAAACTGTAAGCACTAATGGCTCATCTCAAAGAGGAAAACTACACAATGAAGTTTAAAGTAAGTGGGTCAATTGAAACAATTAAGTTCAGAGGAAACAGATATTCAAGTCAATGTGACCTTGAACTTTGATCTATTTACAAACCCAGAAAAAAAATAATTGAAGTGTTTTTGTAATGAATAACATTAACCATCCTTTGACATTTGAAGGGTCATGGTCAAATGGTCCCTGAAAAACTGGACAGAAACAATGGGTAAAGGACTGATGAACAGGACTTAAAATAGACAACACTTTATAAATGCCAAGTCTACTCTAGATAGAGATATTTTCAAATCTGTGAAGCATTGATCTCAAGACCTTTTGATCTTGCAAACTAAAGGTTTTCAACAGATCCATTTTAAACTGACATAAAATAACAGAACATCAAAGAGCATTACATTAAATTTTATTGAAGGGCCATTTTAAAATTGAGCTGATTTTATTGATTCAAAACAGTTTTAAAACTTGCATGAAAGTAGTTTACATTGATGAACTTTGCATATATTTTCAAAGGTCTACAGCAAAAATTGAACCTCAGTGAAGTCTAACTTCAGACCAGCAAATTATTCCCTAAATTTTATTCTGAGTGCCATGTTTAATGAGGAAAAAATCTTCCAACATTTCCACAATAACGGATAATGAGGAAAAATTGACCAATGATGAATCACACCGATGAGCGAGTATGAACTTTATATTTCAATAACAACAACAACAACATACATGCTACAATATTCATACCTCAAAAGAAAATAATAATAAACTAGCTAGCAGCTAAATCTAAATAACCTAACATATGTAAATATATAGATCATGCTGGTAGAAGATAAATGAAAACAATAAAACAAATTCATACAGCACGAAAAAGATATCAAGTGTGTAAACAATACAACATAAAATTTCTGGATAACCCACAGTTATTTAGTACTATTTTGATGTGTCTGTACATAATTATGATTGCTATAAAGTTTAATTACATTAAATTCTTCTTATAATGTAAAATTAATGATTTTTTTTAAGTATGTACTTTTGTTTTAAAGCACTGTGGTCTGGTACATGTAGATACCTAACTTGTGTTCCTTGATTCAAGTACATTTTCTGCAAGAAGCTGCCAACTTCTCCACACCTCATGGTGAATTATTTAATTTAAATTACTAAAACAATGGAGAATGACTGGACTTATTTCAACAGACAAGTCATCAACTAAAGTGGCATAGAAAAAAACATATGCCACACTCAAGAATTAAATTTGCTGACCTAAGGTCAGTAGACCTGAATGCTCTTCATTGTTGATTAAGCTTATTGGGCTTTGCAATGTGAAACATAAACAAGCAACCAAATAGTCTGTATAATATTCAAAGTGGGGACTGAAACCATAAAAATTGCAAAGATTATTGAAAATAATGAAAATAACTTTGGTTGTCCATCCATTTCTCATAAAAAATAACAACTACAATATCAAACAGAACAGTTACATGTGCTGTTTTTTGTTGTTGTTCACAAACATATGTGTAGCAATATCTCCAGTAAAAAGGGAAAATGTACTATATGCTGTAAAACTATACAATATATATATATTAGGAGGGTATCAACTGAACATGACACAAACCATTTGGTGTCCAGACTGAACTCGAGCCTGGTTTTCTGTTGCCATGGTAACTGACAGCCTGGTTACTAGGCACATGGTTACCTTGAATTCCCAGGTAACCGTGACCTTGATTATAACCTACAGGCTTTTGATCACCTTGGTAATGCTCACTTGGAGCATTGTGAGCAAATGGTTTCCTCATTTTTCCTAAAATCAGAAATAAAATTAGTTAAAAAATGAATTTGTTGCCATAGAAACTTCCCTCTTACATGCATGATCAAAATCCCCACTTCTACCTAAAAAGTTGAAAATCATTAGTGCAAATATTATGACATTTTCGAGTACAGAAATACTTTAAACTATGATAATGCCACAGGCACCTAAAATTCTCTCTTTTCCAAAAAACAGATTCAATGCAATTCATTTTCAAAAATAATATGGTGTAATTACAAAACTGTATAATTGCCCATGTATAATTATTACAATTTGAAATATCATAATAACAACAGAAAGCACAAAATAAAAAATGTACATTATGCAATTATAACATGAAAACATGGAGAAAAAAAATCTGCTGATTTTACAAATATTTTAGCCAATGTTGCCAGATTTTAAAAATCCAATGGATTAGAATTGTGTATAGTCATTTAGAAAATAACTTTTCAAGGGTAATTTATTTCAAGGCTTTGGCACATTAATGACCATCTTGTGATGGCAAAAATTACCCCCTAGTTGAAACTTTTAGACACAGGAAGAAGGATGTCTATCTGTAGTAATGGATATTTAATTTTATTGGTGGTTAATCACATTACAGTATGGATTTTGACATCCCTGTAATATAAAGGTTCAGTTTCAGATATTGTCAGTGGCTGGTCGTACAATTTAGGTAATTATAAATGACTACAATTTAGGTAATTATAAATGACGGCAGCCGGCTAAAATATTTTTCGAATTATTAATGATATCAATAATCATGTATCATAGGTACAACTAGCCATTGGCAATAAATGATGAAGCTATAATATTTAACTGTAAATGACATCACATTTAATTTATCTATCAAAAAAACCAATGCTAGAAAGTTGCCTTCTAATATTATCACTCTGCCTGTTGAAATTCGGCACACATTAAGCACAGTACCCTTGGGTACCAGCGAAGAAAGGCAAATGCCAAACCAGTTTAGATTAAGCCTTAAGCCAGTCTAAACTATATTATTATATTAAGAAGACAGGACAGAATATTTTAGCAAATATCCAATATTTTGATGTTGAAATCACTTAAACGCCATACAGACTTACTCAAGAATTAAGAATATTATGGGTTTTTCCCAGCTTATTAAATCCTGGGGTGGGTGGGTACAGACAATTTTTTACACTTTTACAGTTACAGCTTCCAAATGTAGCACAACAGGTTGACTAATCTATTGTGACCGATTGTGCACGGTGTAGCTTTAACGGTAAGTCTTTTTGTAACATACCGGAGGAGGTTTGGGAAGTTGAGGGGAGATATTACCTTGGAAAAACCCACATTTGCCTGGTTCTGGATAACATCTACTGACTTGCCACTATTTAAAAATTCATAACTAGTATAATAATATTGTCCATTATACATACAATAATCAGTTAGGTATTAGAAATTTAATATACAATGTGTAGATCAACAGACAGGATTGTGGCAAAAGGTGACAAGTAATGACCTGTGGGTCAGACAAATTGTGTATACCAGTGAGTTACATGTTTATGATATATCTTTTATGACTCTGGCATGAATGTTCTCATGTTAACATCATCATTCATAAAGCTTCACCTGTATATATGTACATGTGGTTACACACTACAGACAATCAATGACTTATAGTATATGAAATATAAATGCTTATTTTTTTACATTTACCATGTCTTTTTGCTTTGTTAAAGTGAATTGGTCTGCAGTGGGCAAATTTTCAGATTTTCCATTTCGTATTTCAAATATTAATAAAAACAATAGAAATGTATCATTTAGATGCTCTATAAAAATATTGCTTGAAAAAATGTTGATAAAGTTTTAAGTGATATAGAATGAACATTAAATATGCTATATAAGTTATGCAATTTTGGGTACAGTATCTCAGCCATGCCAACAAGATTCATTTACCATGCTTTTCATGGTTTGCTGTTATGTTTGATAATCATACTAATAACTATCAATGTCATTAATTATTGTAAAACCAAACAATTCACTTGGTATAAGTGAGGGAGATTGATATTATAGATGCTGCCATTTAAACAGAGTCTGGTTAGGTTAGCAATGCACAAGGGTACACCATTTGGCCTGGCTCTATACTGGTGGCATACAACTTTATTCATACGCCTATAGTATTCATACCGTTGAGAAAAAAAAGATCGTAATAATTGTCACAAAACAAATTTCTTTCCCTAATTCAGCACAGCAAATTAGCCTTTACAAATATCCCTCAATGCATATAACCTTTGAGCAATTTTGATACAAATTCTTAATTCAATTTCCACCAAATTACCCCTCTCAGTAATTTAACCAATTTTGCTCACAAAAATTAGAGTAAACATAAATACCTGCCTCAAAGAAAGCCTTATAAATTATCACGACCAAAGGTTTTAGGTATCTAGTAGCACCTGAGGTATTCAAAGTCCTATAATCCCTTCAATTATTCCACTTTCAATATAGTTAATATATAAGTACACATTCAATGTAAGGAGCTCTCAAATTCAATATTTAAACACAAGATAATATGTCTCTATGTATCTCAGAGGCTAATATTTTGTTGCTTATTATAACCAAACATCCATATAGCTACAAACTGTAGTGTTCAAGGTAAAGATCCACCTGTCCTCACTAATTATCTACGTAATTAATCTCAGTATCGCAGTAATTCAGGTCCTGTCGCTCTCCTCTTATTCGACAGTCCTAATCATTTTCATAATATTAGTGTCTACATGCCCCTAGGGGTTGAAGATGTGTCAATGTTTGGGGACCGATATAACCAGGGTACAGATAAAACATCACGCACACAACTACAGTGCCCTCAGGTTTTTTGTGTAATAAAAATCATTATCAAAATTTGTCACTATTGGATAACTTTACCTTTATACTTCAGTTATTCAAAAAGAAAAAAAAAACTCAAATTAAACAAGAATAACTCTTATTGTGAGCTTTATGTACAATTTTGAATTTTAACTTGTGTGTAAATTGGCTCTATAATGAGTAACAATTTTGTCTATTTTACAACAGGTGTCATATCTGAACAAGCCTTTTGAAAATTGTAATTTGCTATGTCATTTATGTTTGTTTATCCAAGGATCTTAAATAGTTTTCCTTCAATACAATTGTATTCATTTTCTTTCTTTCTTATTTAATAAGTTAACTTTTTCTATGGTCTTTGCTAATTTCAAGTTCAAATGAAAAACTGCAATATTTGTTAAAACGAGTTGTATAACTTATTATCACCTTAAAGCTAAACAACTCCAGTAGGTAAACAAATTTTCATAAAGTCAATCTTTTATAAAAATGTATCAAGTTTAAAATATGTATATGATATTTTACATGTTTCATATGTAATTTAACAACATGTACAAGTTTTATTACCATATTAGCCCTATTTTTACATATTTTAACAAAGAATATGTAGTATGTGCAGTAGACTCTCACCAGTCTAAATACTTCAAATTTAATTTTCTCTGTTCACTATATAATTGACAAAACAGTTTTATTATTTTGAACACTTTTTAGATTTTCTATTTTAAACACGTTTTAATATTTTGGACATTCATTTTGCATAAAAATCTTAATAAATTAGGTTTTTTTTGCTTTAATAGCATGTCTGGTCACCCACTTTAACCCATTACTTCATGAGCATTTTGTGAAAAATGGCTGTTTTCATTGAAAAGTCTCCCGTTACAAGTTCAAATTGCTATAATACTATAAAAACTGCTTCAACACTAATCAAACTTGGCACAAATGATGACTGGACCATTGCCCTTGCAACAACATGCTCAGGCTTAAATTTTCTGTTATCATGGCAACGAGGGGACATCTCAAAATTGCCAAAAATCACTATTTTGCGTTGATTTTTTCCATCAAAATTGATTTCAAAGTGCTGCAACTTCTCAATGGATTGAGATAGAGTCAAATGCTTTTCAGCGTTGGTTACACGTTACCTTATTATCAATCTGGGGTCATTTACAGCCTCTCACAAGTCCAAAATTTTCTTGGCGATGAGGGGGACTCCGCCCCCCTTCAACCCCCCCCCAAACAGAAGGGGGCACATCCCCCTTCTGGCAACCCCCTGATGTATCTTTTGGTTGGGGGGCCGCGCCGAAAAAGAGGTCCTTTTTTTAACAACATTTCTCAAACAAAAACAAGTGTTTGGGGCCTAAAAAGGGCATTTTTTTTATCATTTGAGACAACAAAAAGGGGGGGGGGGGTGAAAAAGGCGTTAAAAGGCGTGTATATGAAGTAATGGGTTAATATATGGACTAGCCTCCCTTTATATTTGGAGTAGTTTATTAAACAAGAGCTGTCCGTAAGACAGCGCGCTCGACTTTTTTAGTGCTTGCCTATAATACAAAACATTGACAGTTAAGGGCCATAATTCAAATAAAATCTTTGACAGAATTACCTTCTCCTGGACATGTTTGGGAATCATGATTGTAAACAAGTATTCCAACTTTCAAATTAATATCTCAAACAGTTCAGTCAAAAAGTGGACTGGTACTAAAAACTTAACCAAGATTCTAAGTCGATAAAAGGCCTTAATTTTTAAAACAAATCCTTGACAGAGTTACCTTCTCTTGCGTACAGATGGGGGTAATGATGTGAAATAGCATTAAAAGTTTCAAAGCAATATCTCAAAGGGTTAAGGCAATAAGTGGATTTTACCCATATTCAATGTATTTTCTAAGTCAAAAAGGGGCATAATTCTGTCAAAAACCTTGACAGAGTTATGTCCTCTTGTCTGTTGATGAAGGTCGTGATGGTAAACAAGTATGGTCAGTTTCAAAGCAATACCTCCAATGGTTTTGAAATAAAGTGAGGTGGTACAAAAAACTTAACCAAGATTCTAAGTCGATAAAAGGCCTTAATTTTTAAAACAAATCCTTGACAGAGTTACCTTCTCTTGCGTACAGATGGGGGTAATGATGTGAAATAGCATTAAAAGTTTCAAAGCAATATCTCAAAGGGTTAAGGCAATAAGTGGATTTTACCCATATTCAATGTATTTTCTAAGTCAAAAAGGGGCATAATTCTGTCAAAAACCTTGACAGAGTTATGTCCTCTTGTCTGTTGATGAAGGTCGTGATGGTAAACAAGTATGGTCAGTTTCAAAGCAATACCTCCAATGGTTTTGAAATAAAGTGAGGTGGTACAAAAACTTAACCAAGCTCAATACACTTTCTAAGTCAAAAAAGGGCCATAATTCTGTCAAAAACCTTGACAGAGTTATGTACTCTTGTCTGTAGATGGAGGTTATGATGGTGAACAAGTATGGTAAGTTTCAAAGCCATACTTGTAATACTTCTGAAATAAAGTGGGGTGGTACGAAAAACTTAACCAAGGTGTGACGCCAACGCTAACGCTAACGCCGACGCCGACGCCGGGGCGAGTAGGATAGCTCCCCTTTTCATAGAAAAGTCGAGCTAAAAACTCAGGGAAGTTTATAATATTATACAAATACTAAAACATCAAGGACCAAACAGTTTAAACTCTGATGAGACAGCCATGATGTGAAGATCAAAACAACTAATGTCTTAAAGATGCAGCCATTTTCTTACTTCTTTGCTCTAAAACAAACAGTGTTGTCAATGAAAATTATCAATGAAGTTATTTCTAAATCTACAGTAGCTATCTGACTTTGCAAGTTTTTCTAATGTAAAATACATAGAGATAAATTTCAAGTCAATTTGCATGGCAACCATTTTGCTCTCAGTATTTTGATTTTTGTTTTGCGTAGTGCAATATTTGTTTAGAATCAAGATATAAAGAAATGAGTTTCCTACATTAAGACACATAATCCTTAAAGATTGGATGAGACAACAAACATCAAACAAAACTCAGATCTTAAACAACAAGCACATCTCGCTCTCTGCAAACCTGAAACCTGCCACAATTCCTGTCAGCACCTTCTAGATGCAAATCTTACATTTTCACACACAAGAAGGAAAAGAAACATTGATTTCGCTTTGCAATTTCAGGTAATAAAACACATACTTCTTGTTTAATGAAATATGTTCTACATTCATAATGATATCATATGTCATATATATGCTGACAAATTGATTTTTCTTTTTTTAGTCAAGATATATATGACATTTGCATCTCAATTGTGACCTTGAAATAAAACAACTGTGACCTTGAAATACAACAATTGTGACCTTGAAATACATCAACTGTGACCTTAAAATACATCAACTGTGACCTTGAAATACAACTAGAGTCATACAATATGTATGACAATTTTGTCTATAACAGTCTATAACAATTGTAAGTGCTGGTTATCAAATCATCACAGTGAAACTAAAATGGTGACTTAACTTTCCTCGTGAATAAAGGCCATTATTTTCACATCCTTCAATCATTTAGAACACAGAAGACAACCAATTTAAACAAAAATCAGCCTTCAAAAATCAAATCAGATTAGTTTGATTTATACACAGAAGAAAGGATATAAATAAATGTCAGCATGAATCACTTAATACTTCAAAAATTTTAAAACAAAAATGCTGGCAAAACCTGAGCCCAGAGCCAAAAAAACTGAGCCAAGAGCCAAAAAACTGAGCCAAGAGCCAAAAAATCTATTTCAAAACTGAAAATGAAAAAAAAATCCCAACAAAACATTTTGAGAAACTAAAGAATGTAACCTACATTTTCTTTCATGACTTCCAGATAAATGCTTGAAATTAAATCATCTAGAGTAAAAACGATTTTATGTCTATATTTAACTTCCGACTGACGCCTGGCTTTTTCAAATCTGTTAGAATACCTGTTGTATAAATGAAACTAAGGCAAAAAGTCTGTTAGACAAATAGTTGGCACTTAATTCATTATGGGAACTAAAAAGCAAGTGCAGTATTAGTTTAGTGACAAAACATATTAGAGGACCATCTTTTTTGTTCTCTTATGTTTTGAAATCATTTTTTTTCACTGCAACTATCGTATGTGAAGAAATTGTACCATTCAAGAATTGGTTCAAGCTTGTATCTCTTTATACATGTATTTCATTAGAAATGATTCATAAAGTATGGCGAAATTTATCTGATCTGAATGATTGTGACCTCAGAGTTAATGTTTAATTCCGTTTAAATATTATTTATCGTAACCAGAGTAGTAATTATAACTCCACATACACTATGCTATGGAGACTATAATTATCACCCATATATCTCCTTTTTAGTTAAATCAACAGTGATATGCCTTTTCCATAAGTATAGATCCATGTCAGCCTTCACTTCCACACAGTCTGATCAGGCTCTATACTGGTGGCTTACAAACATAAAATTTTCAGTCTGAAATCCTCAAATTGATAAATGGACATTTAGGAAAATTGATAAATAGATAGTTTGGAAAATGGGAGCTGGAAAAATCTAGTTAGGATGTTTAGCATGTTAAAGGTTAAATAACATCTCAATCACTTTTTGATTACTTTTATCACAATATTCTAAATAACATTTAATAGAGTGTGTCCTATGTCATTATTTATAAGGAATTTGATAAGGGGTTCTTCTCCTGATTTATTGCGTTAATACAATAAAAATCTTGGCAGCAATTTTCTTAAAATATGATCAACTTTGGCTGCTACAGCACATGATGGCATGTCTGATCCAGAAAATAAATTAATCAGAAGAAAATGCGGAAAAGGGTCATCAATAAAACTATTCTGTAAAATAGTTTAAACAAATATCTTGCCAATTTAAAGATTATGTAACAAAAATTCTGGTTTCCATGTATTGGAATCTTTTACCTTATGATGTTCAATTTTATGGAATCTGAAGAGGACCACCCAAGTAATACCCAGGAGAAAGTTTGGTCGTAACCATGACTCATGGTTTCAAAAGTTATCATTTCTTATAGCTATCATGTAAAGAAAATTAATTTACAATGTGTCACCTAAGTGCAGAAAACAGGTTAACTCCTATGAAATGATATAATGAGTTAACCAGTTACTAACTAAGGTGACAAATTGCATAAGCTCACCATGAACACTTCATCCTTAGATGAACTATAACTGATGAAAAGTTGTGTTTTATTTAAGTGTCTACAAATTTATTTAAGGTGAATTATTTTTCATTTGAGTTAAGTTTATCTTGGTTAAAATGCCATAAATTTATTCTAAGTAAGTTACTTGAGCTAAGGTTGGGTATATTTCATGTTAGTAAGTTAGGTAAGTTTCCTAGAGTAAAGAAGATGAAGTTCTGTTTCACTTGAATTAAAGTGTTCTTGAGTTGAGGTAAATTAGATTCAAACTGAAAGTGTCAACTGGATTATTGGTAAATTTAGTTTTATTTTAGATACATTTACTTTTAATAGTTTAGGTGTTCACAGGTGATATAAGCTGATACAATTTGAGTTAAGTAATGTTCAATAAAGTTTACTTTAGTTAAGGTAAGCTGTATTACATGTGAGAGATGTTTGTTCTAGTAAAGACAAGTTGTATTTCAGGTGACATAAGTTGACCTGAGAAAATGTCAGTTGTTATGTGAGATTAATCTGCCCAAGTAAAGGTAAGTTGTAAATGTACCCGAATTAAGCTATGCTGTACATCATGTGTAAGTTTATCTGAATAAACTTACCGGAGTTAAGATAAAATGTATACCATGTGAGATAAATTATCTGAGTTAAAGTAAGTTGTAAATTTACCTGAGTTAAGATGAGATAAATTTGCCCAAATTTGCCTAAGTTAAGGTCAGCTGTATATTATGTGAGATAAATTTACCTGAGTTAAGGTGAGATAAATTTACCTGAGTTAAGGTAGTCCAGCTGGCTGTCTATGTGATTGTGTACCTCACCATTCACTGTACCATTTGTTTTGGAACTTTCTCTGTAACATGATGTAACAATCATAATATAACAAACTTTAACCCATCTTAATGTAAACATTTATCTTTCATATAAATCTGAGATCATTGAAGTTATATCAAATGACACATCATATGAAAGTTCTTCTAAATCATTTTGAAATCTGAAGAGGAAATTTTCATCTTTTGGTTCCAGTCTTAAAATCACATAAACTCTGTAAAAATTTGGTTGTGCAGGACCCTAGGCATGCGCCTTTGAGCATAACCACTGGCATGAGCCTATGACACCTGAGTAGAACCATCAATCTTACATTCGCTTGGAAAAAATATCTGTAGAACTTGGAATGAATTAATTGCTACTAATCCAGACATAACAACCTTATAACAATGTTCTACAGTTTTTGTTTGTTTTGATTGGGTTTTACGTCACATCTACAGTATAGGTCATATTGCGACATTCCAGCTTTACTGGTGGAGGAAGACCTAAAGGTCCCCTTCTTTTGTTTTTTAGGTACGAAGGGGCCCCCTGAGTAAACCCCCGGGCGTTCCGTAAGCTAGCTAAATAGTTCCTAAATTTGGAAAGAACCCAAAGCCCCTGTAGGGATTCAAAACCCACAGGGGGTGAGGGGCAAGTGTTTGAAGAAATGCCCTTTTAACCCTTTTCCCCACGGGATGCCCCCATGGCTCCCCCAGTAATAAAAAAATTTTTAATTTTAGGGACTAACCTTTTTATTTTTCTAAAAATGTAAAACTAAATTTTTAATTATTTTCCCCAAATCCCCTTTTTAAAATTCCCCAAAAAGCCCAAGCTTTTTTCCCCCCTTGCGTTTGGGCCATTTTAAAGGGGTGCTACATAGAGAAAGTTTTTGGGGGTTTTGTTTTTTTTTTTCAAAAATTTTAAAATTCTTGCAAGTTGACAATCAGACCGACTGTTCAATTACCATAGTTATTTCAACCCATAAAGTTATGAACTGGGAACAATTTTTTATTTTCATTTCACCCACCTTGTAAGTTCTAGCATCAGCTGATCTGTTGCATTCTTTATCATTTGCTGGGCACTCTGATGTTCGATCCCTTTTGTGTTTTGGCCATTTATACTCTCAACATAATCTCCCACTTTAATACCTTCATTATAAGCCTTACTGTTTGGATTTATCTGAAATATAAGATTTATAAAATACAGAAATAATTTATATAGATTTACTGTTATCTTATATCTCCTTAGGTTTTTAATTGATGAAAGATAATCATGGGTGTGTATGGACAATAAAACAACATTTTATCAGTTACAAAGCAACATATAATCTGATAAATAATTTAATAAATCCTAAAATAACTATCTGGAACAGTTTATTTTACTTGATTTATTTAATTACACTCAAATAAATTCTATATTTTCAGAACTTTAAGAAGACAATAGGAAACCCTGGACGCAACCGTCAGTAATCAAGTCATTTTTTTTTTGGGAGAAAAATCAAAACTATTTGTACTAACATGAACAACAACATTATGTAACTATTCTTATACATCTTTTATCAGGTAATTATGTGTATTAATTAACAAAGACAGTAAAATGTGTGATATATTTAAGGCAAAGCAAAACTTGATCTCTTTCTTGTTTATGCTTAGTACAAGAACAAGCTGCTTATTATACAACACATCACCCTTGCACTTTAAAGGTACTCCACTGACATTTTTTGACATGACGGGATTGGAATTTTTTTCCTCAAGATTTTGATACCATTTGATAAAAGTTAAGCTCAATCTTTTTTATCATAATATTCATTTTTATTGTAGAAAATGACCTAAAAATGAAATCATTTCAACACTATTGAAATCCAAATCCAGCTTAGGTTTTAAGAATCACACTAAAAATCATTATTTTTCATCTATTTCAATTAATACTGCACCAAATTTTCAAACTTTTTTTTGGGGCTTGGTGGAAACTTAGCCCACAAATTTTGCGCTTTTAGGGCTTTTTTATTATATGGACGTGATGGTCGCACTTCGTAAAGACAGTCATTCTATGAAATATCAGATTATAAAAAATCGCGGTCTGTCTTGCAGACCAAATAGAGACTAGGTGGAACTCCTTTAATTCATAACAAACTTCATTTGAAGCCAGTCATCATGACAAAACCAAAATAATGGGTTTGCAACCAGCATGGATCCAGACCAGCCTGCGCATTCGCCGCAAAAGTTTTAAATTAGGATCAATGCTGTATTGCTGTCAGTTTCTCTACTTGTTTTAAGGGTTTTGTATGCGAACAGCATTTGGATCCTGATCAGACTTGGCGGATGCGCAGGCTTGGTCTGGATTCATCGCTGGTCGCAAAACACATTATGTGGTTTTGTCGTGACGCAGCTCATTGTTTAACTTTCCTTAAAATTGCAACCACCCAGAAAAAATACCAGGCAAGCCTACATAACCATGCAGCCTCTGCCCACAGAATGTATATAATTTTTTACTACCAACTGAGCACTTGATTCAAGAATTTCAAATTACTGAAATTCCTTTAAACATTTTAAAATTAAATAAAGTTAACAAGAAGTTTCACAAATTTATAGTATGTTACATATGAAAAAGTCAAAATACATGTGTAATATGTCTAACCTGTGTCTTCTATAAAGTATAATCCTTTAAACACAATTTTTAACTGTTAATTATCCTCAATTTAATAAAATTAACAGTGTACATTAAAGAATCTTCAACAATTCCAAACAACTTTAGCACACAGCACTAGAAAATTATATAATTCCAGATAAAAAAGGCTTCATTAAAATTCTAAAAACACTAATTTTCCAGTAATATTTTCGAAAAAAAATTCAAGATGGCACATGTGTATATCATATTAGTATTTTTGAGCAGGTAAACGAAAAAATCTCAAAAACCATGTGCACCTCTTGATAGTAAAGTACGTACAGCTGGTTTACAACAGTCATCCAACCATATACCTTGAGAAAATTGATGTAAAACATCAATTGTTTGTGCTACAGTATTTTCAGACAATAACAACGCAGATCTGAAATCAAGATTCTTCTACTGCTGTATATTTTACTGTAAGATGATGTTCAACTATGAACATTAATTAATTTTAATCAATTTCAGTCATTTTCCTCACAGAATTATTGTTTGATTGTTTTCTTTGGTTTTACGGCACACCAACACATGGCGCCAAAACAGGAACTAACCTCGGCTTAAAGCAACACTAGAGGTCAAAACCACCTCACCTGCTGGACCTAAGAGTTGTACAGACTCAAGTAATTCAAACCCAGTAAATCGCCTCTTACTATTACACAGGGTTAAATGATGGCTGCAATTCTGATGCCTCACCTGTATTAAGGCAACCCCTCTAATTCACAAGGGGCAGGGAATTATTGTTCTCAAAGCAAACCTTTACTCTTTAAGTGCAAGCAGTGATGATTGTCTTTCACCTCAGTCACAGGCCAGTCTTACAAGATTCTAGTATAGATCAAGTTATACAGTCTGAGTTGGCGGTTTAATTTTGGTATTTTAAAACAGAAATATAATGATATTATATTAATTACATGTATAATAAGACTGCTATCGGACATGAAAATCCTTTCCAAGATAAGGGCTTAATTTCATTCTCACCAACATTGAAGGCATATGATAAAAGGGTAAATTTTTATTCATTTTAAACTAAATACTTTTCATCCATTTCTGCAAGTAATTTGAATGACTTAATGGACAAAAATAACTTTTTAGGGGCAATAAAATTGAGACAGCAACAAGTTCAAAGTTACAACAAGAAAAACCTTCAAAGGTATCACCATAGAAATGCAAAACATAAAAACTTTCAGTTCAATGGTACAATACCTATTGTTAAGCACATCTGCTATTCTGTTTTTAAACATAAGATAAAACACAATTTGTTTTTGTCATATCATATCAATCTGATACAGAATGTAACATACCATGTTTTCATTTAAAGATTTTAAGTTCATATGAATTTTAATTATGCACTCCATACCTCATAAAATTTGATTTGTCAACAGTTCATTAGCCTGTATCTCTGACTGATTGACTTAAATTAATTAGTCTAATTAACATCAACATAACGTCAACAAGTGTAATCATAAATAACCTTTTCAGCACATACTTAAACAAGAGATACCGGTACATCCTAAACTACAGTGCTATGCATACCAGCCGGTGTACTTACATGCAGTCTGACAATACATTGTTTTATACATTAAAAGAAATGTTAATATGTCAAATAACCCTAAAAAATCCCTATTTAAAGTTATAATGGATAGTTCAAAAGTAGTAAATTGTGTTATTGTCAGATTGACAGATTATAATGCTAAAGTCTCTAGTAATAGAATACTGTTGGTTGCTCTGACAACACTGAAATTTACTGTCAAAGAACAAAGGACAGTTCAGAGAGGAAAGAAAAGTATGTTTGCTATAAATAGACATTTCAAATTTAGCACTTGACCCTTAACCAATCATCTCACGACACCAGTGCAGACCAACATCAGCTAGCCAGGGCTCACACTGGCTCAAATAAAATAATAGCCAATATTTTCAACTTAAAAAAATAATAGCCAAAAGTTCAGCGGAATATTCACGAATTAGCGATATGACACTTTTTCAGTTTTATAAGGATTCTCAAATAAACTGATACATTTGTGTATATTGATAACTACCTTTTTTGAAATAGAACCACAACTTTATTTTTTATTATAGAACAGAATAAATACGTTATAATTAGTTTAATAACTGTATAACAATAATATCAAAGATTCATTATAACTTGACAAAATGCTGTTATCAGACAACTTCTTTTGTTTGTTCTAATCAAATTTTGTCAGCTATAACCACTATAGAAATAACACTTGCAAACTCATTCACAGAATGCAGCCTTTTTTCTGAATAATTTACTGAAAAATGTTATCATCACCAATGTAAAACAAATTTTCTGCCATAGTAGTAAAGATTTTTAAACAGAACATAGCTTATTTCACCTTTAAATAAATATCAAAATTATCGGTGTCGCGAAAATATATGACAATCGGATTTTTCCTGTTTTCTGAAGAAATATTCACAATTTTGGTTGTTGTGCAAATAGTTGTTTGGGAGTTAATACTTTTTAAATATTTTACCATTGTTTTCCACTGGCGATTTAGTCAAGTAGCTTCAAACAAAAAAAATCAAAATTTGCAATTACTGCAATTCACGGTAAATTTTGGGTAAGTCAATATCCAGTTTATCAATTTTAAAACGATTTTTGTGGCTAATTGACGGATATTTGATGGCTATTATAAATGCTGGACAATATCTTTAAAGTTCTTATACAATTGTACATCACGCATGTATTTTATCACCTCGGGCAATATAGTAAGCAGCGCGTGACCGGTAAAAAGTTGACACTCAACTAAATGCACCCCGCTGGTGTTAATTAGGTCTACTGCATTCTTTATCGATTTTTACACCTTATATAAACACTGTTGGAAGTAAAAAATAATCGCCAGATTTTGTAGCCAAAATGCAAAAATAATCGCCAATCTTATAAAATAATCGCAAATGGCGACTATGGCGACCGACAGCGTGAGCCCTGGCTAGCACATCATCTGTGCCATTTGATCATTCTAAGTCTGCACTGATTGCTATTCGGTCAAACCATATTTTGAAACTAAAATTCCCTAAAAAGATGAATGGTCCAAATTGAAAGACGGACAAGTCTATATATGGCTTGAAACAGCGTGTGTATGAAGTAATGGGTTAAGATATTTTATAATAACAGGGGTTAAAGGGTATAAAAAATGTACAAAAAGCACTGTAGGAAACACAATGAATTGTTTGTACAGCCTGATCCTATTTGTTCATCAAAGAAAGTCAAAAACAACAAAACCCATACTTGACATCTGCTGAACACATGATCACCTTGACCAGCTTACAACAACTTACAATACTTTAATAATATATTTTATTGAGAAATGATGTTCACCAATTAACAAATTAATTAAAGCCATGATTTATATGTGTTATTTTCTGGTCAAGTAAAGTTCCCACAGTGGTGAAGGAATGGTCACAGGTATGTAATCTTCCAATGTGCTGCCAACATTTTCCAGACATTTTCAGATCTGAAAACAATTATCACTTCCTGATTCAGTTCTAAGCTAGTGATCTGATGCCTAAATTTCTAACAAGCTTATATACTTACATGACTGTACCTACATACTTACACTATACAGTCATTCCAAGTTCAACACTTAATACTTCATTACAAACCCATTCTGCTAATCATCTAAAGGTGAACATCCTTAACTACACAGAAATAATCATGAAAATATATCATATTATTGTTTGAAAATCATATTATACTTAATTAAGCAAATACAAGAGAATCACAGACTGGTACAATGATGATCATATATCAGTGCTGCCCCTAAGATACCACTTGAAAGAGGTAAAAAAAAACTCATTAGCAATGCTAAGAAAATCAAGACGGTTGGGAAAAAATTTTTGAATCTTTATTCAATGTTTGCCACATGACCTGTTGACATGAGCATCCTGGATTCCAATCAGCAGGTTTAAAGGTCTATTAAAGGTAACAGAAGATGCTGAGAGAAAAGGTACAGATGGAAGGACAAAACTTCAGCAAATATTATACTCCACTGGAACAAGAGTCTGGTCCTGACTCATGAATTCATTGCTTCTTAATGTCAGACTCCTTGTTATTTTGTCTCATCAATAATTGTCCACTTTGTCCTACACCACAATTGCCCTGAGTTTAGAATGTTCAGACAGATAAACATTAGTATACTTCAGAATAAAAACTCATGAAGATGAGAACAACAGGAGCCCATGTACTGAAACACAACAATTTCCCATTGATGTGCCAGCCAACAGTTATAAACTGTCCAGCTAAATGTTGAGTACATACATCATTTGATAGCCTGCCAGAATTTCATCTGAAACAGGTAGCATGATTAGGCAGACCTGCCAGGGGATAATCACCCACATACAAAAAACTAAGTACAACAGAATTTGCTCCATCTTCCATTTTTATGTCATCTACCTGCTGAAAATTGTCTAAAAAATTATGATGTTGTGAAAAGGTATATGTCAACCATTACTTTCCAATCTTATGTAAAGGTAAACATAATTAAGTACTCAACAGGTATTCTTTTTTAAGAATTACAAAAATGTGAAGGATTAAATGATGACAATGAGGTTATCATTATTCATTAATAACTATGTCATTTAATTAGATTGACTGAAACAAAGTATTGTGCTTTTCTGAGCATGACCATGACCTTTAACTTTTAACCATGAAAAACAATAGGGGAGTAATTATACAGGTGGAATTTTTTTTTTGAATTCAAGGTGATGATGACCTAGATTTGATTTGACCAAAAACCCATAAGAAGCCAAAAATGATGTGTTTTCAAGGGACATAGTCATACTCGATAAAAAAGAATCAGATTTGATTGCATTGTAGGTAAATAATTATTATATTACCGGTATTCAAAAAATGTTGGTGTATTTTTTCTTTCTGATTTTACAGATTCATACCATGTCCCAAGCTGACCTATTGGCTTACTATGAACAATACTATAAACTTACAGACAAGGCTCTGCCTCTATTTGCTGTACATACATGTACTACTAATTACTGTAGCAATATTAATACAATTGCATATTAAGAATTTTAAGATTTCTTTCTACTACACCATAAATTAAAATAATTGTCTCCCTTGAAAACTTGGGTTTGAATGGTGATTCATCAAGAAGAAAAAACATCTGCATTAACAAGGCATTTATCTAAAAAATAAGCCAGGGAACTCATTCTAATAAACATTAAGATTGCTGCACAGGGATATAAGATTTTACGATCATAAACATGTACAGATATTCCCAAAAATAACTTCTACTGTACATGTATTATA